TACTATATTTCGTGTCAAGCACAGAAAGGCCTGCTTTAGTTAAAGATGAGAACCGATAAGGAGTTATTGTGAAAGGAATCCAAAACAAGTTATCAAGGTGTCATTACGAGGTTAAAGAATTGAAAAACAATTTGCAAGCTCGATCTCTTTTTCGCAAGCCAACCTAATTCTCTTCCAATCAATCGATCTCATTCAAATGAAAAAGATAAAAAGAGACGACATTGCACATCCTTGAAACAGGCATTCGATGTCCTTGCCAGGAATGAAATATCGAGCGGGGCCATAGACAATATCCAAACGCAAGTGAGTGAATTATCGCGCGTCGCTGTCAAGACTTTCATAATCGAAGCGCCGGCTGTCCACGTTTTCTCGCCATTATAGTCGGCGAGCGTTTCACCGGCACGCTAATTCCATCTGCAACTGCAATCACGCCGTACATAATGCCTTTGCGTCGATGTCGCAGAGACCGCGAGAAATTCATTACGCGCGCAACCTCGAGACGCAGCACTTTTTTAACACCCAGGGATGAGCTTCTCGAATTGTGCTCTGCTGGCGGTGGAAATAGAAGAAGCGCTTTGTTTCGGACGCGATTTCATACGCAGAGGCAGCCTTCCCGGGAGCGTTTAATTAACCGCGCCCGTTTATATTGGCCATATAATTGATGAAACTGCTACCCCCCTTTCCCACTCCCGGACGCATCGTGATAATTGGATTGAGCCTGATTTTCATAATGACTAAATATTATTTCGGTGACATTGACGTTAAGTTCATTTTTATCATCGCGTATAAAACAACGTGTTCTCACTAAAATCTTATTATCGCTTCAATTCTAATTAAAATATGATCCTTGTTAAAGAAAAAAAGGAGGGCTAAAAATATCTTATAAAATTCATTTTACTCACCCGCAACATGACGTCTTTCAGCCCGCGCAGACTTAATATCTCATTATCCATGATTCCATAGCGAGCAATCATAAAATCTCCTCTCATTTCTATTCGCAGTCAAATCTTAATCTGCGTCCCCCACCCTCTCACCCTAGTTTCTCTTATTTTTTCCGTCGAATCAACCACTTTTGCGACACAGATTCTTTCGTCCTTTCCGATAGAGAGAAAACAGGAATTAGAGTACAGTTTCTTTTTGTCTTGAAACTTTGAGGCTGAGGTTCGGGTGAGACACGTGTAGCTTGAAACGTCGAGTGCTCTGCTGGACAGTGTCCTTCGGACGTCAAAGCCAAAGTGGAAAGCGCTTTAATTTTGCTCTCCACCTTGCGAGTTACTTGCTTGTTACTGCGAAGAGAAGAAAATTGACCTTTGTTACACAGAAAATTTTTTTCTTACAAAGATTATTAGATTTGTTTTTCAACTTTCGGAATGAGACAAAACAATCTCATCAATATGACAACGTCGTTTCCTTTATTATTTTTGTTACTATAAGATCTAACTTATCATTATATATACGTCTGACAATTCGACTCTCCTTTTTTCCGTTGCGATTATTTCGCCATTAATAAAAGAAGAGACGACGGTATATCGTGAAGTATATGGCTTCGTTGCATTATTTTATGTACCCACGTATCGATGGTTGATAGTACCATGTGAGAAAAAACTAATTACTAAATACAATAAGTTGAAAAGCATGAAAAATGTTGTAGACGTAAGCTTAGCGTGTTGTAAACAAACGAATTACAATAGTTAATTTAAGTTTTTCATTTGTGTGGAATGAGAATGATCCACACGAAACATTGTTGAACCCTTGACTATACCTATGTATTAGAAACTTATCCGCCACTGTTGTAAAGCCAACCAATATGTATGGATAGCCGAAGTTATAGACATTTATCAAACGAGCTTGTAAAAATTTATATATTCGTCAGCTTTAGATGATTTCTTGCTGTACTTATTCGTGCAAATATTTATAAAACTCATTTGCATTAACGCATTTTCCTTTGTTCATACACGCATGTCTATGGATGTAATTTTCAAATGCTTTTATAGAATTTACTCAATATAGCCGAAATTATTCATATAGAAAATTAGTTTATTAAGCTTGATGCTTCGAATAATCTTTTCAACCTACCGTTATGCGATGGATTGCCATGTACTATCCTGAATGTGCATTTTTTGAATCGCGAAACAACATTCTAGAAAATAAAAACAAAGTTGTGTACTATATTATTTTATTTTGTCGAAAGTAGTATAGTAACAGAGCTTTTTTCTCGACAATAATATAAAAAACCAAAAGTCTTTTTCGTTTTTTCAGAACTTTCTACACAATAATATTCATTGTCCGTCACAACCAATACTCCATAGTCCAATACATCCTTCGACAAAACTATACAGCGGGAGAAGAGAAAAAATCCATCGGCAAAAGTCATCTACCACATAATACGAACAAAAGAGAGAGAGAGAGAGAGAGAGAGAGAGAGAGAGAGAGGGAGTGAGTGAGAGAGAAACAAGTTACCTGTTCGTTTTCCAATATCTATTCACAAATAAAAGAAAGAAACATAAAACTCGCTCAATCAATCGTAGAAACAAAGTTTCAGCTTACTTAGCCAAATTCGAGGCAATTCGTGCAGTCCTCACTTTTTTTTAGTATACGCTTTTAGCGTCGTCGTCGCCGTCGTCGGGTCGGCGAACTTTTGCCATCTTGCGTCTTTTGTGCTTGAACGAAAAAGCTCTTATCGGTGTACGCGAAACAATGGCTTCAACGTGCTAAAGAAGAGAGCTTGATGCCTTTTCTTCGAGGCTGTAATTACAGTGACGGAAATACAATGACCACGCGCGTGTACACTCGGGAGACCGAATTTCTTGCTTTGAATTGCGATTCATTACTCGCAGCTCGTTGTTCGTCCGATTCCTCGCGGTCTTTTAAAGTCCCACGGATAAAAGAGAGAAAAAAAGGAAACGTTTCGTTAAGCGAACTCTGCTCTTCGAAAACACCTTGCAGCAAGTAATCGTCCGATTTTCCGAGTTGCAACTCTAAGCTCTGTTTAGCAACAGCTGCAACAGCAGCAGCAGCAGCAGCAGCAGCAGCTCGTCTAATTTGGAACTTGGCTAATTGGTCCGCAATCTGCAACTGGAAGCCGAGTGATATTTGAAACTTGCCACGCGCACGCGAGGTTTCGAATTTCATCGAATTGCTCGCGCGTTTCGCACAAAGGACCCGTTTAGCATTTGGCTTATTACGAATTCAAACGAATCGCGCACGCACGGGCGAAAGCTTCCCGAATAAATGTACGGCAGACGGCAGTTCGGTTTTCCGACGCGGCGCGCAAGCTTACAAGGCTTTATTTTTCAAATCTGGCGTACAACATTCTGATGAAATGCAAATTTGCAGACGCTTGCGTCGACAAGTTCAGTGCCGAGCATTTGGCAAGCCAAATCCGCGTTTAGCGCCCGTAATAATAACCATAAACGCACTGCACGGTATACTTTTACTTTGCGCGGTGGCTTTTAGCCCCGTAAGACGTGTGACACTAAGAGGTAACTTTTTTTCTAAGACTTCTCTTGGCTGAGGCGTTTGCCCGCAATTACCTTTAGTCTCTCGCCGGAAGCTAAAGCGTTAAAGGCTATTAGTGTCACGAGGTCCATTAGAAAAGTATAAAGAGATCTCCAGCCATACAACTGTTTTCCATTTGTTTTGATTTTAACGTTCACTCCGTTTCCGATTGAAACGTTCGCCTCGGAATTGCCGTCGCGGAGCTTGGCTACTAAAATTTTCAGTCGCACGAGCGCGCAATCCAAGCGACGACATAACCGTACAATCAATTACCATTATCTCCCATCGTTGGTGTCGTATCGCGGCCGAGCACAATGGACAAAAATAGCCTTCACCCCCCGCGCGAACGGCGCATCATAACCCTTCGAGAAAGAATAGGAGGAGGATTCTTCTGGGACACGATATGCCATCTCACGCGGATACGGTTACGCTCGTCTTCGCGAGCGCGAGCGAGAAAAACCACACGGAAAACCGCTGTGAAATTCGACGAGCGACCTTCTTCTATGTCGCGCGCGCGCGCGCGCGCAATCAGTGTAACGGCAAATCAACGAGAATAAAACTCGACAACAACGACGAGATTTGCCGACAGTTCGTTCACAGTTCGCAAAGTGTATTCTCGCTTGCTTTCCGTTTTACATAATTCCTAAGTACACTCGCCTACGGGAAAAATACGGAACTGCTGCTTATATATGACAAGTCGTCGCGGAAATATTTATCGCGGCACTCTCAACTCTTGTCATGCTAATCAAGGACTCCCCCCTCTCTCTCTCTCTCTCTCTCTCTCTCTCTTTTATTACTACCTCGAGTGAATATTAAAATAACTCTCGACACGAGAGCGCATGTAAATATATTCACGAGCCCGTGCATTGTATATTTTCGAATCAGAATTTTTAATCAAACTTCATCGTTTATATATACTACACAAGCAAATCTACGTATATATTTCCCCTCTTTCCTTCCCTACCATCTTATATACGCTTTATCTTCTCCATATATATATATATATATTTGCTTGATTTTACTGAATGATATTTTCTCGACATCGACAACAATGGCAAGTATGATATATAATAGCAACAGAAAAATACCATTGACACCCATTCAAAGGCTTGGATCACTCCTCTCCTTTACGACGCACGTATTTTTTGCACACTTTTGTACAAATGAAATGAGTTTTAACATGCATTTTGATCCCACATCAGTGCACTCGATCGCTTTTGGCCAGAAAAATGTCATACCGATTAGCTGTTTTATCGATAACTGGCAATCGATAAAACAGTTGAAATGTCATCATGTTCATTGTCCCAAAAATGCTCATCTATAGTTCGTTTTTAGCGCCTGATTATGCCGCCCCATAACAAGTTATGAAAAAATAATAAAACAGCAACAAACACCAAGAATGAAAAAAGCAAAAAAGGAAAATCTCACAATCACGCTATAAAGCCGACAGACATAGTGTTTGATTGAGTGAATATTAAGAAAAAAATAAATGCTGTTCGCAGCTGCGGAAGCCGGCGTCGACGCTCTCGATCCCGGGCGCGATGAAGAGCAGCAGCATGGGCGGCGGCGGTGGTGGTGGTGGTGGGGTTGGTGGCTCGGTGAACGAAGATGCGTCCATAGCACTGGTCGGCGTCCACTCGGAATATCCACGTGGGGTCGACGATCCACGTGGCATTGGTACTGGCGGTGGTGTTGTTGCTGGTGGTCCCGGTGGTATGCACAAGTGTACATCTGGCAGCATCGGCGCCGCATCCAAGCACAAGCCGAACGTTGGCTATCGACTGGGCCGACGGAAGGCGCTGTTCGAAAAACGAAAACGCATCAGCGATTACGCCTTAGTCATGGGCATGTTCGGCATCATCGTCATGGTCATCGAGAACGAACTGTCCAGCGCCGGGGTCTACACCAAGGTCCGTATATACATGTATACATGCATTTACCGTTTACATCCTACACTTTTCACTCCGACGAGACCAAGGAGCAATTGCGAATACACCTCATTATAGGATCTCCATCCGAATGCGTCCTCCTACGCACGTATTTATCAGTAGACCAACTACGAGCTTAATCAGACACGTATTATCCATCTAACTTTAACTCTATCTAGCTATCCGACGCCACGAGTATCGCCAATGAATTACGTCGTTGTATTTGCGTAAGGCACACATATACAAGAGAGAAATCCGATGAATTATGCACTTTCGCGTGCATCCAAGGGAGCTTCAAGTCCGGAAATAAACTATTACTCCTGTCCGGCAGTTTCTCCCCCAGCGATAATTTAGCCGTTTGTTTTCTGCGTCCCGAGAATTTATCCGCTTGGCCTTGCGTACAGAGGGAGAAAGCCGAGGTTACAGTTCGCAAAACAAGGAGACCGATCAGATTCGTGTGTGGGAACGGGGAGAACATTTTTGGCTCGCGATTAGACGCAAAATAATATCGGAGGCGAGAGACCTTGAGCGAATTCAACTTGACGTTCATCCCAGTTCATATTTCATGGCTAGATACTTTTCGTTCTCGGCCATCTTTTTATCTGCTATTTCTATCTCGTCGAGTGCTCTATCTCGTGCAGATTCGAACTTAGGATCTTTACGTATCGTTTTAATCGCGATATTTATCTGGCAATCGTGAAGCGATGAAAAAGCTATTGCCCTTCTTATATTAATAAAAGTCCAGTTCGAGTATCCCTTTGATTTTCAGTAAAACCAAAGGCTCATCTCGAGCGTAAAATCGTTAGCACTGTAGGTCCGATTGCAGAAAGAAAAAACAACCGCACCTGGTTGGAAAAATATAAAAGCAGTTCTACAGTATCTGGCGTTTAACAAAACAACAAAGAAAGGAAAGAAACGAAGAATAGAAATAGCTTTCAAGTAAGCTCGCCTGCGAGAGACATGGATAGATGTCCATTGATTAATCGACCGATAAATTTATTTATAAGCCGTCAGATCTGCAGTGTGCCACCGCCGACGCTCACACGGTCGAAGCTCAGCTCGTATTATTAATGCTTTGTTTGTACATTTATATCCGACTGACTTTCTTCTTTGTTGACGTAAATCAGCCACCGTCAATAGGTAATTTAAAGAAGAAAAGAAAAAGTCGAAGGAACTTCTTTAAAAGTACAGTTTATTACTCACAGCTTCATAATCGACTCTCAGCTCGATGGGCGACAACTTTTTTAATAAATACCCTAGCAAGTAACCAACATTTTCACGGAAGTCTCCCTATGATATTGTGTGCAGTTCTCGAGTTTGCGCGACAATCAGATGAAAGTCTTCTTCGCTCGCGTGCGACAAACCAACTTTATCTCGATATTAGTTCGGGCGGAAAGATGATAGAGAAAATAGCATTGGAAAGTGAGCAATTGACACGTGCGCAGTGAAATTTCGGACGTAAATGAGTGCACAGATTTTTCTTTTGTAAAGCCCAAAAAGCACTTGGCGACAGCGCAACGAAATCAATCAACAGCTAAGCCTCAAATTTTACACTTCCACGAACAATTACCGATAGTTTGTCGCTCTGCAAGTTTACTCAACTTGATGATAAATTTCGTTAACAACTTTAGCTTGCGAATTGACTTGCAAATAACTTCACGCTACGTTCAGCAAGTAACATTCAAATCCTCCATCCACGCACGATCATTTGTTACGAAAACTTAAAATATTTTACGCGCTCGATTATTTATACGAAAATTCCAGGTTCAACATTTTCGAAGCTTCATTATGCATTCACGACATTATTTAATGGGGAAACACCGATCAGGCTTTCAATCCAAAAAGCTGTAGGCAAATGTCACATGTAAATCATTCATAAGAACGCCTCTCGAAAGGTTGTGCAACAATAAATTATTTCTGCCTGAGTGGTAAAAATTTGAGCTAACTAAAATAGGATCGCGCGACTTTTTAAACATTTCATGAGATGTCCTAGATACTTGCGCTTCTTTAAGGATTTGAAGTTTATTTCGAAGCCTAAACTTATATTTTTCGAAAGGCATAATAAAGTACAAAATTCTCTTGGCTCTATAAGCAGACACGTGCGAGTAGGCAGGCCTTAATTGGATGGCGGCTAAACTATTGATGAAGTTGACGACGAGGACGACGACGAAGCCTCGGGCAGGAAGTCGCACAAGATTGCACATTGGCTATATTTCCCTGGGCGAGTGAGTTGTGTAATCCCATAAGGCCGAGAGCTCGACCAACGTCGCTCGCTACGTGCGCGCGCGCACGCATGCGTGTTTGTATATATATAATATTGTGTATATATATATAGAAAAAACAATAACTAAACTTTTAGCCCACATTTATCGTTTCTAATTGAAATTACTTTAACGAATGCTGGACAATTACGTCTGCGCTTAAAGGTTCATCAAAAAAACAGAAAAGCTCTCGGTAGTAACGAGATTAATTGTAACGTCATTCGTAATTTTTTGGAAATCACAAAATCCCTCTTATTTATGCTTTATGATTTTTGTTTATTTTAAAATTTCTGAAAAATGTCTCGCTACTTTTTTGAGGCATGTCGTTACTTGTATTAGTCGATTCTAACTAACCACTAACTTCAACCAAAAAAGTAGAACGTTAGTTATGCCGACGGTGGTATGATAATTTGCCCTATTACTCGCTAAAGCATTCTCTGTCTCTCTCTCTCTCTCTCTCTCTCTCTCTCTCTCTCTCACTCTCTCTGGAAATGTCCCTCGTTCATCCAATCATTGCAATGCAGTCCCTGGTATGTATACGCCGCATTGGAAATACGCGAAGCGTTAAACTCGCAGCTTTCGTGGTACGTGAATGCTACTACGTTTCCAAGCTATCCCTTTTGTGCCCTTTAATACTTTCTCGTACTGGAAAGCAAATCACTCTTTCTTTATATTTGTTATGTTTATTGTTTGCAGGCCTCTTTCTACTCGACTGCTCTGAAAACCCTGATCTCTGTGTCGACTGTGATACTTCTTGGCCTCATATTTGCTTATCACGCTTTGGAAGTTCAGGTGAGTTTGTTCTAATTTTTGTCACATTCGATAATTGTGTGAAGCGAAATGCACGAAATAAAATCAAGCGCGCAATACATTTATCAAACAGTTATTCGAATAATTTTCAAATTTCCCTGTGGCATTTATTCAAATAACGCTAAGTAGCTGTTGCATGTACGTTAATGATCAATATGCACCGAATTACAATGCAACCCAATTGTCAAACATATCAATTGCCGTTGTGGGTAAACAACTAATAGCCGTTAAATGCTAACAAGGTTAGATGCTCATTGAGGAGAGAAAAAATTTGATCTTGCCGACGTGGCACAAAATTTCCCTCTCGTACGTGTGCACTTTTGGCTTTCTTACGAGGCTATATAATCGCACACGCGGGGAGGGAAAAGGAAAGACAAAGGTCAGAGCCTTCTATCCGGGTATATGTGTGTATGTGTGTTGCCAACTCGACAATTTCTCGAGGGTGTATCGCGTACATGCCCGATAAGCTTCCTCTTCTCCCAGCGACGGAACATCCAATTTATTAAGCGCGTCGTTAGACGCCAGAGAAGACCTTTTCCGTAATTCCGATTGAGAATATGATCGAACTGATGGGAAAAGATAAGTTAATGCCAGCGCGGCGACAAGAAAAAAATCTGATCTGATTCGTCTGCCTTGATGCTTTCACGGCTGACCATATCGGGATTTTTCCACTCGGACTGCTTTTCGACAAAACATCACTGACGCGCATGCCAATAATCTTACACGGAGAAGATAAAGACCGAGTTGCAATGGGCCAGTGTGCGCTAGCAGCGACCTTCGCGTCTTTTTAATCCAATCGAGGCTGCGCTCGCTCGCTCGCTTCCTTCGCGGAACGGATTGAAGAGCATAGAGTTTTTGGCCGCGATCGATCTCGTTATACTGGCGCGACTCTGGTTTCCATCCGAGTAACGAGGACGACGGAGGCGAAGCCTCGACGTTGCAACGCACGTTTCAAACTAATTTGAACTTGATTGAAAGTGAGTTTTAACTCGTGGAGATTTGCTCTCGTTTGTAAAACCTGGCCAAGTTGGACATTAACATGCCTAATGGTCTAGACTTTTTAACTCTAACTAATACTGCTTTAGCCAATGAGCTTCTACTCAACAGATTCAAGTCAGGCGGTATGCGATGAAAATATTACATTTTTGACTCGATGCGCGCCAATGATTCATCCGAATTTTACTCAACTTACGTCGCTTTCGACGCGAATAAAATATATTTACCATCGCAGGTGAAGCTTCAACGTAAACACGTAAACGTATCAAAAATGTGCACGTTTTCGTAATAAAACTGCAAATGCGGCCAAGAATATAAAATTTTCTTTCGTCTATAAATGAAAAACAAAAAGGGATCTGCGGGCTGAGTCATTCAAAGATCTTTTGGAAAAGCGCTCGCTGACCTGAAAAAAAATATCGTCGAGATTGCGAGAAGATTCTGTGTAATTTCTTAGATCGACGTTGATATGCAATGAAAAATTCTTCGGTTGATCTGTTCTAGCCAGCTACATTAAAACTTCACGCATTTCAAGGTGAAATGCAAATCCTTAGCAAAGGATTTACTATGTCGTAAATTTGTTGAAAGAGAATGAGTTATTATATTTTCGTAGCGTTATGCCCAAAGAGCGGGAGCGTAAACTAAACTTCCATTATGAAAGTTGTATGCAGCCCGCAGCAAAACTAGAATTTACTCTTTAAAGCCCACTAACTTTCTCGCGGTTACATTTTTCAAAACGAAATTCGATTTACCTCCCCCTCTCTCTTTTTCTCTCTCTCTCTTTCTCTCTCTCTCTCTCTCTCTCTCTCTCTCTCTTTTTCTCTTTCTCCCTAATTCAATAAATTTCCCGGAGATTTTTCTCCCACGATAATCCACCGCCATCACCCCCACTATCGACCCACTCCCTTCAAAGCAGAACATCCATCAATATCTCAGCTAGTAAACAAAAAGCCTGTTCCGCGGTATATATCCAGAGAAAATCATTCGATAAATCAACAGCCGCGACGACTAGGCGTGACCCGGATAAGTGTAAATTGTTGCTGTTGCAACGTCAATAATCTCCATTTTCTTGCGATGGCCGATTGTTTTTCAGCCCATACCCCCTAGAGTAAATACCAGCTCGATCCTCGAGCGACGTGTTTTATCTAGAGAATAGAGAGACAGAGAGAGAGAGAGAGAGAGAGAGAGAGCGAAGCTCGAAGGCCAAGTGTCGTCGAGTGCAAGTAAGCGAAACCTTCGCATTTCCCGGTACTTCTTCTGCGCTGGTCTCAGATAAAATGTGGATTATAATTATTTTTTTCATTCGACGATTTATCGATAACTTTGATCAAATAATTGAACAATATTTGCTTTGTATTGTTGCTGACAGGGAAATTTCAGAGAGATGGATTTATTCCACTGTTAAAAGATATTGGAAATATAGATTACCATTTTTTTATTTTTAAAATAGTTTTTTTTAATTAATCCGTGATAAAAATAAAAAAAAAGTAATCGTATGAATATTCATATATAATTCCAATAGAATAAAAAAACTTCAAATGTACTATATTTTTTAATAGTTATTGAAGCGTTTACAATAAAAAACTTTCTAAAAACAATATTGATCATCCCACACAGCTGCAAGTCGCTAAAATTGGCTGAAAAAAGTATGAGAAAAGCTGTCCATCAAACATCATTCCTCAAGCTCCTTCAAAACTTTCTTCCGCTAGAAAATTTTCTCACCTCGGCACAAAGAAACTCCACTGAAAATGATTCCTCTTCAGTAATACGACAGCAAGAAAGGTCATTACGAAAAAACAAAGAAGGAAGTTAGCGGCAGTGCCATTTTAATTCGGTCACTTTAGGCTACAAATCCTCAGGCGTCCAATTTTCTTCTTCAAGAGAGAGAGAAGAAGAAGAAGCAGAAGTCCCCTCTTGCGTGTTGGTTGAAAGTTCAAAGACTCTCGCCGGAGTTTGTTCCTCGGACGATCGACTTCATTTTCAAGGCAGATCCTCTCGCTCTCTCGCACGACCAAAGCTGTTATTGATGGCTCCGAGAGATCTATCTAATGTTCACGCGACCAGCTGCTTGTTTAGATTTTATAGTTGGGTATCAACTATGTGCTTTGTTACGAAAAAAATCGAATTTGCCGTCTTTCTCTTAATTAAGATATCTCTATAATCGACAATTTTACTGTAAATCATGCAAAAATAGTGTGAATTTAAATGTGAAATAAGTTCTCAACGATATCTCTTATGACTAAGAATCTTTTTAGAAACGTCGTCTGTAGATATTTAACTTTACGTTCAATCTTATTATTATAAAAATAATAATAATAATAAGTTACTAAAGTTTATAATGGATAATTTATCATAAATTACCACGCAAACTCAAAATTTAGAAAACTTTTCTATTAGCACCGTACGAATGGTTTTCCATACTTCGTTTAGTAAAAACAAATATAGCGAGCAATTACTCGACGACTTTTATCGTATAGAATTCAAATCAGAAATGATTACAGTACACACGCGCGAGTGCAGCCTCTCTTTTAAAAATAAAGTGTCATGCCTTGTACCTTCCAACATACTTTTATGATGATTTTACGTAAACCGTGTTCTTCGCGAAGCTAAAGCTTCGTCTTTGAAGAAGGAAAATAAGTAACACAAATTACTAAACCCCCTTTTTGGTAATATCTTCCGCTCAAATAAATAACTCGTCGCGTCAAAGCAAAAGTAATTTATACATCTTCATTCAGAGCTATTCCACCAGATTTTTGCCCTCCTCCAAGAAAATATGAAACCGCTAATCTGATTTACATTTTAATCCACGTACAGCAATTCTCGTATGCAAATAAATCTTGTTTATCCTCTTCTGTTATTGTACTTCCGTGCTGGGAATGCAACTAGTCAGCCAATATACTACTAGGCACACACGCGGGAAAAGAACTTTTTTCTTGTTTAAGCCACTGGAAAATCGTAAAACTCTCCAAGCTAAATCTAAGCCAATAAAATACCCTACGCGATCTTTCCTCTCTCTCTCTGAAAAAAACGAGAGTGAGAGAGAAAGCTTATTGGACAAGTCTCACTCGAAGCTCGTAAAAATGGAAAGTTACGTACTCGTTGGTGAAAAGAGCACGAAGTAAGCTCTGCTTTGCGGTATAAATCAGCAACAAAAGAAGAAAGAAAAAAAGAGTAATAAATGTGTTTGTGCATTTGGTTGCAGTTATTCATGATCGATAACTGCGCTGACGACTGGCGTATCGCAATGACATGGCAGCGTATCTGTCAGATATCGGCGGAGCTGGCAATATGCGCCGTACATCCGATACCCGGTGAATACTACTTTCTATGGACAACCAAATTGGCGAACAAGGGTGGTGATATTGGTTCAATCTGGGTACCATACGATGTCACTCTCTCGTTACCAATGTTCTTTCGACTCTACCTCATCTGCCGTGTGATGCTGCTACACTCCAAATTATTCACCGATGCATCGTCGAGGAGTATAGGAGCATTGAATCGTATCAATTTCAACACCAGATTCGTACTCAAAACACTCATGACCATTTGTCCGGGCACTGTTCTACTTGTTTTTATGGTATCGCTGTGGATCATCGCATCCTGGACGCTGAGACAGTGCGAAAGGTACGGGTGAGTCCAAATTTCCAATTGAACGACAATTAATCTCGACAGCACATTATTTCACGCGCACGTTAGAAGGTCCAAATGTGTGACAGGCACAGACTGTACTTTTACGAACACGATATAACAAAAATAATCTCTTTTACAAGTGTCTTTCTTGCTTTGCTAGTGATGTCTTAGCTATGAATGTATAAATATTTCACGTCACTCATTTAAATTATTCAAAGCACTAACATTCTTCCTGATTATCAAGTCATTCATATAATGACATGTTTTTTGTTTTGGTACGCGACTGCGAACGTCACACAGTTCTCAACTATTCCGAGCAGCCCACGCGATTCGCATTCGCCAGATTATAATTAAATACCCTCTCAAGCTACGATTCATATTAAAAAAGAAAAAAAATTGAATCTCGCAAACGTGAAAACAGAAGACACGAAAGTGTCTTTCTCTCTCTATCTCTCTTGCTCGCTCTCTCGAAGGAAGGAGATCGATAACTAATTGACCTTTAAAACTCTCGTCTATGGATCGATAGTATATAACGGCGGACGGCGACTACTGAATTATTGCTGTTGAGATTCCGTCAGCTCGCGCATCGGGCGTGACTGGCATTGTTGTTCGATGCTATGGAATATCGGACGAAAATCTCTCTTTAATTCTGCCATCCGCTACGCGCCGAAGTCATTAACGCACGGAATGTTTTGCAGGTTCCACGACGACGAGCACGCGAATTTGCTCAACGCCATGTGGCTCATCGCCATCACCTTTCTCAGCGTCGGCTTCGGCGATATCGTCCCGAATACCTATTGCGGACGTGGTATTGCCGTCTCTACTGGCATGATGGTAAGTCTCGAAATTCGCCCCCCCCCCCTCTCATTCCGCTGTAAATTGGGCATGCCTTGGACACTTTTCAGATAATGGAAATTGATTTTCTCGCGAAAATGGCTTTTACACTGTCATGGTTCAATTTATTCGTTTCGCTTTCTTTCCCGATGTGCACAATAAATAGTGAACAGCGTAGCAATTTTCTTTGCATCCAACGCACATGTAAGTTTCCCATTTTACTTAGATCTTTATTGAAGAAGCTCGCGTGCACTTGGAATAAACTGCAAGAAAACGCATCCATTACCATTCCCGAATGACAATTCTAAGTTTAATTTCCTCGTCATAGTTTGCGCTCCATAGAACGATCTAATTAAAACTCCATCTCTACTGCAAACGCGCGCGCACACGTTCCGAGTTAATTAACCAAGAGATATGAAAGAACTCGCTCCCGATTAGTCGCCTCTCCGAAAAAAAGCAGTAGCCAGACAGCATGTTGCCTTAATCCACATGGCATTAAAGCTTCTTCCAGCGCAGCACTTATCCGCGGTTGGAAACTGTGCATTATTGATCCTGCCCTCGGCTCCGTGTGATCCTTCTACCCCATTCTTTCTCTCTTTTTCCTGCTTTCTTTTTTTATTTTTTCGAGCCGCGGGACAATGTATTGGAGTTGTCGCGCGCGCGAATCGACAATGGTGAGGAGGAGCAGGAGCAGGTTTCTTTTTTCGTTCTATCATTGCCGCGGTTAGGAAATTGTACTTTACATGCGAATCGAATGATTGGAGAAGCTTAATTGACGTGTCGGTTATAGAGTTGCTGTGCACAGATGGATTAATAAAGTTCGTATTCGAAGCTTAACAAATTATAGATTGGAAGTTGTTGAATGGATTCTTTTTGCTTTTTCTCGAAGGAAGAAAAGTCGAGCAACTTTCGTTCTATGTAGTTTCTGAATAGAGATGGTGCTTTCCTTCGGTTGACGTAACCATTTTTTCAATGAAGATAAGAAAAATTGAAAGGAGAACGAGATCGCAAGTTTTTACGTAAATTTCGCGTTCTATCGTGTGCGGGCACGAATGAATAATGTGAAGATCAAACTTCAAGAATTTTTATGATTTATACAGTAAGCGAATCTGCAACAGGATGTTTTTTTATCAGTAATCTGATTATTTTGAGTAAAACAAAATTTTGCGAATCGGCTAGTCCCTGATGTAAAATTATTACGCAAAAATCTTCATATATCAAAGCAAGATTTCATGTCGATTGGCAATCGAATGTTCAGAAAACAATTTATTTTCTTGCTACAAAGGCAATTCATCTTGCCGGTAAGGTCGTTCGTTTTCACAAAATAATTTTTACTCCCATCAAGACTTGAGCATTCTAAACTATTACTTCGTAAAAAAAAGTAAAGTATCTATGATTTTGCAAAAATCAATTGGCCTTAAAAAGAAAAAAAGAAAAGCTCAGTGCTGTTCAGACAGAAGCTCCCCGCCACAAGTTCAGTGGCATAAACTCTGGAGGCAAAAAAAGGAGCCCCAAGGCGCACTAAAAAGCATTACATTGGAAAAACTACGCCCCCGAGGGTCTAGTAGAGCCTACATAATTTACATTTGGGCTCGACTCCCTTGTGGGCATGCAAGCCACACGCGAAAGACTACGCATCTCTGATGGCTGAGATTAAATTCTGTAATGTCGTTGCAGTATGCCTCGAAGCCCGATCCTTTAATCCCGTAGAGTATTTCAGATGTCTATAGAGCTGCAAGTTAATTATGCATATGCTGAGGCTCTTTTCAACAAATGCGGAGTGAGATGTAACGCTCGATAATGAGGTTTCATCAATTATTCAAATGTCGTTTCGCGAGCAAGATTCATATTTTGCCCCTATCAATATTTCAAGCATGAAACTCAACCTGGAGACTCATTCGACGATTGGTCTGCAATAAAATCTCTAATGAAACGTCGATGTTTAGCCGATAATAGAGTTAATTATCGGCAATTATTTATAGCCTCGGTACAATTAAGCGGCAGGAGGTTCTCGTAATATCTTGGGGCTTCATTACTTCCCATAGATCCTTTCCAAGGTTACCGTTCATTTTTCATTCTCTCCGCACAAGACGGAGTGCCATCAAAGAATACCGTCGGGATATAATATCATTCAGTAATTAACTCTCCAGTTATCGACTTTTGCCTTTGTATCTACATAGATTTCCCTTTCATGCCAAAGTTACCACGCCGTTTAACGTTCACTTTGCCATACTTCTATTACCAATTTTCGCTCTGAACAACTGCGCTTTTTCCAACTTTGTTAATACGTTAATAACGAGCTTCAATGTTATATTTCAAAACGGTAAATACACTGAATGAACTTGGCTTTATACTTTACGTCAACATTGTTAACGAATATTATTAGTTCGCAAAGTCCAACTAAAGCCCGCCTATTTTTTTTCGAGAAGAAAGGAAGATATAAAGGTATATGTCTTTTTCCTCGTCTTATTTCTTACTTACAGCCATGAGAATCTCGTTACCCTCGTAAAATGAATGTTGTGTAGCAAACCAAGACCGAGTAGGCGTGAAAAAAAATGAGATGTGCAGTGCTGTAAAAGAAAAACGTCACCTCAAGTAACACGAGCTCCCTTTACTTGCCTTATATTGATGTCGAGCATCTACTTTGGCTACTTTACAATGCTTGTATTGACGAAAAATTTATCTTAGTTAGGCCGATCTCTTACATATTTTACGTAATTAGAATATTAATTTTCTGTGTATGACCTAATTATATCAAATATCACTGTGGACTAATTTGTAACTGAATATAGTTTGCAACTGCACGAAAGAAAGTTTCTTGATTGCATATTCGAAAATCACTGTTTGTTCCAAGTTTCGTTTCAATTTTTATTCTAATATTTTATTACAAACGTTAACTAAGAAATTATGCTAATAAAATGATCTCCTGGCACGCTATCGTCAAAAAAGTTCTTTAATGAGACTTAAAAGGAAACTTGAGCTCTAAATGCTCGAGTAGCTTGAATTAAAACTTAGGAAAAAATGACGTAGACGCAGTTCTTCTACTTTAAGATAAATAAAATTTGTTTAGCCAACGAAATGCGTAATATCGTATTACATTTCGAAAAACTCCACTTAATAATCCCTTACAAGCATACGGGTTCTATAAGAGAGATTCAACTTATACGTGTAACTTATGTTGAAAGGGTGCCGGCTGCACAGCTCTGCTCGTCGCAGTAGTCTCGAGGAAACTGGAATTGACTAGGGCGGAGAAGCACGTTCACAATTTCATGATGGACACACAGCTGACTAAGAGGGTGAGTGTGCTTCATTGTACTATTTTACTATTACACCGTTTTCCTTTCTACGCTAAGGTCTAATTGAATTTAACGGCCTCCATTTCCCGTCCTGTGCGAAAGCCTCCAAGACCTTATGCCTTTTCTCTGTTCATCGATCAGCAATCGCCAGATGAAAGGACGTCGTTGCGAGGGGCGCTGGATGCTTTTTATATCTTATGTAAATCTTTCATTCGTCGCGCCCTTGCGTTTCCATTGGCGAAAGCTCAGCTATCGCCATGAAAGAACTCATCGTCTTGCAGCGATGTTTGATGCGCTAACATCAAACTCGATGCGCAAATAAAACGTATAAAGTATTACATTACGAAAAGTATTAAAAAACAGTTTAACATCGGAAGCTCGCGCTGCAAAGGAAGCAACGCCGGCAACTTTCGCGAAATACTAAAATGCGGGAATGGAATAAAAAAAAAGTTGGCGGAAGTCTTGCGCCGCGGTTTTACAACGCCGCGCACACGGGGCTGGGAAAAAAATCTTGATTGCTGCGTTTTTTTCTTTATGTTTCAGCTGAAAAACGCAGCGGCGAACGTGCTGCGCGAGACGTGGCTGATCTACAAGCACACGCGGCTAGCGAAACGTGTTAATCCAGGCCGCGTGCGCACCCATCAGCGCAAGTTTCTCTTGGCCATTTACGCGTGAGTTGTTAAAACACTTAGGAAAACACATAATTACGTTCTGCGTGATATCGTAATATTGCCATTTCAAATAGATTACGCAAAGTGAAGATGGACCAACGTAAGCTCATGGACAATGCCAACACCATCACGGATATGGCCAAGGTAATAGAGGTAACACGGTAGTTTTCATTTCACATAGATGTTCATGTTCGTGTAATACTTTCGTTGGCTGGCCTATTTCGTAAATCTGTAAGTCAATGACCATTGGTTCCGTGTACGTACCTGGTTTGAATATCGTAACGTTGGTTATCGTTATCCTTCGAAATGGATTAAGCGAAGCTTGTTCGATTGCCTTTCCATTTGTTCATTGTCAAATACGAATAACCGATGCCGAAACTTGACGAGCTCGCGAGGAAACAGACCGTTTAAGTTATAACGTGGATCGAATCGAAAAAGAACGTTTTGGTAATTGCCGATCGAACAAAAGCCGCGCACAAGGTACACCGTGAAAGCCCAACAAAAGATTTCTCGGTCGTAAAGAGAAGTTTTACACGCGAGCCCATTGTAATACTCTTCGCCGTAAGCTGAGCACGGAACGTAGACAACGTTGCGCAAAGTACGAAACGAGGAGCTGGTTCCTGGCCACGCTAACTTGCAAATTGATTGCGAAGGACAGGCGCAAAACGGCAAAATGACTGGTTCGCTTTACGAGCTGACCGATCGAACGGCAGACACAAAGACGACGGAAACTTGTCGGCCAATACTGCGAGCACCCTAAATCGCCGGATAAAGAGAGATTCGCACTCGCGAAGCGGCTGAGTAAGATTGAAGCGCGGTCGCAAGGCGCCGACCGGATAAACGACCAGTCGCGACCGCGAACGTTCGTCGCCCGAAGCATTGTCGCTCATGAATAGCTATCGCTCGGAATCGCGAAGCTCGCCGAAGCAATAACCAGACACGAACGATGCAGACGCAGAACACGGTGTACGAGATAGTGTCGGACATGAGCAGTCGTCAGGACGCGCTGGAGGAGCGGCTGGCCTCGGTCGAGGACAAGCTGAGCGCGCTGCAGGACCAGCTGGAGCTGCTGCCGGACGCACTGGCGCGCTGCATGGCCCAGCACACCGAGCGCATGGAGCAGCGCCGGAACTTCCTGCACCCGGACACGGCCGCCGGGAGCCTCGCGCCCACCCCAGCGAGCGGCGTCGCCGGCTCGCTGCTGGGCGGCAGCGTCGCCCCCACGGCCACGGCCTCCAGCTTTCCGGGCTTCGCGCCGATCGGCGCGAGCGGCGCCGTGGTCGCGCCGAGCCTGCAGCAGCAGCAGCAGCAGCTGCAGCAGCCGCTGCTGCCGCACTCGCGGAGCGGCCCCAGCGTGGTCGCCTGCTCCAACCCCTGGCCGCAGTCGCCGGTGCTGCCGCCGGTGTCGAGCAGGACGCCGCACCTGGTGCCCGACACGGGCCGCCAGTCGTCGAGCAGCGCCTCTTCGCAGCCCGTCTCGCGGCAGCACTCGTCCTCGTCGCAGTCGCAGCAGCAACAGATGTCCGGGCTTGGCACGAGCCAGGGCTCCGACACGTCGCCCCACAGCTGAGCCTCGTCGCTGCAGCCGCAGCACTCTTATTGAAACCGTCTGGAGGATTGCCTCGGGTGCATCGTCGCGCTTCTTTCCGTATTTCCGGATGATCGGACTCGTCTCGAGCTTCGGTTCGCATCGTATTTTTGTAACGCGCTCGGGAGCGTGCCAGGCGACAAATGTGCTGCTTTTCGCTCGGTTAACCCGTCTGGGACTGCGTTATCTTTCTTTGTAACGATCTATTTTTCACCCGTTCCTTCGTGTCTTCTGTTCTCGTGTCAACTAGGCATAGACCTACATTCTTTTCCTTGCCGATGAGTATTGGACTCATGTACATAAACAGTTTTGTAAGAAAATGACGCGAGCGAAAATGCAACGGCAAAAAAACATGGGAAGTGAATTCTTACGATGCACACGTGCGCGAAAATTCTCCGACCTGCTGTGAAGCTGCCAACCTGCCCAATTTGCGTGCCTGATCGACGTATAATGTAAGGACAAAAAAAAAGCAAAGTGCACTAGCGGAAAACAAGAAAGAAAAATAAACGAGAGTACGCGACGCTCGAAACTAACGCCGCTATTGCTCGACAACGATTCCACGAGTTCGTGAACGTGTGCGATTATTTGTACGAAAAATAAATACTACGAAGCATACATGATCATGTAAATGACGATAAAGGTGAGAATTAACTGAGGACGAAGAAGAGAAAACGACGATGTGTGAATCTCTAGTGTAAAAATAAGACAAAAAGTGCACCTAGGGTTATATAATTCATTATCTTTTCCCGTGAGTAGATGATACGTTGATTATAATTGGGCTAATTGGGCTTGGGAGTGCGTACATATCATCCAAAGTAAACAGCCAAGTTTCGTTCGGGCAAGTCGCCGAAGACGTGCCCGTCTGGATGCTATCGAGACGTTCAATAGTACGCACGCCTCCAAGCGTTCAAGAGTAAAAACTAGTCCTACGCGATTCCGTAGAATTGTTATCGTTTTAAAGACCGTATCGCGACGTCAAATACTTTGCAACAAGTCGACTGCAAGCTGTATATATTTGTTTTGCTTATCGACGAGATATCGCGCTGCGCGAAATTCCAAATTTCTACGATTGCTCCATAGTGAAAGCCAAAGGTTACCTTATTTCAAACTATATTCGCGACATATAAATTTTTAAATTCTCTATCGCTTTGAAACTGCGCAGGTGAAAAGAGCCGACTATTTCTTATTAAATGCCACTGCACGACAACTATCGAGAATGTCTTCTCGAGAACCTTCTTCTCCTTCCTGATTAAATTGCGCTCTCTTTAGCCCCTGCTCCGCCCCCCTGAAGCAACCCTCCCTTATGGCGCGCTAGTAGCTGTGGTCGTCATTGTCCTTCTCTATCTTCCTCATCGCATTTCAAGTGAACTTGAATAGATTGGAACGTGACGCGTTGAAACAAATAGTTTATCGATCCAAATCTCGCAGCATCGCCTTTTCGGCCGTTTATTGTAGTCCACACTAATTTCTCGGTTTTTTTTATTTTTTAACCATTTTAATATTGCACATGAAATAGTTGGCCTCTGGAACTTTTAACAATACAAACAAGCACGTTGGGGCCTACATTTATTCATTCAAGCGAAAAATAAAAAGAAACTGTCGATGTCGTTTTGTCCGTCACTGTTCCGAAAAATATAATAAAACGTTTGCGAACCGACTCGCAAAATTTCATGGCGAAACGGGACCAAAATACAAATTCGCTGAAGACAGAGTGGTTTGAAAAAAATTTGTAAGAGAAAAAAAAAACAAGAAAAATCTAGAATGACATTTTATTCGATAGTTCAATTTCAACAATGATACAGAACTAATATTAAATTCAACAAATAATTTATCAAATTATATTGGCATTCAAAGTGCTTGAGAAAATGCATGTTTCTATCTTGGATGAAATGATTTTCTAGATTTGCGACGAACGGCTGAGTTTTCAATTCTGTCTTTTCAATCTCGTAGAAGACGTACTGGACATGACAACCACGCGCAATATTTTTATATAGATATCTTGAAAGTGCATTATAGTGCCAGGGAGACCATATGCCAACTATAATAGGTAACAAAAATGAATGAGATTTACGGAATAAAAACAATCTCAATTATTAACTTCATTTCTAAAATAATGAAATTAGAAATGAACTAAAAATCATAGCAAATTATTCAAATTAACGTGGTATAATATCTTATTAACACGGCTAGTACTCACTCAATTTCAACAATAATATAAGCGTAAAAACACGTCGAGCCATCAATTTTGAATGCACATCATTAGCTTGACTTGTAAATAACAAGAAATTGTTGAAAATTATTATAATTTTTCGCGCAACAGTATTTGTATGTATGCGTTCCCTGTAAATATGCCAAATATATATGAAATAGTTCATCTTATCGTCTCGGGTTTAAACAATTTTTCAACTTCGTAAACAAACATTAAAAACCATTAGTATGTTATTTGACATTTTAATTATCATAGTTATATATTTTAATAATACTATATCAAACGTTTCTTACGCTGTGAATGTCTTTTTTCGGCAAAATAAATATAAATTTTATCACATCAATTTCATGACATGTATTAAAAAGTCACTTGTTACATAATATTTATTATCAGAACTAGTCACTATGCCGCCAACGTTTTCCTATGCTTGCAGGCAAGTCCACTTAATGGCATTGTCCACTTAGTATGTGAGCTAGTAAAAAAATAGTTAAAGGCAAGCTACTAATGATTAAATACAGAATCGAATATGACAGTTGTTATTAAATAAAAATATTGCTCTGTTTAAAAAAATTTTTTTTATAGTAAATATGTTCGGTCTGTTTGATTTTTCTACATAAAAGTGAGAATTCAATAATTAGTAAACAGTATTATAAATAATTAACTTTATTAAAAAAACATTTTGATTAGAAAAAAAATAATAAAAAACAGATAATGCTTTTTTAGGAATATCAAAATTGAGGAAATCGTGAACGATAACAACAAAGAAATGCCGTCGGTAGCCTTTGAATAATTAATTTAGTCTTTTTATGAAGTATTGATATCTACATAATACGTGAAACTGGTTTTACATAAGTTTTTAACACTTCACGCTGGCGAAATATTACATACTATTATCACTATATATCACCTACGAAAAACCTACATATTACATTAAAACCTATCAAAGTGTAATATGGCTTATACACTATGCGCGGACAAAAGGAAGCTGTCGAATAATAAATGAAGCGGTAGGTACATTTGAATAGAATTTAGGTATATATATATATATATATATATATATATATATATATAGATTGCAACAATTCATAGTAAGTGGAAAATACGAATAAAGCATAATTTTGTTGATAACGGAACAGAAACAGATATAGGAAAAAATAATTATATTATACACACGTGACATTATTTCAGTGATTTATACAGAGAAATTAAATGATAAACTAAAGTAAATTGACAATTAGGACTAAAAATAAAAAATATACATAAATATATTTACAATTACCGTTGTTGTTATTACTATATTATAAAAGAAAAACGAATAAAAAATGATATTACGACTATTACATTAGTTACGTACCATAGAGACACGTAGAGTTAGACGTAGAATATACATTTCGACGATTTGACTACTGTATATTGATCAAATGAAAAATTAAACTAAACAACAACCAAAACAAGATGGAAGAGATATTTATCGAAAAAACGATATAATTCATTATTAAAAAAGACAATGCAGCTACATTAGTTGTTCGACGTAAATATGGAAAAAAATGACCAATCGTTAAAAACTCAGATTCTTATACAAATAAATATATGTATGTATGTATGTATGTATGTATGTATGTATGTATGTATGTATGTATGTATGTATGTATATATAGACATACATACTCCATAGGCGAAAGCACTTTTACATGAGTTTTTCATTGAAAGTATATATATATTATACATATACCTTTTTAAGGAAAATATAATAGAAAAATATAATAGTTCGAGCGAGACAGCGAGGTGTTTCGCACATGTTTAGGCACTCTAAGAGAGTATTTAACGACAACCGAAATAAATAAATTCAACAAAAAAATTAACTCAAGAATAAACAAAAATAAAATAATCGATTACCAAATAAATAAGAAATGATAAAAAAAGTAATGATATTTAAAGAAAAGCAAAGCAGTTAATTAATAAAAAATAAAATAGTCGACGAATCCTAATTCTCTCGATCTACTTCGAAAACGCAGTGAAAGAAATAAAAAAGTCCTATATACTTTTTTCAATTTTCCAATTTACCTCTCTCTCTCTCTCTCTCTCTCTTGCTCTCTCGTTCTCTCTCTCTCTCTCTCTCTTTCTCTCTGTCTGTCACTCTCCCTCTCTCTTCCTAATTCACATACGCATACACCCCTCGTTATCTCTCAAACTTCTATGTCCTTTGTCTCACAGTCAATCGAAGACACACACACGTGCGAGTGGTACAGCAAGTGCGTGTCTGTTGGAATATACAAAAATGGGACCGAGAACGAGTTTTAATCTTTTCTTTATTTTTATTTTCTAGCTCAAGAATGTATCAAAAATTTCGTTGCGAATGTTTTTTTCATTGTGTATGTCATAAGTATCAGGTACTTTAAAATGTAAACTTAAACTGGCCGAAATATCGTGATAAGTCGTGAAGATTATTGTCGCTTGCTTGACTACAATCATCCGACCTATCGCGCAATTTCATCGCCACTAGAGTATTGTTATCGGAGTTATCTCGTAAGTTATGCCGAAGACATGAATACTATAATATTGTGTTTTATCATAAATGAAATTAGCATTGTTGCCGTAAGAAAGAAAAAAACTCTAAATTCAATGAGCTCTTGCAAATCGAAAAAATTTGCATTGTAAACACTACAAATAGTTGTATTTATTTAAACATACAGCGTGCAAAGATGTAGCGAAAGAACATTTTAGGGGTGCGAATGTTATCTAGCGCACGCGCGCGTAGGTTTTGTCGCCTAATTATTATCAAGCAAAAAATATATATACATATAAATAATTAAATATATCTATATATATTGTATCGACGCCTCGGAGCTATTGAATATACAAATATGTTTCATTGTATGAGCTGGCCTTGTACCACCTTATGCGGCAAATTAAAAAAAAACGCAAAGGATAAAATCCTATTAATACAAATGATGCGAGTTGTACGAACACACATTTTCTTTTCGGCGTTTAGGTCTTTTCATCCTCGTGCAATTAGCTGAAAATCGTGTTCAAATAACAAAAAAACAAGAAAAGAAAATGATACAAAACGAAAAACGAAGAAAATAATATAAAATGTATAACAACGTAAATGATAATTAAACTCGTAGGGACAGTCTCCTACTAAGGGAACAACTATCGTAATTTAATGGACGTAAGGGGAGAGAAAGAGAGAAAGGATGAACAAACAAGGCAGATAAAACAAACGAAACAAGCAAAAAACACTAATGAAAAAAAAGCGAGCATGTGCAAAGCGAACTCGTAATGTTAATACATACAAGAATTTCGATGTAAATAGATTGTGAATTTGAGATCGTCTTTATATTTTAGAAAGAAGCACAACGTTTGTTACGAGGAAAAAATGTTACTCTATAATGGCTCTAACATTAAATTTATTAAATTTGTTAGCAGCTCTCAGATAATGTGTGTGTGTGTGTCTTTCAACTAATTCTCCCCAAAAAACAAAAAAAAACAGATCCTAATTTAATTTTTTTTATATTCCATGCTATTTTATTTTCTTACAAGCTACGATTTTACAAAACCGAAATAAGTTCATAAATTACATTGCATAAATATTACCATGATCTCATTTTTCTTGTCAACAGATGATTCTTTTTCTTTTCTTTTTAAATAGCCTACATGATAGGAAATTCCACTCTAAATAAGTCAATAAATAACGATCGGTGCGACGTATAATCCTGTACAGCTTTTGATTTTACACTTGGTCACAGTCTAAAATAAAAAAGAAGTATGGGAAGAGAGCGGCTTGATGCATCCTTTGGTAACTTTCATGGGGATCGCAGAAAAAAACGAGTTAAAAGACCAACCGTTGTCGTCGCAAACTTCGTACGAAGAAGAAAAAACAAACGAAAACAAGTGTCACTAGAAAATCACTCAGCTCATGACCTTGTCGATCCAGGGCACAAACTTCTGGATGTTGGTGTAGACGCCAGGTAAGTGTTCACGACCGCAGCCAATGCCCCACGAGACCAGCCCGATCAGCACGTGCCTACCTTCCACTGACATCGTCAGCGGACCACCGGAATCGCCCTGTCGGTAGACGCAAAAAACATTAACTTTTTACAAAGACACACTTGTACCATCAAAATTTAACGATACCTGACACGAATCTCGTCCGCCCTCTTTGTATCCCGCACAGAGGAATACATCGTGTATGGTTTCACGGCGACCTGCCGCTCTGAACCACCTTTGGCACCGATCGTTAGGAATCACCTGAAAGAACGAACAAATACATGCAAACTCCACGTCACTTTCACTTTTCACTATATTTTCACGACATTTTCGCCGGTCACGCGTTCACGCACAAATCGACGCATCGTACAATACAACTCGTTTTGAAAAAGTTGTTTTATGCTCAGTGAACTTCGTTCGTAACATTTGAAGATATAATTATGGTAAATGAAATTGTAATCGGTGTCTTTCACTTTTTTTCGAGTGGTAACGTTGAAAAAAATCTTGTTGACGATTGGATAAAATGTCAGGTTGAATTCTTTTCGCGAGTTAAATCAACAGTAACAATGGAGTAATTGAATAGTATTTTTATATTTAAGAATGCAACGCAAACGAGAATTTTTTTTAATAATAACCGCAATGTGTGTATTCGTAAGAAAAGTGCATTTCGTTGGAAATGTAATTAATTCCATTTTCACTGGGATGCTATAACTGCCAACGCAACCATAAAAATATTATGATAGCGCACTCTGCATCACAGTTTTCCTAGGCATCGAATTTTCGAAAAGAAAATGTGTAAACATCTTGGGAACTGACCTCAACGTCAACCTCCTGGAGGACACTTGGAGCGGAGGTCTGTCCATGTCGCGTACGGCCCCATCCGGCGACAGTGGCCGTGCGTCCTTGTAACTTGAGGCTCCGCGCCGGCAGACATACCGGTACAATGTGTTGCTTGAATGCCACCACGCGCGATAGCTTCACCAGCGCGACATCGTTACGGAAGTCCGTTGGTGAGTATTGCGGATGTACCTGTGTCGCGAGAGTTTAACGGTGTTAAAAAACGTTCAATCGGAAAAGTTTGGTGAGAATTGAAATTGAAATATTATAAAAGGAGAGCCGACGAACCTCTTTCCTCTCAATGGCGAATTCCTCGTGGAGCAGTCTTTCCGCGGCATCCCTGACATCCCACTCGCCTAGTCTCACTTTCAGATTGTTGTTAGGTGTACTGTGAATAATCCAAATGATCAGTTCTTTCCTCGAATTAATCTTGCCGGCAATGTTACCATTAGCCGGCATTGGCCGGCGGATTAACGGATTAAGGCATGGCAATAATTCTATGTAGATTAGAGAATCAATTTGCGGATGGTCGCCGTGTTGCGGACGTTGAAAATTTAGGAGGTGGCAGGGCTGATCGGTGTACTTACGTGGCGACACAATGAGCGGCAGTAACGACCCAGCGATTATTGAGCAAAGCACCACCACACGAGAGCTTCTTCGACAGCAAACCCGACTTGATTATGGCCGCCTGCCAACAGACATAGATACGGGTTAGAACGCGATAATTGCGCGCTGCTCGCCTGCGATAACGGATCCCAAAGTACGCCGTGATTCGGATTGCAGTACAATTATTAGAGGTGTTGCACGGATTCTACGTCATTTGTTTTTACCTGCCATGGATGACTGCCGAAGCTCGTACTATGACCGCCGACGATTCGGTTGCTCCTAGTATACAATTCGCCACAGCCTAAAATAACAAACAAGAAGACATTTTGGACTCGTATGAAGATTTTTTTATTACTGCACCCGCGCAAGGGAGCACAGAGCTGTGATCGTCTATATAACGCAAAGTGATCGTGAAAGTATAATCAAAGCAATTTGTCCGTGCTAATTCTCCACTAAACTGCTTGTGCAAATAAATGTGCTTGCTGAAAAAAAACAATCTCCAATCGTTATTTTGGTCGTGTGTGTGCAATTTTTTTTTCTTCTTCACACTCGGATTCTTGCAAGGAGATTTGTTGCTATAATTGAGTTATTCACATAAGTGGATGTAAAAAAAACTCTCGTTTCGTTGGTTTCATGCCGTAATGTGCTGTATTTTTAACGAAAATACATTTGCTAAATTTCTCAGATGCACCACGCGTTGACTTTCGATTTTCGTACACGTTATGATCATTACGACTTATCTACTGGCTTTAGAACTTGTTCACTAGCTTGAAAGTCTATTCCGATTTCAAATAAATCCAACAAATTTTAGGAATAAACAGTATGTTATCATTCTATCAAAATCTTTATTCTAATCTTTTTTAGTTAAATAGTTATTAATATTAAAAAATGCAGACACGATTACTGTACAATCAAAATAAAAAATTCGATCACCTTGGAAAAAACAATGCATACGTTGTATGCCGCAAACAACACAGTTACGTCATAAAAGACAGCAAAAGGTGCATATAAAACACACGCAATAATAGACGGAGAGGGGGGGGGGCGTTAAAATATAGAATCGCTCGGCGCACGATTACCACGGTATCGAGCGCTGCCAGCATCAAGGGTGTTGGCGTCGTGATAGTCTTCGGATAATGGTCGCTGAGGCTCCACCTGATGGTAAGGACGCGTGTTAATGCTGCTGCTGCTACCTCCATACACGCTCACGTCGTCGTCCAAGTACACCGGCCGGCCTGGTTTGTTACCACCTAGACTGAATGCTTTAATTCTCCCCGTCGGTCAGTTTTCATGGAATTTTGTTTTGTTTTCGTTTTTTCGGCGTCAGTATATGGTCGGTTTGGCTTTGAAAGTGACGAGGGTCGATTTTTCGTGCGCGATGAATTCCGGAACAGAGATGCGACTTACCATGCTCAAACATTTTTTTTAATATGACGATAGTAATATCACATGGATACATTTGTCAGACATAGAACATTTTTACATCCAAGAAATTAAAATGCACATCGCAACAGTGACGATGTCTCAACGAAACATATTTTCACATAACTGTCTGGATATGTTTGTATGATAAATGATTAAAATTCAACTCACTGGCATTCTGAAGAAGACCGACTCCACTGGTAGGTTTGGACACTTTGTCCGGAACGATGTCGTCGTCGTCGACACAGCAGCTCCAGATCATACCGCCAGAGCACAGATCGACCGGTCTGCCACCCCCCAACACGCAGCTTATACTCAGGCCGCATTCGAACTTCGCGCCCTTGTACTTACATGTTTGGGGAATCACTGTAATTCATACATTTGTTTATTGATTTTTTTACTATGAGTAAAAGACAGTGTTCCGGCTGGTAATATAATGTGAAAATCAATCACTCTTTTTCATTTTCAAACGCCTTACTACATTTCGTCATAAATGAGCAGGTTAAAAAGCCTCTATGTAGACTAATAACACGCCACATTTGGAAAACATCGCGTTTCGTAAATGGCTGCTAATGAATTCGTGAGGCGAAAAGTAGCTTGCTTCCAGAAATCATCGATCGCAATCCTAAATTGTCCAGCTAATCTCACCGCCAACTTAATTAGTGCGGAAAGAAAGAAAAAAAGTAAAAGAAAAAAAATGAGCAGCGAGGCGTGAAGCAAGCGTGTGGGCCCGGTCTGTTTCGCGTAGCAAACGAGCGGAGAGAATATATACTCCGCGCACAGATGTCCGGCCACGGCGGCGGCAGTCACTTTCCTTCCCGAACGCACATAAGTGAAATTTAGGACTCGGCGAACGATCGTGAAAGTCTTTTCCTGCTCTTCTCTCCTCTCTCGCATACGAATTTCACTCGGACAGTGCGTGCGCGCGCACGCCGCGCACGCGGCGTGGTCAAAGCATCACACTTACGACCTTTTCTTTCCTTTCGCGCCGCATCCGATCGGCGTCGCGGAAAACTGGTGCGACTCGAGAATCCTGTCGCAAGTTTTCCATCCGACTGCGCTACTGCAGTATTAACAACATTTTGAAATTTCCAAGCTCGTTTTTCGATTGTTATGTACTAATACAACCGTAACATTGCATTTGCAGACATTGATCGCTTTACGAGTGCAAATGACGAGTGCAATAAAATATTTAGTTTGAAAAGAAACTATCGAAACACTGGTTTTTTTACATTATTGAGACAATTGCAAAGCATTTAAAGACAGACTCACAATCGCATGGAGAATAGCGTCATAACATGTCAATTTAATTGAAAAAATTATCTTTCTTTCATTTTCTTTATTTTTCCTTTTTTCTTCAATTCTATCAATTATCAAGAAAGAAAACTACAAATTGAAAAAAATCCGCCACAACCAATAACACCCTAAGAAAAAAAAGCATCAAACTCGTTCTCTCGATCAATCGAGAGCATCGCACGATAATCATAATAATAATGTTTCTTCGTTAATTGTTTTCCTCGTTCGCGGTCAGGAGGCAGTCGCTCTCGGTACATTGGTACACTTTCGGCTTGCGCGCTCGGCGCGTTAATTTTAACGCTTTTCTCCTGGCCCACTTCGCGTCGCCGCGTGTATATACGAAGCCTTCTCTCCGGCTTAATTCAGCGTGAACATCCAACTCGTTTTTGCGCGCGCGGGGACATGTAGAATTAGGATTTTCGGTTGCACAAACATCTTTGGAAAAGAAAAAACCAGTCGACCCGGCGTACGACGCACTGTAACATCACCAAATAAAGTACGATGGTCGCACTGACGTACTTTTGCCAAGCATATCCATGATGCCATTGTGCAGATCAGGCGGTGCTGAAGGATGCCCCCTGTAACTGCCCACAGCGCTGCTGAGATTTCGGTGCTTCTTGCCGAGTGCCTCAACGAGCAGCATCCCCTGCTCGTGACTGCTCAATTGTCTTCGCCTACCGCGTCGGCTGTGACCGCGATCCTGTTGCTTCCTCGCACTCGCGAGATCGTCGAGAAAGCTCGTCAAGATCTTGTCATCCTTGTAATCTTCGTCGTTCGCATCCACGTACTGCTCGTCCTGGTAAGGATCTCCAGCGTAGGATTCATCGTCAGTCTGATAATCCTCGTGGTATTGCTGGATCGGGTACCGCTGGCGATGCTGGTGATGATTGTCAAGGTGATTGCTGCCGCGGATCACGAGTGTCTCGTCGCGTACGAGGCGTGGATTGGCGGCCGAGTCGACGACGCTGACGATGACGAGCGAGAGAAACGCACAAGCAGGATGCATGATGAGGTCGCCTCGTCGTCCATAGCGCGGCCCGAACGCCGCCAGACTGACAAGTCCGCTGGCGCTACTCTGCCGCCGCTGCCAGTTTGCTTTCACCGCGATGCTTTCTCGAGCGGCGAGCTGCTGCTTCTTCGACGTGTCCTATGGTCAGCCAAGTGTATGTATGCGCCGTTCGCTTTTGTCCTCACGCGCTATCTTCGCGTCGCTTTTCTTTGGCAACGATGGTGGGGAGCGATTGCGAGCCAGTCACTGATTTTCCTTTGATGTATCTGATCTTGCTTCGCGAGCGATTGTTTACTTTCCTTAGAATGCATACGTATAGTCGCTGAGACGATGAATATACTCATTTTTTCCAGGATCTATGATGTACAATATGGCGCTTCGTTTAAATTTATTCCATCAACTTTCACGATTATCAAATTCAATCTGTCCTTGCCAAACCTTCATAGTAGTTTTCGCCAATGATTTCCTGCTCACGTGCAACTTCGCATTGCAATAATCGTTAAACGATCGTTTTGGTCTCGCCATCGCGACGCAGAGGATAATCCACTGAGACGCTTGCAAATGAATGGTAAGTGTCAAATTATTTCGATGAAATTTTGAGCTTGTTTGGCACTGATTGGGGCTAGACAACAATGGTTTTCTGCAATGACCGTGAATGCGACTTTGATATATGGATGAATTAACTTTGTGTGCTAATGATCGGCGGAAGTCACTGTTCGATGACGAGTTGATTGGATTTTCAATAAAGAATGATTCACGTATTATTTATCAACTTGTTATTTTTTTAAAGAGAATTTATTTTTCGGAATTTTCGTCGTAGAAAAAATATGTAGCGCAAATTGTAATATTGTCTCACTAAGATGTAGTCAAGCACTTTGAATAATATTAAAAATCTGATCGTTTTTCGAAAGAAAAAGTTTGTTGAAGTTATAAAAAATACGATTCAAAAGAAAAGTAAGTATGTACTGCGGATTACGCATACTAATAAGATGAAAGATACGACTCCGTGTCGCAAGTCACCTGACAATTATCTCAGCTATTTCCTCAAAAAAGGTACAAGCATTTTCATCGGATAATTACACGTGGCCATTGTTCAACACAAGAGTATTCGTCGAGTGAAAAGACGAACGTGACCCAAAAGTAGAACAAAATTTTTGAGTTTCACCAATCTATATCTAAATTCTTATTCTTATCCTCTAAAAATCTCATCTTAATTCAGAACACACACGCTAATAAAAAGCATCGCGCCAGGAAGAGGATTGTCGCGTCTTTATGTCTATACCGTTACGTTTCCCACTGTCGCTTTCGGTGTGTCCGAAAAACAAGAGAGGAAGACGCTCGTATTCGTTGTGTATTATGTGCCTAGGCGCAAAAGTAAAAGTGGACGCGCCGCGAGCTTCCGCCTGACTTCTTTCTATATAATATACATTTGCTTCGTGTAATCCTTGTTATACTTCTAATTAGTGTCATCTCTTAATTAACTTTAATCTTGAAATTGAATAGTCACTATTTTTCAAAGTATTCTCTTGGTGAAAAATTTTTTGTTTACACGAAATCAGATAATTTATTTTGTAAACAAGCGTACTGTACAAATTTTAATAATCGAATCACTATAACAAGAATGATTCGCATGACAGCCAGCTCATCAACGCAAAAGATTACGAAGCAAAAGAAAGGAGATGCAGATGGTTCTCCGCAAAAAAAATGCAATTCGGTAGGATACATAAGCGACACGGGACTGCACTTTGCGCGGAGCGTGAAAGTTGCGTTGCACTTTTACTTGGGTGCACGTGTATAGAGAGAGAGAGAGAGAGAGAGGATGATGCTACCACACTACTTACATCCGAGTTCGTCCAAGAACTTGAGCTGGCCATGCGTGCCGATCCCGTTCTCCAGGCTTGGCTCCGTTGCTGTCACTGCTGCTGCCGACTCTGTGCAAATGCATTCGTACTTTAATGAGGTTGTCGCTCGATTCACATCTGCCCGAGATGTGCGTGCAGTATCGGCCTATGATCTTTTTTCAGGTAATCGGATGGTCACTACGAAAAATTCGCATCTCCTTACCGATCTACGTATTCAAACATTTATTTCTCAAATGTTTTCAATTAATTACAGATAGATTTTCCAATTAAAGGCAAAAAATCACGCCGCAAGAGAAAACAATTACCGAAGTGCTTGAGATATTTATCATTTCTCCTGGCATAAGCCCAACCACGCAGCATCAGTAGGAGAACGAGGGCGACAAATTGAACGACAGGTCTCATATCAACAACCCCTCGCTTCGTATCTCGCCGCCTCGTTATATGAAAGAAATGTGTGTTCGTCAATGTCGAAAATTGGAAATCGGCGGTTTCGGGAGCCGTTCAGATCGTGCTGGTTTTTCCCCTCATCGCGTGTATACACTTTGGCTTCGAATCCTGCGGTAGAGGCTAAGATGTGGCACACGGAACCAGGCCAAGCTGAAACAAGTGGAACGAGTGGGAGTTTTAGGCTCGACATTTCTTTCTCTCCACGACGTTGCTGCTGCGACCATGCGATACATAGTTATATATTAAGTGAAAGTTTTGAAAAAAAAAAAAATACCTATCCTCATCTATACAGTGAGATTATAGCTTCTGTTTTCGGTGAGAGTTCGACCGCTAATGTAACAAAGTGCATTGCCATCTGGCTGTAAGCTGATTTGCGGTTTTGTTTTTGACTGTCTTTGCCGCTTTTATAATGGTTCCTTTATGGATGGGTTTCTTTCGATTAAGTGAACGTTTATTAGATTTAACACCATTAGATTTTTAAATATTGCTGTTTTTATCCGTTAAAATGTGCATCAAAAAGTATAAATTCACTCGACATACTATTGAATCAAATCAATAATAAATAGAGGGCTCGTAAGTTCCGCACTGATAATACTTTGATAAATGCGCTCGAAAAGTAAGTTTTCATTGTTGCTCATCAATCATCCATTATCACTTTCTTTCACTTGCAAATTAACCTACATTCGATCGCCGTAAATTGTTAATTAACGGCGCACGCAGAGGAAAACATTGTGCAACATAGTTACCGTAAGTTTTGTTTCTCGTCTGCGTAGAGGCCTTGATCAAGGTCTGTCAATTGGAAACAGGTTTCAATCTTTCAAAATCCTTTTTTTTACACTATCTCGTGTGCGGCGATGTTGTATGTAAGTATAGGCAGCTGCCGCTTTTTTTGCTCGAAGAGTTTTATTGGGCGCTGATTGAATTATCGGTCTGTTCTAGATTGGAAATGACGTGAGATGCGTTACGGTTTGTGATTTTTTGATAAATTTGGGTCAAATTGGTGCTTTGGTTTATTAGCATGTTCTACAGTTCCTGAGAGCAGTAATCTATTGGTTTGCACGTAAAATAAATGTCAATCGAGTTGCTCTAGACGTAAAAACTTATTAAGGTTCAAGTAGATGACTACATTATGATAATGACGTCGTAAATCACTATGTCAACACCGTGTTAGTCTTGTTAATAATATAAAATACCGGCAATAAAACGTCACTACAAAGTGAAATGTGGGAAATTTTTGAAATGGACAGCTACTCTCTCTCAACGTGAAACTCACGATAATAAAGTGTAATAACAGAAAGAAATTTTAAAAATGCTACCCGATGCAAAAGTTTATTCAACTATTTAATATAACTACATCTGCATATCCGACGACAAACATAACAGCATTATTCGATAAAAACATAATATCAGCTCTTTCAAAATTTCCATGAAAACGAAAAAAGAAAAAAAATAGTTGCAATCGGAACGTAAAAGTAAAATATACCGCGAGTGAGCGCGTGGGCGGGCAACGTTACGCGCTCCTGGCAAAATGAGCATGTACCGAGGATGACAATTACCCAAGTTAGCCGGGCGTACACGCGAGGCAATTACGGCGACAGGTCGCGCGAGTCCTTCCTCCTTTACTTTGACTTTCTTTTTGCGCTTCTTTTTTTATCTGCCTCTCTTTTATCTGTGCCGTGCGTGAAATCTCTCACGACGCTAACATTCTTCATTCCTTTTCTTTCGTTCGACATTCGACAGTTTGCGGATTTCGAGATGTACTTTCACTTTTGGCTCCTAATGCTATTCGATTTATTTTCTCTTTGCTAGCTTTTCTTATTCTTGAATTGTGGTAGACATTTTATACGCGTTGGGAGTTACACAATAGAGCAAAGTTTTTTGTTTAACATTTTTGAGTGATTTTCGCGATTTCACGTTATTTTCGTTCATTTATGGGATCAAAAAAATTTACTCTTTTAAAACTACATTACCCTTTTAACCATGTATTATTTATTAACTGTAATTTATGTACTATTTATTAACTACTTTGCAATTTGCAATTTTACGTAGGTCAATATTTTGAAAATGAAACATTTAATATTTATTATATTTATTTATCTCTTTTTGATCAAGACAAAAAGAAAGCCTCGCAGTTATCACAACGAGCGATCAAATTAAATGAGATCAGTAGCAAAACATGGATTTGATGACAAACAGTCCGTTACTACTAAAAGTCCGGCAACATCTTTCATTTTTTTAATTTTCTTTCTCGTTATATCAAATGTCATCGAGTTGTATCTTTCCGAATGATAAGATGTAGAATATATGAATTTATATCGGTTAAACAGAATCGATTACACGTATAACGGAATAATTTCTCATCGAGTTTAACTTTCAAATTTAATATTATCTGCATGGCCGTGATTCATCCAGAGGCTTATTGAAATGAAATATTTTATATTAATTTATTATCACAATTTTTTTTGCATTAAAATATTGGATTCACCGATTTGTAATTTATCGACCGTAAGAATTGATTTCTCATCGCAGAATAATAGAAAACATCTTTTCGAGCAAAACTGTATCTTACCTTCCAAAGAAACTTATGAAAAGCACTTTTGAACACTAGTGAATACTAAGAATCGTAATTTCGACAACACCCCAGTTAAAAACTAGGCGCACATCAGAAATTCGGTACACGCACGGACACATAGAGGCAGTGATAATCGGTCCAGCCTCACGCGCACTTATGGGCCTCGCGCGCCGCGAGGACTGCGTGCGTGTATGACACGACTCTGATGAGGCGCAACGACGCGACTCTACGCACCTTTAAAAGCCCCACTCTCCTTTCTTGCAGCATCACCGCTTCCGACTTCTTTTTTTCGCTCTCACCGTCGTTCTTTCTTTTTCTTTTTTTCCACCGTTTCGACTCTCGCTCTCACCTCGAGTGGGTGGCTCGTTCACGTTAGCAATGTCTTTTTTTTTTCTTTTCAATGAATGCTTCGGGAATAACAATTTCAATTTTCGGTTGTCATTTCTTTTATATGAAAAGTCAATTATATATTTTCCAATGCTTTGGCTACATTAACAAATTATGTATTTCTGTTGAATCACATGAGCTATCTGATAAGTAGGCGATGATTTCATAATAAACCATTGAAAGTTAAATCAACAATAGTCAAAACATCATTTTTTAAACAGTATTTTGTATAAAATTCGACATTTCTTTATATCTAGTCCATAAGTAACAATACAAAAAGTACTTTATTCAAATTAAATTAGCTTTTAGCATTTAAAAAATATCGATTGAACAAACAATTTTACATAAAATATAACTTATAATGAGATTTTCTTCGTATTTTCTGAACAAAATTAGAAAAAAAAGCATCTTCAAAACGATATGTACATACACAACACATGTTATTTCATCAAGTTATAAAATCAGATATAGTTTTATAACATCTCACCGATGATACCAAAACATTTATTTTACACGCATCTCTTGAATTTTTATCAGTAAATTCAACGACTTTTATTCAAACTCTTTAAGAGGGAGTGGCACTTTCTTTTTCTAACTTTCGTTTGGCCTCTATTTTTTTTGCTTGTACCACTTTTTCTTTCGTATTTTTTGAGCTATTATTTGAATCACAGCGAAGGAGAGACTTTTACGAATTTCGTCTAAGACTTTACAGCTTTATAATTGGAAGTAAAAATTTTAACGCCAACGAAAGCGAATGCTATTGTTCTGTTGAAAGTTACTTAGTTTTACGCAAGAATATTATAATTGGATGATGAGCTTTTTTTTTCTTTAAGTCATAAAAATTGTTAGTCCAGTTCTATTGTATACTGATAAACATCAATAACAATTTGAGAATGAAATCTTTATATGGTAGCTACTTTCGTAATATTAAATGCATATATAGAATGTTTTTTCATTCTAGTCAATTGTTAGACAAGTCATCGTTTATCTTAAATAATTTTTGGAAATCACATTTATCCATTATTCATTTTCGTTATTTCAAGAAATTTAAACAGGCTTCAATTAACAATCTCAGAAATTTCAAAAAATTTATTTTTTCAAAGTAAAAAGAAAAATACTCATTAAAAAAATGGTTTTATAAAAGAAACTTATTTGGTAAAACTGAGAATGTAATCTCCAAACATACAAAATACAAGTACAAAATAAACAAAATATTCAAAGTGAATTAAGAAAAGCGATTGTACATATAAGTTTACTAAAAAGTCACTTGATATTTGTCAATTTCATCTCTATGAATATATGAAAAGTGCCTTTAATCACATTTAGTAACATTGAAGGCGAATTACGAAACTTGCGAACATTGCTTCAGTGCTTGAAATATTCTTGCTTCCCATTTTCCATGAGTTCCATAATACACCAAATCAACTTCAATATGATTTCCAGTCACGTCTGTAGCGAGTTCAACATGTTTTCCACATAAAAATCTCTTTCGGATTTGCTGAGCTCCAATTTCTGATAAATCGTAGCTACGAGAAAAGCTGTGTAATCGTCTATAAGCTCATCTATAAATACATCAATTTTGTGAACATGAGAATCTATCGGCGTCAATTCTTAGCAGCCATTTGTAAAGTAGAAAACTTAATTTATTTTGAGACAAAGACTTAGTAAGAATTTTGTGTTTTACATCTTCTTCGTAGATTCCGACAAGTGAAGAGATACCTTTAAACATTTGTGGACACAGTGCTCTCAAGGTAATTACCCATACAATTTTTTAAAATAGAACAACAAGTTTATTAAATTTACAAAGCACAAGTAATAATATAATATGATAATTGCATTTCCTAAAATTTTAAGCTTCAGTCATCGAGGAAGAAACACCATTATCAACATTCACACTTGATTCTAAACCATACCGAAGCTATACCTGTAATTTATATATGTAGCCTCCATATTTTAAAATTCGCGCGTGAATGGGAGCACGTGGAGAAGACGCAACGTTGCCAGATGTTCCATATTCACTGTGGTAACTTATAAATTTATGTTAAAATTTATTCAATATTTTTTTATACGAGTTCTAAATGATAATTTTACAAGTATAATTATGAATTAAAGATTTTTTTACATATTTCAGAAATATTTCAGAATTTTTTAATTTTTTTATGTCATTATAAACCAAAAAACTAAATTTGCCAATACTTTCACACATTATTTAAAATAATTAATTATTCAACTTTGAAGCTTTAAATAGTTACAAGACATGAAACATAACTCAATTAAATTGTAATTTACGTCCTGTTCGAATTAAAAGCAATTTTTATTTTAAATTCTTCTTTTACTATATATTCCCTTTTAAATGCTTCCAGCCTGCAGATTCGCAACATTCACATTCCCCTCCTATGTAGAAGCTAGTCTCCAACCTTGCCGGTAGTGCGGGAATATACACAAATACACGTACACGCTCTTTTTCTTTCGGTCTCCCCTCCTCGGCAGAGTTGCGCAGCGCTCGCAGTTTCGTCCACACAGTGAAAGAGAAGATAGCTGATTCACATGTAGAGTTTTGATAAAATAATCTTGATTTTGACGATTTGTATGCCAATAGTGTTTTGTTATTATCAATGTTATTTTGTATGAATAGTCATAATTAAGTACAACTTTAAAGCCGGCCGGCATTGAAGAAAATATATGCACAAAAGGACTGAGAAGCGCGCAAGTTACCGGCAGATTCTCTTATATAGTTACTGTATAGCTCACGTGTTTGTATATGTGATGCCCGGCTTTGCCAACACATTGTCAAAAAATATTTGTGCATCTAATGTTTTATCGATAAAGCGAGACGCTAAAGTGTAGTACGGGACGATCAGTAATAAACAGCTGTTACCTTTTGTTTTTTTATTGTTTTATTTGTTTTTTTATATTTGCAACTTGTTCGAGGTTGGACGTCATAACCTTTCCTTTGTTTTGATTACGTTGCTCCTTTTACTTCTACATTCCACACATCTGCCCCACCATTGCGGATCGAAAGAAAGTAATTAACTTTGTACAGAAGTATATGTAGCCAGATAACATGAATAAATTGAAACAGCTGGAGCAATATTGCAATTAAAAATGAAAAGGTGCGTACAAAATATTCAAAAAAAGTTTATTTAAACTAATCTATAAGTTTAATACAAATATGATGTAAATTTGATCGTAAACTTTAGTTAGAATACTGATTTTAAATAAATATAAATCACGTGGGATTATTTTTTCAAGATTATATTTGTAGTATCATTAAAAGAATGCGGCGGGCAATCTAAATTATAAATTTGATTATATCTTATTAATTTCAAGTTTACATGATATATTATTTCTGGTTATTATTTAACTCATTTTTTTGGGTGAATGACTTTAATAACTTAATAAAATTTTATATCGAATGAGTATTTATAAGCTATTTTACACTGTATAAAAAAATTATGCAACCTAAATATCCTGTTAAACGTCTATCGTAGAATCGGTTATTCTTGCTCTATACATAATTTTGAGTATGATTCAAGTCATCTATCTTTCGTTAATCTAAAGATGGATGGGTATCTCCATTATTTCATGTAATCCACAAGTAATTGGTCTATAATGGTTTTTACGATGAGTAATTTATCAAATCCAACATCGTCTTAACGTGTAAAGAATGTGAGTTCCGCTAGAATTTTTAATCTCAAGTAACATTTTTCCTACAACAATAACAATAAAAAAACTAACTAAATTGTTCATTAGATATAATTTTTTTTGGTATTTGTTCGTGTCAAACATGTTTTGTTTATTCTGTTTACATTGCTTAATAAAATATAGTCGTTCAAAAGTTAAAGCAAAAATAACTTAAAATCTATATGTAGACAAAGCATTATAGCGTTATACTTATCTTTGAATCAGATTACATTTCGAAGATAGACGACGTTTGTTTCAGTAACATAAAGAAAACGCGAATCAAATGACAAAATGAAGAATGAGATTTACACATATCTACACATAAATACATTTCAATGGTCAATATGATTTTTCTTATTGCACTTATTGTAAATTAAATTTAAAAATCCAGTTTGAAGACAAGGCCTTTGTAGTCTAAACCGCACGATACGAAAAATTGACCTATCAAGAAATGTTGTACGATACTCATGAGTTAAGTACTATCGTTCTCCGTAATTATTATCCGAGTGTTAGTGCTGTGTAATAATGGAGTATTAAAATCCATATATACACTCCTCAATAATGTATTATGTCCGAAGCTTTTGAACTTGAACGATTCTAGTCTAAATAAAGATAGAGCATGCTCGATTTAACCTATCAGTATATTTTTATAGATTTGTGACCTATAACTGAGGATTACTTTAAAATTTGAAAATTTAAGTTTATAAAAACTACTGACTGACATATTCTTGATTATGTTAGTTATCGTATTCTTACATATATTAATATAATAATAATAATTTATTAAAAAAGAAATAACTGCATTATATATCACTTCATAAAAAGAAAAATTAATTCTAATATGTATGTTTTATAACTATATCGTATATCTACATGTTGAAGGTTAACTCACATAGCTTTTATTTATATTTATTTTCCTTATTTTTATTAATTTCATGTAACAATCAGCTCATTTGTTTAAAAACAATTCAAATCGATATTTGCTCTTCAATTTTTCATTCTACTTCAATCATGGAATGAAATTCATGAAGACGATACATTCAATAGAGATGGAATCGTACTCCATCTTTGTTTTGACTCAAGTCGTTCAAATTCAAAAGATTCGGACAGAATACATTTATGAAGAGTATATAGCAATTCTTTATTTAATAAATGAGCATTTTATATAAAAACCAGTTAATTCAATTCAAATAAAATTTAAATATATAATTTCAATGACAACTTGATTTTGTTCAAGAATATTTCATTTTAACATTTGTTAAAATAATTATTCAATTATATTTTATTTTGCTAATTATTTTTATTTGATGTGCCACAAATTTTCTTTTATATCGTTAACATCTAAAAGAATTCGTTATTAAAATTACTGAAAATTCGTTATTAATTAAAATACATTGAGTAAAATTAAAATTTAGACAATATAAATATAGACAAAACAAAAATTCATCATTTTTTCTTTTATTTCAGTTAGCAGAAATGAAGAACGTCCTTTAGTCAAATTAACAATACTATCAATTAAAAATCGTGCAAAGAAAAATATACCACGTCAGCATAAATGCAAATTAGTGAAATGAGTGTTAATTGTCAACTGTTAAGTGACTCGTTGCTACAATTGTTTATTGACTATGCCTGGAACGAAAAACTTTACGGCGAACGTTCCGATAACGAAGCCAAAAAATTTCGAGACTGGGTGTCATCCGAAAATGTAGATTTAAACAATGAGAATTGGCCTTTCTTATTAAAACCAGTATACGATCCTGAATGTTTTCACTCCCAAGTTTGGCTTGTAGACACTATTCAGGATGTCTTTTACAAGGTAGTTTGCCAATTAGAAAATGTCTTACCCATCTTATTCGACTGTAATGGAAACATTAATTTTATCGACAAAAATGGCAGAACTATACTTCATATTTTTATTGCTGGTACTAAAAATAAAGCGAGACAATCACAACGTAAAATCGACAAAAACCTAATTCTCATTAAATCATTAATAGAAAATGGTGCTTCTGTAAATATCGTCGACCAGCACGGAAATACTCCTTTCTCCTTAGCAGCACTGTACGGACAGAAAGAATACTTACAAATAATGTTAACAAATTTTACAAATACCGACACCTGTAATGAACATGGAAATACTGCATTACACATAATCGTGGATCAAAGTCTGACGATCGAAGGTAAATACGAGAAGGAATATCCAGAAATTGTTAGATCTCTTGTTCTCAAGGGTGCTGACTTAACGAAAAAGAATAATAAACGATTAACACCGGTACAACTGGCTGCCAGTAAATATAATATCGAAGTTTTGAAAATTTTTAAGACTAACGGAGCAGATTTTAGCATACTTACAGATGATGGTGAAAACTTGATATTCCTCGCTTGTAAAGATATGTGGTGTGTTAAAGACGAAATGAGAATACAAAAGACTATTGATTTTTTAGTTAACGAAGGTTGTGATATTAATAAATCAGACAATAAGGGTTATTTTCCTTTACATTATGCATCTTTATGGGACAGAGCAGTCAAATGTTTGATTATATATGGTGCAAAAATTGATTGTCGAACAAAAATTCATCAACAGACACCTTTACATTGGGCTGTGAAAGGATATCACTTCAATTTAGATACAATTAAAATTCTGGTACAGGCTGGTGCAAACGTCAATGCTAAAGCTGCGGACGGTGCAACTCCATTACTGATGGCTGCGATGACGAGTAGCCCCGAAATTGTTCGTTTTCTCATTGAGCAAGGAGCTAATGTGAATGATAAAGATGACATTTTTGGATTCACGCCGCTTCATCTAGCTGCGATTGAAAAAGAAAGTTTTGTATTGTTAATAGATAAAAGCAATGATATAGATGTATCAAGTAATCATGGTGTGACACCTTTCCATTTGGCTTCTCTAACAAGTAATTTGGACGTTATGGAATTGTTAATTACTCGTAGCGCTAAAATTGACTGTCTCGACAATTTGAATCGAACGTTATTGCATATGGTACTATTGGGAAATTTTTTCTTAAATCTTGAGAAGCTTTTGGACAGATTTATAGACGAACAGTTGAAAAAAGTAAGTTTTATTGATGAGATGTGGTCGTCATGGTGGTGCAGATACAATAGTCATTGCCAAACAAGTGCTATTGAATTAATAGTTAATACTAAGAAATCCGATGTAAATGCTAAAGATATAAATGGTAGAAGGCCGCTTCATCTGGCAACACGAGATCCTCTTGGAAGCTCAATTGAAACGCTGCTAAAATTGGGAGCTCAGATTGATGTCTTCGATCAGAATCGTAGATTACCTTTTCACGAAGTACTCGAAAATGAAAATATCGAAGGTTTGAAGTGTTTGTTGAATTTCGGTGTGGATTTCAATGAGAATAATATAAATCATCTGATAATTCGTAGTAAAAAAGATATAAAGGACGTGTTTTTTGATCATTTAGTAAAAATAGATATGGCTGGCTTGCCAATTGCTAATGTTTACAAATTTAATGTCACTGTAGCAAAGTACGAAACGGAATTATATTGCGATTATATGAATGAAATTCAAAAAATGAAGGAACGCGTAATGGACGACAGCAGTATGTCATTGTACGAATTTTTAAGAACAAGCTGGAGACGTAGAATTGTCTTGATGCCGTGTAAGTTTTATGACGCATGCAGTGAATTCGAGTTTTATAAAAAAATCATTCATTCAAGTTATCGCAAAGCAATCGAAAGACAACAACTTTTTGGACCAGCTCTTAAAGCTTGGTATGAAATAACCCGCTATAATTTACCTAACGTTTGCGTGGAATTTATTTTGGAATTTATGACTAACGGTCAGTTGACTGAGCTGATAGAATCTGCAGGTCTCAATTACGTTGACACGTAATATAAAATAATACCAATTAATGTATTGTGTACATTAAAATTAAATCAAATTTACTTACAGTTTCTAAGATAATTTTAATGTGTAATGTGTGTGACTATAATTAAGAATTCCGTAAAGCTATTTTTATAAATAACATATTAGTATTCGTAATATATACTATAAGATTTTAATAAAATTTTATTATTTTTATACACTAATGTGCCACTTATTTCTTAATAATTATCAAAATATGATTTTAAACAATTAATACAAATTAATATACTTATATCAAAAATTTTGTACGCATATAAAAAGTTGTTTAATATTAATTAGGCATAACATAAACAAAACTTCATAAAAACGTTGTTTTATTTATATCAACGATGTTACAATTTATGTAAGTGTTGACATGTAATTATAACATTCACTTCATAAAATGAAACGCTAATGTATGTATCAGCAACATTCGATTTAGCATATTCGTAGCCTCCAAATACAATACCAATTAAGTAATAAGTTAAATCAATCGAAAGTATTAGGAGATCGTCACTGTTATTTTATTCAAATACGGCAATTTATTTATATACATAGACTTGTATATAGGGAATAAATAAATTTGTATTTATGATATTTATAAATTAATAATACCTGCTAAACATCTTCGCTCTTTCTGCATAAGCAATAGATAAAACCGTATTATTTATAACTGTATATTTAATATTTGATAAAAATATTTGTATTTTTATTGTCAATTACTGAAAGCTGTATTTCTTACAGCATATTACTTTTAAAACCATCTGTAATATATTTTATATTCTAATTTAAAATGTGTTTTAGTAAATTGAGCAATATCCTAGTTTAAGCTTAGATTCAAATACGAAAAAAATTTAGTTAAAAATGATTTTGAATGTTTTTCCATCAAAAAAATTTAACCTTTCGTGTAATGTAAGTTAGAATCGTTGTATTTCGCGGCGTATTATTCAAAAATTTACTGTAATATGTTTCCCCCAGCCAGCTACAGAGGAGAAAGTTCCTACGTAATTGTAACTTTTTACGTCATCGGTCGAAGGTAAATAAATAGGATGGACTGCATCTGTAACAAATAGACATGGTTATATAACCATTCTATTATTATATAATCATAAAATTGAAAAAAGTGAATTTTTAGACAAATAATAATTTAGCTACTGGTAAATTGTATATCTGTCGAGTTTCAGAACATCAATATCATTTCGTAGCGTATTTTCATCAAATTTTGGATTGTAACTTTTTCGATGACAATATCAGATCCATCATTAATATATACTATTTGATACATCCAAACAATAAGTCGCAGTTACTAAGTATCGGAAACAGGATATTCAAACGCCTTTATATCTAAAGCTAACGTACTTTGATGATGCACTGAAAACAAGTAAGGCAGTCTATGGTTAAGCACCTATAGAAAATAAAATGATTTCCTTCATCGAAGGTGGAAAATGTTCCCAATCCTCTCCTATTTTTTTCCATTTTTTTATATTTATATTAATATTTTTTTTATTATTATTATTTATTATTTATTATATCTTAAAAAACTGAAAACTGATGAGTTGCCAACATCCAACGTTGTGATTGGTTAATGCGAACAAAAGCGCGAAATTTTGAATTTTCGTATACTTTGAAATAATTGTATTGTACATTTCGAGATGTGAGACTTACATTTCAGCAATAAAGTCAATTTATAGCAAAAATGGAAATATGCCGTTAATAAATCATTTTAAAAACATAAGATATTATGATTTGAAATTATTAGTATAAATTAATAATAATAAAATGAAATGAAGGAAAATTCTTTTTTATCTTTTGTACAAAATTAAGAGGTCTGCGAGCAATGGATACTAATTATCAGAATATTCAATCCAGTAAATTTGAATAATATTCACGAGTGTTTGTTCGCGGCATCTGCGCTCCATGTGCGTAGCACGAGAGTAGAGAGCAATAATTTATAAAATTTTTTTTGGTTGCTGTAAAAGTGAAAGTTCATTTGGAAATGCGGTCCTTTGTCGTTTAATGAGTTTTTTTTGCGGATGGGGAAAACCCAGAATATAAACATGTGCGGCAGTTCCAGCGGTGCGCGCGGAAAAAAGGCTATGGTCGTCCAGCAATTGTCGCGCAGGTAAACGTGGAGGGAAATCCGGCTTTATATCCCTTGCAGCTCTAATTGGCCCCACGAATATGCCCAATGCTGGAGAAAACTCTCTGATCCTTCTTCAGGAAGGAGGAAGCAGTCAGTAGTTCTCGAAAACTCGATCCTTGCACCTCGTTGCTCTCTCTTTCAATTACCTAGTTGCTCTTTCAGTTAACTTGCTGCCTTCAGTTCTTTACTTCGTTGTGATAGCTAATAGTAATAGCCTTCAGTGGTAACGCGTGTGCTGAACGTGAGTGCGAGATTCTGGCTTTACATCACGTTCTGAGGACAACAGTTGCGTGCGAGCACAGTGTCGTGCTTTTTTTATTCTGTGTTAAGTGACTTGGCGAAACCGTGATCGCAACAAGGGCTACCGGCACCCGTTGGCCTAGCTGAGGATATGCGTGATATCCTCTGAGGCGTCTCCGACCCTGGGCAGCTCAAACAGCAGCAACTTGGCCCTACTCTTAGTAAGTAGCGTAACTCTTTGTACATTTGTCGATTGTGTTTGCTCATATTTAGATGGCTTTTCCCTACTCATGACTGGGGTTTTTATGCCGAATAAATACGAGCCTAATTATACTTGATAAAAATCTAATAAAAATAAATCCATGTCCTTTATTTATTCAATATTTACGTACCATATCCGTATTAAATTTCAAAGAACTTAATATACATCAGATTTATAAATTCTTTCTTATAGGTGATTTGAATTTCTGTGCTGATTATATTTAACTTGGAATTTCTATAAAATAATTGTCCCATTTGTTCAGTGTTTTTAACAGCAACGATTTTAACAAAAATACACGCGATATTAAATAGATTACTTACGCCAAGACTATAAGAATGAATATAATAATAATAATGAAAAAGCCATTATAAAGAAAATACCATATTTGAAACTTCATCATTTAAGCAATAAATTTTATTCATGACATTTGTTTGTCCACAAATTATTCCTTATAAAATTAAATTTTAGGTGCTGGACCTAGTATTCAAATTTGAATCGAGTTAAAATATTAGAAAAATTAAAAACAAAATTTATAAGTAAGCCAATCATTATTTCATGAGATGAACTGACGGTACCGAGTATATAATAGCAAGTAAATCAATTATTTATTGAATTAAAAATATAAAACTGTTGTGACCCATTATTAAAGGCTCGTGGATACTATCTATAATCAGTCAGAGCAGTATCCACGGATTTTCCATGAAATATTTTGCTCAAATGTGCCACGTATATATATGCTCATAATCTCGTCGATCATCATCATTGCGCTTTCTCTCTCTCTCTCTCTCTCTCTCTCTCTATCTGTGTGTGTCTCTGCTGTCGGTTTCCTCTGTCTGTCTCTGTCTCTCTCATTCTCTCTCTCTCTCTCTCTCTCTCTGTTTCTCTTCCGCTTCTCACTCTCTCAACCTTTAACGCATGCGCACTACTTCGATTATTCGACCCTAAGCCTTACAGTGATCACAAGCCAAAATAGTTCTGTATTTTTAATTCAATAAATAATTAATCTACTTGCTATTTTATACTAGATGCCGCCAGTTGATCTTATGAAGTAATGATTGGCTTATTTATAAATTTTTTTTATCAATCTTTCTAATTTTTTACTTCGATTCATACTTGGGTACTGGGTTCAGCATCTAAGAATTAATTTGTTTTTCAAGGGATGATTTGTGTATGAACAAAGAAATGTCATTAACAGAATTTATTGTTTAAATAATGAACTATCAAATGGTTAATTACTTTTTCTAATAACTTAAAAATAAAATCTGGTTGGTAGCTTTTAAGGCCTCAATCAGCCCTATTCCCTCCGATCAAATAATTTAGGTGTTCGTAATACCAGACTCCTCGTTGTTCCACGCGCCACCTTATGTATATGAGACGTAAATAATCACAAACAATGCGGTTCGATAATTCTTGTTTGGTCTCTTTTTATAAATGTTTTTTTAGTTATTTTTTGTTTGTACTGAAAATACCAGAGAATTTAGTTTTATCATATGATTGACAATTTAGCACATTAGATTTTTATTAATGCCTTTTTTCAATTTCATTAACGAATTCAATGGCATTATCAGTTATTTTAATTACTATTAATATATTATATCACACAATCTAATTAAACCACCGAAACGTTATATAGCATTTGTTAATTAATATCGCACCGCGTCACTTGAATAAATCTCCGTTTGCAAATTGCAGAATTTACAGTAGTTTTATTTTACTAGTTCTTGAAAGACCTATTATATCTGATACATCGGATATTTCGATCCGATCATTAGTAAGTCATTATTGCAAAACCAGAACGGCGTCATCATATGTTGAGTACTTTATTTTTATTGTCAATACTTTGAAAATGTGTTGAAACATAGTGTGTTTAGTATATACTTTGTATTAAAATTATGTATTAGTTAACAAATGTAATTGGTATGGTAACCCCAAGGATATCTCATTGTTACCATATGCGTCATCCATCTTAGGGAAAGAGTTAGCCGCTGATTATAACGCACCTTTACACTACTATGTGGCCACCATTACCGCTCAAAAAAATTGTACTCCGAGTCTCTAAAAAATAGCCTTCCAGATTTGGTAAAATTCAATTGCGTTGATTGCTCCGTCAATGCCGTACCTACATTGTAATTCACTGCTACTTGTGTCTATACGTTGAAAGTTTATTCAATTAGTTTAGCTATATTTATGATTGAAAAATACGTATTAATGAATGAAAAATTATCAGTAATAGTTTGAAGTTGAAAAACTGGACAGTCGCTGGAAATTGGTTGAGTAAATATTTAGTTATAAAATTAAAATATAGTAGTAGATAATTATTATTTTTATTCATATTTTTTATACATACTTTGTGATTATTTTACTTTTTTCAGATGAAAACTAGCCCAGTTTTTCAACTTTAAACTATGACAGAATTTTTCATTAAAGTCTATGTATTTTTCAATAATAAATATAGGTATACTAAATGAATAAACTTTCAGCTTATAGCCGTGAGTCCATGAGTAGCAGTGAATAGTAAGATAGGTACGGCACTGACGAATCAGCGAAAGCAATCAATTTTACCAAATCTGAGGTCTATATTCTAGGGACCCACAGAAAAATTTTCCAGCACCGTTAGTTAATCCAGTGAGGTTTTAGGCCTCGCCACATGTGCGCATACGCGCGCGTACGAGGGCGCACAAACGTGTATAAATAGCTAAAAATTTTGATAGTGCCAACTACAGAAAGTTACTACTATTCCTCGCATGCCCCAAACGAACACACTTACTCCCGGAACAAACGTATCATAACACTATATTATTGAAGGTTATGATACGTTTGTTCCGGGAGTAAGTGTGTTCGTTTGGGGCATGCGAGGAATAGTAGTAACTTTCTGTTGTTGGCACTATCAAAATTTTTATCGATTTGTACGTGTTTGTACGCCCTCGTACGCGCGCATATGCGCATATGTGGCGTGGGCCTAATAACATTCGTTTCGACTCACTTATAGTCGTCCTCCAATCTGTCATAAACTCGTTAATATTTGCATCAGTGAAACTTGAAAAACAGTGAAGTTGTTCAGGAGTTGAAAATTTTGTCTTTTTTCAGCAGAAATATTTGTTAGCAGCACAAGCAATCGATAATGCGGGTAAGTTGTAGAGTAAGGTTATATTATGGTTCGACGTTCGTATTGGCTAAACAACAGCGGAACAAATGTGACTGTACATCTGTTAATTCGATATTTTACTCATTAAGGATTTTCTCTTGTATGCAAGAGCTCTCATCCGACTTTCTCTATCTTAATATCTTATATCTTAATCTTAATCTTGAAATCTTAAAAAATGATAAGTCACCGGCATCCAGTGTTGTGATTGGTTGATGCTCAAAAAAGAACGCGAAATTTTGAATTTTCGCATACTTAGAAATATTTTTATTATATATCTAGGAGTCTGAGATTTATATTTCAGCAGTAAATTCAGTTTATGAATAATTAACATAGATAATAATCTACAATAATAGAAAATTTGAAGAATATGCACGCGTGTTTTTATTGAGACAACAAAAACCATACGATATTAAATGTATTACACATATATTAATATGAAATTACAAATGAAGCCACAATTACTATTATCGAGTATGTAAAATTTAGTGTTGTATAACAGTATAATTTATTTATCGTATGTCGAATTGATCTTTTGGATAATTTATCATGAAATGAGTAAAAGTTTATTTTTTGTGAAAAAATGGGTGCAAGTTTCATTTTTATTCATTAATTAATATTGATGTACGTAATGTATTTTAAACGTCATAATTTACTCGTGTCCATTAGAATCTCCAAGTTGGCACGTAAAAGGTTCAAATAATGTAATATAAAAAATGCGAAGCGTGCTAAATAACACTAGTTATTGCACAAGTTTGAAAATATTCTCCATAGTATTTATTTTTCTCTTATCTAAGTCTTTTGCAAAAATCAATATGTACTTTCGTTTATTTAAAAAAATTAAAACCTAAAGAGTTGAAATATACGTAACTTCAATGGATAAAACTGTTACGAATTGTTGAAAATGCTAATTTTTCCAGTACTATATTATTTTTAAAGATTTCAATAAAGAGTTTATCTATTTTGAAATGTTAATATTTATAAGAAACAATTTTAGAAGCGATTTAATGAAACGACGTAACAACAAACGTACCATAGCTTTTTAACAATAGTATAATTTTCAACTTTTAAAAACATACCGATGCCTATTTTTGAACACGCTTATTCATTCATGATGTACTCATTTTGATTTTCTCAAAGTTTCGTGATTTTTTAAAGAAGCTTGCTACGTAAATCTTCAATGGAAAAACAAGAAAATTTAGTTTTCTATATATTCTCCTGTAAGTAAATTTATTAATTTTATTTTTGACAATTTATACAGAAAGTTTTTTTTAGAAATCACGAAATTTAGAAAAAATTGAGATTAGTACTTCTTAAATGGATGATGTTGTTAAAGAGATAGTTTTCAAAAGCTATAAATTTTGTTAAAAAACCATGGCGCGCCATTATTACGCCGTTCCACTAAATCGCTTTTATACTTTTTTCTCATCAATGTTGACATTTGAAAATTGATGAAGACGTTCTTAGGATCTTTAAAAAAAAAATGTTCATTTTTGACAATTCATAACAGAGTTTTAACTATCAAAATTGTACATTTCTTATCTCTTGATTTTTATTTTTTCTGAGTAAACGAAAGTACATATTGGTCTTTGGAAAAGACTATACGTAATCAAATACTATTGGGAATATCCACAAAAATTTTCCGTTTCAATCTAGCGATAAAAATTCAATCTGGCTTCAACTTAAGTGCAAATTGCGACACCTCAAATAATCTCGCTTATTACCACAATGTTGTCGTTTTTCTAAAAAAGCTTTTGCCTATTTGCTTATAAAAGTGCCATATTTTTTTTTGATGAATTTCTGAACAATATAGTTTCTATAGTCGTGCTTTTAAATAATTAAAAGGGACGAAATATTGAAAAAAATTATAATAAAATTGGAAATTCTAAAGGACAGTATATAGAAAGGAAGAATGGTGCGTAGAGCGTTATTTGACAAATATAATACGGGCCAGATTATTACTGGCTGTAAGACACATTCACGTACAATTGAAACGTTCGTATCTATGAAAATATCGGGGAAAGACCTAATTTCAACAAAGTTTATATTGATTTCAGTTTGGCCCTGATGCTCCGTTAATTTCTCTGATGAAAGAACAGAAGACCGGACTGGCGATGTCGCTGGTCGTATTAGAGGATTTGGAAGATGCAACTGACTCAATGAACAATACCTATTTGCACTATACGGTCGATTACGAGGCTCCAGAGGTCGCGTCGCTTTTAATACAGTTTGGTGGCGATGTGGATGCGAGAAATAACTTAGGGGACACTCCATTGATGAAAGCTGTTAAGGCCGAGGTGCCGTGTCCACGTGTGATAGACAATTTGCTACTATTCGATGCCGACGTTTATCTGCAAGATAGGGCTGGCAAAAGTTCGTTGAGAATCGTTGATTCCGTCGACTGGTTAAAGAACGATCCGAAAAGGTTTCAGGTTTTGCGGATTTTTATCGAATACGCGAAAAACATGATCGACTTCGATGTGCTACGCGAGGGAGACCGTCATGTGATCGAGCTGCTGCTACAAACCAACATCAATCTGAAAAAAGCCGACACCGAGCGCAGAACTCTAGTTCACATACTCGCAAAGAATCCGAACTACCGCGTTATCAATCAGCTGCGCGGTCGCGAATACGACGTGAACGCGTACGATATGTACGGAATGACACCGCTGATGTACGCCACGACCAATTGCCTCTTCAATAACGTGCAGTTTCTGTTAGAGGAAGGGGCCGACATCGAAGCTATCAACTTGGATATGAAATCGTCTTTGTTTCTATCGTTTTACCCGTACTTGGAAGGAGATGCTTGGAAGACCGCTGCAGTTCTGCTGGAGCATGGCGCCAACGTTCAAACACAAGCGGCATTTCCCCAATTGGCAACGATCTTCGACCTGTTAAACAGCGACACTGACCCAGACACTAACTATGGTGCGGCTGAACTCGCTCTCGCCCATTTGGCTTTGCAAGAGGCGCTTGGAACACCGATCACCAACTTGGTTCAATCCAAACTCAGTACGAATCAGCGTTTCTGCGACATCTTTCAGCAATGTCAGCAAGAACTTTTAAATACAGTGTATCCGTCCACCAGTTTGCTCGATTGCCTTTCAGTCGTCAAGGATAATTTGGAGCAATACTTTATCTCCAACAAAGCGGCTGTAGAATTTCATCTTTACAACACGAGCAATGAGTATTACCGTATGCTACTACAAAACCGCTTCAAGAATATATCTAGAAAACTAGCATTGACAAGAACAGCTGCTCACGTGATTTGTCGATTAATGTCGCCAGATTTTCTCTGTTATCCAGAAATCGGTTTTCGAGTTGTTCAATATTTGAGTGACGAAGAAACTCACCTTTTAACAATGATAAAAGAATAACTATACTAACTACATGGCTTCAGATATTTCTACTAAATCAATCAGATAATCATGTATTGATATATTGCCAAATAATTGTTAAGATCAAATCAATAAAATATCAATTTTTTGACATACGACATTCTGTATATTATTATGTGTATGCTTTTCGTCAAAACTATAAAGTGCTCGCAAATGGCACAGACAATCACTTCACGCGAATCGTATCGTCATAATAGACATGGATTTGATGGCTTACACATTTGAACTTGAACCCCAGAAGCCTTCAAAGCAACATAGTATGAATAATAATAAAATTAATATAAAAATGTATATTACAATTTATTATTGAACGGAATAAATCACATTTTATAAAGCACGCTACAAATAATACGTGAACATAACGAATTTTAGCGTAATATCATATAAAAATATGTGCAAGTTGACCAGCTGAAAACTAAAATAATAGCGTCATATGTAGAATTTCAACTGCTATCAACGAACTCCATAACGCTTAACGTAAACAACAAGTTCTCTCACAGATTCTTCTATTCTACAACGATAACCTTGATCTGACTGCATGACCTTTCGAATAAAATCTTTGCGATTGACGAAGTGATAATATTGATAATGAATAGGATCTTTGGTGTAATCTCTGGCGAAACGTTTATTTAAAAATACTAGAGGTCCGATTTGCACGGCTGCGAAAAGTCCATGTAATCGTTGCCTCTGCACGGCTTGCAAGACTTTCTCCAAGCATACGACTTGATCGATCGATATGCCATTCAAAGTGAGGGTCTGCTCCAACACCGAGTGATACACTTTTATGGCGAACTGTTCGAGCTTGGTCCTCATCGCACCGTCCAGGTTCAAGTGAAGCAACTGGATAATGTCTATGGCAAACGGCGCGTACACAACCATTTGAAAGTCCAAAAGCCGACAAAGCTTGTCGTCTATGGAGAACATCAGATTGTTGATCCACAAGTCTTGATGGCAAATGACATTACATTCGCCATCGGTCAGACGGTTTCCTCGCGTCATTTCCTCGTATGCTGTGACAATGTACTCGGACTCGAGGCCCAAATCGCGAGCTATGCATTCAGCCAGCTCTAGACCAGCCCTCAACCACTTTGAATTGCGCCCGTCGTCGCGCTCGAAACTTTTGGCCCTGAAAAACCCTTGAAACGCCTCTGTCAGTGGCACTTTCAGTTGACGTTCCAGTAGCATCGAGCAGGCGTGAAAACGCGCGACCGCGGTAACAGCAGCTCTTAGCTGCGACGCCGTTAGTCTTCCGGCGGCCAAATGAAATCCCCGAGACTTTAAGTTTTCCAACACAAGCACGTTGTCCTTGGCCAGGTAACACTGCGGCGACCATCGCTCCACGTGAAATTGACGAAGCCGCGGCAAAAAGTCACGGTAAAAGTGGCTTTCCTCGCGAAACACTCGCGAATTGAAAGCGCTACTGTTCGCTACCGATGACTTTACGAAAAATGTGTAACTCTGCGCCAACTCGCGATTGCCGACTGTGCATTTAACTTGAATGGTCAACAGCAGTTGTTCGCTCAAATATCCGAGCTTTTCGCTGTGCAAAGGTACGATATGGAAGTCAATAGACTTGATACTTTTCAAGCTTGAAAATCTACTGACTACCGTTGCAACTTCTTCTCGAGTTAGATAGTCAGTCGCAGCGGACAACACCAGATGTTGTGACATCGTGCGGATTTGAAAAAAAATCACACTGGTCCACTGATTTGTAATTCAGCCGTTCTTCACATTCACGCCGACAGTCGTATCTGCGATAAAAAGCATCCTTCTGATATAAAGCTGATCGTGCCCATGAATGTTTTGAAGTGCACGACTCAATGTGATAAGAAATAATTATATTCTTAAAATATTTTTGATGGATCGCCAATTTCATTAAATATCAATTGGATTCGCAATCTTAATGTTACTTTTATTTTCATTATTTCTCGTGTTCATCGTCACTTATATCGCTGTGCTTTATATATCATTCTTTTGGTATTAAGTATGGTAATATAGATATGGTAATTTCCAGTAACGCTCACATTGAGTTTTCACAAAAAATTTATTGCTGCGATAAGAAAACTATATCCATTTCTTTCTCGAATATTTATTACAATTAATCTGATCGCTAATATCTATAATAAGAATTTTATAAAATTATGGAAAATCAGACAAAAACGTACACAAGAAGTTTAGAGTTACAAAAATCAGCGACAAGTAATGATTAAACTTACCTCTAAGCGTGTCTACTGTGGATAATACCTTTGACGAATCTCGCTAGCTCTTTTAATAGCTCGGACTTTAGTTCCACCACTCAAAGTTACGTAATATATGCTAGCATTCTAGAACGTCAATATTTTTCAAATAAAATGGTCGATTTTTATCGTTTCAGGATAAATAACTGGGAACTCCGATTTCAAAAGTTTTCCTCCGGAAATTTTATACTATGTATGTAAAGGTATAGTTTCTATGTGCCTGATTGCTTGAAAGCAGCAATATTTTTTCAAAAATTTGAAATTACACGAGGGGCATTGTTACAATTTTTATCGATCGATTTACCGATGTAAAACGTATACTTGTGGATGACATCATTCACTATGGTAACCAATGACGTCTAGTCTTGGGCGTAATGACTTTATCTTAAAGGTAACTTAAGCGCCTCTGCTATGAAAAAATTTGCTTTGTATCGAATCTTATTCGCGAACATGATATCGCATGACGAAGAGTTTATTGTTACTTCTCGTATAACTTAAATTCACTATCCGATATTCTCCCCACGCTTAGTCATACGAAAAATGATATCACGATTAATAAAGAATGCTCTTTTCCGATTTGACTACTAAAAATAAATAATTGATACTGAATATAAAAAATTTGATGGCAATAGATTTAAAATCAACGGAAGCAGTTAAAAAGCCATTTTGTGATTATTAGGATCAGATTTATTCGTGAAAAATTAGTTAGATTATAAGCAATAATTATTTTTATAAAGAAAAGTCATTCATAACTTAGCTCTATATGTATTTTGTATTCAAAGTTCATGATATGGTAATAACCTAATTAATATGCTCAAAACACATCAAATAACATCTCAAAAATACATATTCTTAAACTCTCAATGTAATAAAATAATATATTACATTTATAAATATTATACAATATACATTTACGTATTTGGTATTGAACTTGCCTTAGTGCTCAGTAAACAATCACAAAATAAAGGAACTTTTGCTTTCTAAACGTTGTTTCAGAAAATACTATACCTAACATAATGGGAAAAAGTGTTTGGTCTTGTGTGTATTTTCACCCTCGCTTCATTCAAGTGTAAACCTCACACCAGAAAAGAATCTACTTTCTCATAATAGTTAGGTAATGTACTATTTTGTTAAATTTATCAATCATTTTAAAATGTAATTTGCAAATTCATAAATTAAGTGCAGATTATCATCATTTCTAAAACTTATTTGTTGACACCTATGAAAAAATTCATTATGTTAAGTACAAAGTTTTTAAAACATAATTATTATCATATACACACACATGCGCGCGCGCGCGCACACATAAACACATGCACGCGCGCACACATACACAGTTTAATATTACCTCAAACTTAGGACTTTTTTTCTAGTTTTATCAGCCCTCTTTCACTTGTTTTTCTTCAACATCCTTACCATTACTGTTTGATTCTTGATTATTTGTCTTTTTGTAGTACTTTAGTTTTCTTTTTAGATCATTAAAAATCTCTTTCACCCATACCCAATTCATTGGATCATCAAAATTGAACATACTATCAAAACCCATACCATCTTTTACATTATCCAATCTTAAGGGGAATTTTTAAAAAGCAGTTAATAATTTTGTTACAGTCAGCTGCTTTGGATTTTTCTTTGCTATTGCTTCTTTTTCCATGTCTATCAGCTACTTTACAAAGAGTGGATATGATGGATTTGTAAAGATATATGATGAAGATATCAACTCCTGAATCAATAATAATAAACACAGATGGACTTTTTTTATAACATAGTTGTCAGCAATCAATGTTAACATAGCTGGCTCAGTATACAAATCTTTATCAGCATTATTCTTTTTAGAATAATTAATATATTTTTAAGTCTCTAAAATAATTTTTTTCTTTAAGATGTGACCCATAAAAAGAAAAATTGTTTTATTACCCTACTATTCTATTTGATATCAGCTGTAAACATTCTTACCTTGATAACTGGGTCCTTGTTTATAATTGTACATTATGAACAAAATAATGTAATCAATGAAATCAATTTTAACTGGAATATAAAACTCATTTGTAACAAAGAATCACAAACGAATTGAAAGATTGTATAAAAATAATCAAGTCTTACAATTTGATAATACTACAAGAATATCAGATTTTTCATTAGTTGGATCAGTTTGATTACGTACCTAATTAAATGCACTCTTTCTTGCTCGCTATCCTCCACGATTCTCATCTTCATCATCTATGAAAACAATGAATGGAATGTTCCCTTAATGTTTGATTACTTGACTTTTCATATTTTTCTTGTTTCTTATCTAATATTTTACAAATCTTTATCCCAATAAACTTCAAAATTAAACAATCTTTTACAGAATTTAATTTGTTTGGATATTTTTGGAGTATCACTGCTTTTCCAACATTAAAAGCTAATAAATTTTCTTTATGTTAGTACAATCATCTTTGATTTCATTCAACCACTTCATAAATAATGGATTTTGGCTTTTATTTTCCTGGGCTCTTTTCATGATTTATACAATTTATTATACTGCTATTATCTATACTGAAAATATAAACAAGAATAGAAACTCTCTAATTCAGTAGATCTATACATCGAAATTTTATCTGTTTACATATCAGTCGATAGTAACTATGACAGTTTTCCAACTTCACTGATTGATTAACATAAAGTGAACTTATGCTTACAAAAATAGCTTTACAATTAGTGACTTGATTTTCATTAATACCAAACTGTTTATACATACATACTGCTTGAAAACTGTATAGTCTCCGACTACATGAATCCCATGGAGACTATAAATGAACTGCCAAAAGGTGCAAACACAAGGATCTATTTTGAACATAAAATATTATAAGGAGATCTAGCTTGAGTTATAAAATATAATACGATTTTTCCACTGAAACTTAAGCGAGAGGCGGAGCGATACAACTGGTTACAGCGCTCGATGCAGCGGCTATCGGTAAAGCGCTTAGAACGAGATAAACTTATTAGGCTCTCTCCAGATAAGATCCGAGGGTCAGAAAACCGCGCGGCATTTTGCAATTCTGTACTAACAATAGCTAAAAGCAATCTGGCAATAGCGTTGTGATATGTCGGATCGGAACATGTAAACACAGTTGACTAGAAGAAAGTAACTAATTAACTAACTTCATAACAAGTAAAGTAGCTAACTAACTAATTTCAACAAATAAATAATCAATTACAAAAGTACAAGGTGAGTTTTTCAATTAGTATTTGGCAAGTGCTAGTTCTTGAACTTCAAATGGTGATTGAGAATTTTTCATTAAATACTACGTATTTTTCAATAATAAATATAGATCAATTGATTGACTCAACTTTCAGCTTCTAGCCACGAATACCCGAGTAGCAGTAAATAAAAATGTATAGGTACAGCACTGACGGAACAACCGACGCAATCAAATGTCATTTTCTGAGGCTCCGCAGAGCAACTTTTCCAGACTCCGGAGACTTTAGACCCTGGTCCCATAGCTACGTATGAATGCGGACGGATACGGACGCGAATCGCAACTCTAGTAACATCACTAAAAATATCTAGTTCGATTATTTAGTACCAACACTACCGGTAGTGAGCAAAAGTAACTGTTGTTTAAAACTGTAGCGCCGAACGTACCACATTTAATGTTCAAATGTCAGGTCTACAATTTACTTTTCAAATTCTCATGAATATTGCTTAGTGATGAGTATGCTAATGTAAAAAAAGCTTTTGGGATGATTAATACATATCATTTATATATTTTTTCTTCTTCTCATATATTCAAGTACTTCCATAAAATTAACGCCTAATTCCACTAATTGTAGTTGAAAGTCTATCAATTCTCTATCATTTGCCATCTTATAGACTGCAATAATGTAAAGGTTAAATAAGCGTTCATTAAATGTGGTACGTTCGGCGCTACAGTTTTAAACAACAGTTACTTTTGCTCACTACCGGTAGTGTTGGTACTAAATAATCGAACTAGATATTTTTAGTGATGTTACTAGAGTTGCGATTCGCGTCCGTATCCGTCCGTATCCGTACGTATCTATGGGACCGGGGGGCCTATTCTGAAAAAAAATTTTGTGGTAAATCAGTTTGTCACTTCAGTTTACCACAGAATTAATCACTTTAGATGTGATAAATGCTTATGACATGTGCTAAAATTTTTTTTCAGAATAGGGGGGGGGGCCTTATTGTAGTGCTGGTCAGACGCAGTGACTAATGAATGTTAGTTTTGTGACGGACACGATCGACGCACAATGTACTGCGGAACGCATAAAACCCTAGCAAAAACACTAACTTCTAGGAATTCTGAAAAAAATGTTTCCAGTGGCAACCTTGCATGAGTATAATACTTCGAAAGAATTTAGTGACTTTTATTTGAAAAGAGAAGTTAATTGTCAACACTGAATGCTATTGTAATTTTTTATACGACATATATAATATGTTATTGCTGAAGATTACAATTATTGATAATAATAATTTTCAAAACAAACTAAGCTTTCGACATTAATATAATAATAATATTGACTTTTTAATAAACGATAATATATAATACTGCGAATAATATGTGACGTGACGCATATACACACACGCACACACTCACACATATATATATATTTATTTATTTATTTCTTAATTTATTATTCTATCACTGAGATCAATCAAAGGAGTTTATAAAAAATACATCTAATAAATAGACTTTTTTGATAATATGCAAGATATATAATTATATATTTTGTTCTAAAAATATTGAATAATAGAAATTAATGCGTATTTTTATGAGAATCACATGACTTAATATCTAGCGTTAAATTCTTAATATATTCATGCTACAAACATTCGGTATAGAATCGAAGAGAAATTTCAAGATTTGAGTTCGTTATAATATTGATTTGATTCTAAAGTTTAAATAAGTTAAAAATCTTGAATTGTATGTTATATCTTTTCGCCGATTATTTTTTTCACTTGAAAATTAATAATGGTGGTGGTAAGTTGAAGATCGCTGAAAAATTAACTATTGCTTTTTGTTTGTTAACCTCAAAATTCTAATTCCTTCAATACGCTCATCTGGCATCATATATCTTCCATTTTCCTAATGGATCTTGTGCGTTTTTACCGGGAAAATGTATATTATATATATTATACTCCATTCAATTGTTACTAATATTTTGTGTAAAAAATTTGAATAATTATAAATCATGAACGCGCGCAACATTCTGAAAAACTGCCTTATGTTCTTCCGTGATTCCCTTAAAACCATAAAATATTAGCCCCTCATATATCATAAAAAATCTTGAATATATGAACCATAATTTATATTTTAGTTTGACGAGAAATTACTGGAGTTAATTAGAATAGGGTCCAACAGCGATGCCAAGATGATCATTGAAAGAGGTAAGGGTATGCAACACACAATGGATGTAAAACGAGAAACTTTATTGCATTATGCAGCTGAATACGGAAATAAGGAGATGGTCGAATTTTTGGTGGATTTAAGAAGCAACATTAATGCAAGTAATGAAATTCAAGAAACTCCATTGATCAAAGCTATCGGAGCTTCATCACCGAGCACGGAAGTGGTAGAGTTTTTGCTTAGAGCCGGCGCCGATCCTCTGGATGCATTGTCCATTGTTAGCGAATCTTCCGAGTGGCTAAATAAAGATCCTACTATTGAAAAATATCATATTTTGAAAATGTTTATCGACTTAGCGTATGATTTTAGCCAGTTTGTTATACTACGCGAAGGACGCGAAGAACACATCAAATCATTGTTCCTAGCTGGTATCGATCTCCACAGGGTTGATCGTGCGAAGGGTAGAACTTTGGTACACGTACTCGCAATGAATGGGAGTCGCGGTGTCATTGATTTGCTGTACGGTAAAAATGTGAATATAGAAGCGCGTGACCGAGATGAGATGACGCCATTGATGTACGCAGCCTGCGCTAACAACGCCCGCGGCGTGGAATTCCTAGTGGAAGAATTGGGAGCAAATGTCGAAGCTGCAAACCAATATGGGGAAACAGCTTTGTACAGAGCTATTTACAGTGGAGATTTACCGCAGAGCAACAGGCTATCGATTCAAGCTCTTTTGCTGGTCGGTGCAAACGCGCAAATAAAATCTAAGGAAGGAATAACGATCTTTGACATACTCGCGGGAGATATCATATCCAACGGATTGGTTGACCTTCCGCTTGCTCATTTGGCCTTGCAAAAGGCACGTGGAGAGACCATAAATGAGCTCATTTATAGCAAAATTAATTCTAATGACAAATTCAAAAGTTACTTAGAGCACTGTCAGGAGGTACTTGAGCGTAGAATCGACGAGCACATTAGGTTAATTGATATACTGATAGCGAGCGAAAGAATAATAAAACACTACTTTAAGGATAACAAGTTCTTTAACGAAGTGGAAAATCTTGAGCTGGACATTGAATATTATGAATCAATAGTAATCAAGCATCTGGCCAAGTACGAGCTGATGATTCCATTGAGAAAGGCAGTAACTCCGATTATTCCTTGGCTAATGCACTTGGAATATGTAACATGCCCCTATGTATGGGGTAAAATCGCTTGGTACTTGCGTGAGAAAGATTGCCAGTGCTTAATTACACTTTATCACCGATATCAACTGTCCAAAAACGAGTTTCCTATCTAGATATGATGAAATATATATAATAAATCTGTCCAATATGCTCTACATCAACTAATATGGAACGATTGTATCAAAATAAACCTACATTAATTATATATATATCTATAAGGTTTTATTTCTACTTTTTAAATTTTGGCAGTATTTCAAATATAAATTTTTGTTTTTTCCTAATTCTGTATTCAACATTTGTCTAATAAAAATATGAAATTGAAACTATTTCTAAATATTTTTTCCCCAAAATAATCAGCGAAAACTTGAACAAAAGAAATCTCTTTCTGTAATATTAGCTTTCATTACTTTTGTAACTATGTTCCAACAACATCACGATATCAAAATGTAATAAAAATTTTTTTAAATACTTCTGTCTAAAAAGTCTAATAATTTAAACAACTTTTTTTCATTGAAAAAATATTGTCATTATCGTCAAAATATTTCCACATTGTGTGGAGTGATCATACAAATTGGAAAGTCTGAGAATTATATATCATTTTCATCGATTTCAAAAAGGAGGAGTTATTATTATAAAATATTAGACTCAAGTTTTTTTATGTATGTTTGCATAAATCTATACAAATTATTCAACCGATTTTAATAAAGGTGCAGGAATTTATTTGATAGATTATGCTAACTAAATGGTGCCGTTTTATTGTGTCCACTTGATTTAAGAAATTTTAGGAATGATTGCAAAAAGTAAATTTGAAGTCGGCTTTTTTAAATTAATGATGTTCTTGACATTACCTAGGTGTTTGTCAAAGTCTGGCATCAAGGGCTTCTGCACAACTGAAGAAATATTTTCCAAAACGTGATTACGAGCTGAATCATACATATAAAATAGAACTATACAAGTAAAAATAAATTAAAATGTAAATAAATGCCAATTAATAGAAGCAGACGAATCACAAAGCAGTATCTTAGACCGACACTCAGTCTGTTATACACTGTAGATTTACCAATAAGCTTCCAAACATCATAACAGTAGCAGTATAAACGGTACAGCTATTTTAATATCACATCCAGAGACAACTATAGTATCCAAAATATTACAAAATTATATAGTTAATTATCTTTAAAATTGGTTCAACTTATGAAGTATGTATTATAGTAAGTGAAAGCAAATCACAATACAAACGTCGTTCATTACGTTCCACAAAGCAATTACGTTAAATATCTATAGATATATACTTAGACCGAAGACTTACATGATAAAAGCATATCTTCACAAAACGGAAACATAACTGAGATTAAAATGGACAAAAATGTACTGAGCTCATCGGAGGAAAATCGGAGCTTACAATAGAAAACAAACTACTGCTATAATAAACTATATTGAAACCAATATGCACCTATGAAATTTAACTATGAGGTATCGCTTCAATTTCGAATATTGAAATCCTGGAAAGATTCCAGCCAAAACTCTTACCTAATACCGTACAGACACCATGGTTCGTCCCAAGCGAAATTATCCACCATGATCTATATCTTTTGCTGCATCACATATCTTTATATAATACATTTAGGAGGATTTTATTTATTTGCAAATATGTAGGTACAATGTACCGAAAAAAAACAACCAAGTAAGCGAGACTGCCGCTATTTTAATATTAAATTCACGTAAAAATTATGTAATCACTCAATTAATAATCACAACTTTTATCATTATAGCACACGAAGAAAAATAATACGATAATAATTAGTTATCAATTAGTTATAATTTTATTCACAAATGAAAGATCATAAATGTAAATTTCCAAAAAAAATTTACATTCGTTAACATGTTATAAATAATTGGTTTAACTATTTGATTCTCTAAAAGTAAATAAATTAAACAGTAACATGTTAAATTAAATTGTTCTATAAATAGATATCTCTAAAAATTAGCAGAAAAACACAATGAAAGAAAATTCAAATACCTTCCCAGCCTTGCGTCGTATTCTACTAATTTAATGAAAATCATCCCTTTTGCTGATGAATTTGATGCGTTGCAAAAATATATGACGATATAACGTAATGTTTCTTTAAGAACAGCTGCAAACTTAGACGAATTTAGGCCAAGATGCTATTTATACATATATTCTTTGCTAGCCTAAAGTTTAACCACACTCAATTTCTGTAATATAGCTATCAAATTTGGTATGTGTAGTCATAGATATATATAAATCAAAATAATGGCTGTACCTACAATTTTTACGTTTTATTATAATTTATATATATTTATTTATTTTAATGTAATTAACAATCAGAATTTTACCTAAAGAATTATATTTCAAAAATTAAACAAAACTTCAGTAGACGTCATTTAAAAACTCGCGCGTTATATATCCTCCCGATTTCCCCTCCAATCCCTCCACTCGCGAACTCGCGAACTCGCGCCTTGCGACATATGCACACACAGCATCCTTTTCACTTTTCTCCTCTCGTGGCGTTCAGGTGATTGCGGCTGAACATTGGCGAAGATGTAGGATAGTGGTGGGGGTCAGCCGGCGCACTCCCGCTACACACACCGTTCTTCTCTCTCTCTCTCTCTCTTTCCCTCTCTCTATCTCGATTCAATCCGCAGAGTTCAGTCGACTTGTCGACATGTCCATCTGTTGTTGTATCATCGTTTATCAGTGGATTCAATTGGTGTCTTACTGATCTGCAGTCGTGCCCCACAAGTGCAAGAACTGCAGTTCACTTGTTAACGACAACGGGAGGCTGCAATCTGTGTATATTGTCAATCATCTGCATCGACCATCTGAGAAGGTTGGTGAAAGTATAAAGCTTTTTTGTTTGTACGTTATAAAAGTGGGAGAAGCATTTTATTCGCGAGGTACATGGAGTGTGCGAGAAAAAGAGAGAGAGAGAAAGAGAATAGCTCTAGGAATGCAATGTAATTTTGAGCTCTCGCTCGTTACGTACATAAGGTGCGCTCTCCCTCTCTCTCGCTCTCGCGCTAGTGGCATAAGTGTGTCGGTGCATTCCGAGGCGTGTCAGTGCTTGTCATCGCCTCGCGTCGCACGTGCACGTGTATTCGTCAATGTGCTGCTTACTGGTGTGTGCTTGCGCGAAACCTTTGTCTGGCTATTAGTTGTTTTGATGTATAACACAGAGGACGACGCTTAGTTTAAATCCTATTAGTCTCGAGAGAATTTATAGTGATACTCTGCTATTTCTACGGTACAGTCCTTTCAGTATATATGCACAAGCGAGGCATTCTTAGAAAGTATACATTCTAAAAATGTGTCACAAATGCAGCAGCCGTTAGAATTTGCAGTAGAGCACGCTTTCTCTCGTCTGTGTCTTTTGTTTCATTGCCTTTTTGTGTTTTTATTAGTGACCTTAGCACGTTTTTTTTTGGAAAGGTTATTTATTTGTGAATATAAATAGAAAGCATAATTGTAGGTATGCATTTTCCTAATATGGTTATTTCGTGATATAAATGTTGAACGATTGAGATTGTGTAAATAAATGTATGTGTGCTCATTACACTGTTCGTATAATATATTGTGAACCGCGGCTCACGCGAAAATTTCTGTTGCAAAATTGACTGCTTTTTCGAGGTCACCTTTGTGTATGGCTTTTTATTTCGAAGTCAACGTACGTTCGTGCGTCTGTTGGAAGACCGCCTATCGCTTTTCATCTCTGTTTTTCTGTTGCGCTCAATTATTATTATACACGGTGTGTAATTATTTACTAATCAAGTACGTTGTTAAAACACCGCAATACGTGCGGACTACTGTACACTTCAGTCATTTCAATTTTGCAGTTTCATAACGGGTATAACGGTTTTTTTCTGGTTGGAAATTGCGCAAGTAATTTGATATTCCTTGCATCAAAACGAGGCTACAAGAAATTGAGTACTACTCCGTAATTTGAACGGCTTTAAAAATCCTTATCCGAATTGTGTGTGCGTACAAGCGTGTTTACTGGTATCCGAGAGGTATGCGTGGGCTTGTTTATATAATAATTTGACGATGTCGAGGGAGATTTCTTGAATTCACCGTTATTCACAGGCAGAGAAATGTTTGAGCCAATGAATTAGAACAATTTTTATTTCCAAGTAAAGGTCGTACTACAAAAATAGCATTTTCAAACAAAGCTCGGGATGAAAGAAATTTTGAAATGTCTCAGACGAACATCTGCTTATTATTTTCTTTCGAGTGTTAATAAACCTATATAATAATTTTTGTATGAATGATTCACAGTGCTGATATCTGTAGCAACAATCTCAACGAGATCTACGTGACCGAGTCGCTTGTTTTTTTCGAGTCGCGTACTTCTGCTGACTTTATTGCCATGGCTCAGGAAGAAGACTGGGACATGTGGGTGTCTATCATACGCTCGTGCTGTTTGACATCCAAAAAGCCGCTTACTTTGTATGAAATTGCAAGTAAGTCTTCAATTATAATTTATATTTGTAATTTTTTATATTTAATTTTATATATTGATTCTGTTTTTTCATGATCTGTTGTTTGAATGGCAAATTGAGCTAATATTTTTATTGATTTATACTAAAGTAGTTAATTTATTTTGAAATAATTAAAATAGATCTTATTTTTATTTGTAATTTATAATATAATTTTTTTTTAAATAAATGCAATCAAATTCATCATTTTACAGGGGATGTCAAACAGTTGGAGGACAAAGATATACCGTATAAAACTTTTAAGTTCAGATCTCTGGAGGACATGATCAAAAACATTCCCAGCTTGAAAGTATTCAACCAGGGTGGTTCACTGGTTGTACAAGCTAATATTAGTGAAGAATCTGCACATATAAGCAAGATGGTACAACGACAGAAGACTTCTAAAAAGAAAAGTCGTACTGTAATTATTTCTTACATATAATTTATTCATTTTAATTCTAGCAATACACATATTTAGCTGCAGTTTCAAATATATTTTACACACACATGTACAAACATTGTATTATAGAAATGTGTATGTGTGTGTTAGTGTGTGTTACTGATAGTATTATGACATTGCAAACTTCTTATTCTAGAAAGAAATTAAAGTCTACTATTAAGAACATAAAGCTAACATAAAAACTTTTTCACACTATCCATAAAATGCCTATGTACACTTGTTTGATACATTTCTTGTCTTATTATTTTAATGATATTTGAATGTATTTTAGAATTATTTATAACCATGTGCATTCACAATAAATATTAAAACAATATTTGACATTTTAGTTAGCTCCAAGGGCAGCGAATCGATACAATGCAAATACTCGTCGACCCATCAGACCTAGTTACAACAAATGGAATTCCCAAAACAATTACGTGCCAAATAGGCAAGCACTATAACAGTTTATATAACACAATAATTTATATCTACTTTTAATTTAATGTACCTTTATTGTCAACAGGCCAAATGGCCAATATTCTAGTCCTCAAAATCAGTCATCATACAACAACCGTAGTCAACAGCAGAATGGTGAGCAATGTAAACGAACGATAACTTCACCAGCGACAATGCAGCAAACAACATCTTGTCAAGTGTCATCTCCACCAATACCAAAGGGGGTCAGTTACGCCTCAATGTCTCCATCTACTCCTCAGCCGAAGACTGCTACCACTGCTCCAAGCTTCTCAATAACCTCTGTACAACAGAGGATAGCACAGACGAAGACTGAAACACCAGTACGTCACAGTATATCACAACCAACCCAGCAACAGAGACTAAGTCCAACAGCTGTATCTCAAACTCCACAAATCAAGTCACCACAAATAAACTTTACACCATCTCCGGTGAATACAGCTCAAAAATCGAAATTGCAACAGAGGCTTACAACGTCCACACTGTCGCCATCATCTTCAAATATACAGGAAAGACTCAACATTCAGAAACATGACACTACAGTTCAACCAGTAAGACTTAGTTCCTTTTTGTAATTTTACGAATATTGCCTAATATTACAAATTTTGAAAACAATCAATCGAACTTATTCACCAGATGCATGATCCCAGACTGATATTGAGTAGCTATGTAAAAGCTAGAAAACTACCACTGCCAATTTATAAAGATATTCCCTCAAAAGATAAGAACATCTACTCATCTGTTACTGTAAGTAACGAAATAATTTTAAATAAAATTATTGATAAAACATTAATTATTAAAACATTTAATTCAACTGAAAAGGTAAATTCGAAGAAATACAGCTCATATCCGCGTGAAGCCAAGACAAAAGAAGATGCAGAAAAGTTTGCAGCACAAGCTGCTCTTGCAGAATTGCTGGACAAGAGCAACATCCCCCAGACTGAGACATCAAATCATAGTCTTATCATGCAAAGAATTTTAGATATTGTTCATGCCCATCCAAATGGTTTGTTTGAATCAAGCTTGGTGGCAAACTATGTAGCCAAGTACAACGAAAGATTGCCTTCAACTTGGCTCAAACTGGTTGAGCACACGATAAATATCGACATTGGAGCGAACAATTTGACAATTCTTAGTCCTCAACAAGATTCTGTAACTCGGCAAAGTAGACCAACCAGCCCCACGATTACCGAATTGCCAACAGTGAGTCTTTGCAATTTAGATGAATTTTATATCAAGATATATGTGGTTTACAGTACCACGGATATCTGGGGAGTAATCATCCATGAGGAAAATAGCGTAAGTACCTTTGAATAGATTTTTTTTTTAGTAATTAAAATTAAGGGTGTATTGAAATTTCAGGATAAAATTGATGACTTAGCTAAAGATATGAAACATTTCTATGATATAAACGAAGCAATCCCAGCTACCGTTATCCCTGGTCAATACTACGCTGTATATGATTTTGCTTGGCACAGAGTTCGCTGCGTCAAAGTTGATACAGATGCAAAGGTAGCAGAAGTTTTTTTCATCGATCGTGGGGACCACGATAATTTCAAGTTGTCGCAGCTACGTGATCTCAGTGTTCAATTCTGCAAGTTGCCTGCTCAAGCAATACAAATTTCTTTAGTTGGACTTGAACCGTTTTCCAAATGCATTGAAATGCAGGTTCTTCTTGAAGAGACTATGCTTGAAGAAAATGTAAATGTTTATGTCAAAGTTGATTCTATTAGACAAGCTGGTTTTCCTTTACCAGTTACCTGTTACTTTGAACTTGATAAGGATACAGTTGTGGATATAAATGAAGAAATGATCACGAAGTTCATGTCTGAAGTAGCTAATCCCCAAATTTACATGAAATCTGCAAGTTTCATTTACTATTAGTTTTTATGATTGTTGAATTTTGAGCATTTGTTTGCATTTTTTAACAACGATATAATTACTTATTTTTGCAGAATATGCCAGTTAGTGATGTGTACATATCAGAAATTAGAAATAAACAAGTTTATATACAAGTAAAGTCAACAGGCTTAGAGTTGTTGAATGATATGATCACAGATTTAGCAAAAACTTGTTTGGACATCAAACCTGTAAAACCTGCTGAAAGACTGGAAAAGTTCAAATTATATTTAGTAAAGCATAACGACAAATGGAGAAGGATAAAATTAGTAAAAGAATTTCCTGACAAAGCTCAAGTTGTCTGTGTCGATGAAGGAACTATAATCGATGTTCCAAAAGACAGTTCGGTTTCCATAGAAGATGTTTCACCTGTACTGGCAATGTTTCCTTATCAGGTAAATTTTTTACAATGACTTGTAATTTTTAATTTTTCTTTTATTAATATATCATTTAATATTTTACAGGCTATTCAAATCCATTTACATAAAATTTCTCCACTTATGTTCGACGAGAAGATGGCAGCGCATCTACGATTCCTTGCACCGAAAGATGATGTATTCATTATGAAGGTCGTAGGTGATCTTGAATTGATACCCAGGGTGGAGTTGTACAAGAGAACGGAAAACAATTATTTAGCTTCACTAAATGACACTTTAGCTTTAGAACCTGAAATATCGTAAGTTTCTTAATTCATTACTTATATAACACGACTAAGTGTCAGAATAGACAAATAAATAACAATGTTAACTTTTTAATTTTAGATCGAAAATAGACGACAACAACAATGATAAAACAAAATCACGCTCAAGAAAGGATCGAAAATCACTAAATAATCGCAACGAGTTCCCATTGAAGATACCAGAAATTCCACCAATTAACCAGTATTTTGATGTTATTATCACAATGGCTGCTCATCCAAGCAATTTCACAGTTCAACCTTTACATTCTGTTAATGAACTGAAGGTATTAACAAAAAATTATTCTTTTCATTTAATATTTTCAGCTCAGTTTTGTAAAAATACCTTTTGCTTTATTTCAGAAATTAATGTTGGATCTTTCAGCAGTCTGCAACGCGTACAATGGTCCTCCTCTTACATCAAGCAATGTAAAAGTCGGGAGCATGTATGCTGCAAGATATGATAACGATGGAAAATGGTATCGGTAAGTTTCAATTAACGTGAAATTGTGATTTTGGAGAGTAATTTTTTTTTATTATAATTTTTTATAATTTTCAGAGCATATCTTTCCAAAATCCTTGGAAAGACAATATGCGCAGTTTACTTTTGTGATTATGGAGATTATAGAGCTGTGTCTTTGGAACATTTGCAGCCTTTAGCCAATCAATTTTATGACTTGCCTTATCAAGCCATCAAGGCCAAGTTACATGGTAAATTCACAGCTTTTATAAGTAATGAAATGCGCTTCAATAAATGTTGACAAAATGAAAATGAATATTGTTTTGTTACAGGTATTATCCCAAAATTAAAAGGTGATTGGACGGTTAAAGACTCATTAAGATTTAATGAATTAGTTGTTGATAAGTCATTTGTGTCGATCGTGAAGAAATGCGAAGTTGAAAATACAGTGGCTGGTGAAACAGTTTTAAGTCTTGAATTGATCGATACTAGCACAGATGATGATGTCGACATTATTCAACAGCTTATCAAAGAAAAAAGGGCTGAAAAAATTGAGGACTGATTTTATTCTGTTTACTGTCGATCGCCAAATAAAATAGTATTATAATGATTTAAATTATTTACTTTATTTTTATATTGATTCCAAAAAGATTGTAATAAGCGAAAACGAGCTAAAGATTATAGTTTATTTTATATAGAAATGTGTATTTCTAGTTAACATCCTGACGGTCTATATGAGTGAAAAATATGGTTCTGTATTTTTTTCATATAATAATTTTAATAAATAATCATTACTAAATAATGGATTTAATTTATCTTACCCCGCGATGTTTGATTTCAATAGTATCCATTTGAGAATTATAAATGTAAATCACTTGAAACTTTGGCAAAAATGTTCTTAAAAAATTAATATTATTGAAAAATTCTTTTGAAAAATATTTGTTATTTTCATTAAACTAGTCAGATTTTCATTTCGATGTGCTACTTTATTAGAAAGAAAAAAATCTATACCGATTATCGTTAAATACTTAGGAATGATATATTCATTATTCCAAACAAAACCGTTACGTATTTGTCGAATCAAACATTGTTCCAAGAATCGAAATCAACTGTCAGCCGAACTTTACAAGAGAAACTTAACAATGGAATCTCTAATAGTTTTGGATTGATAAATTTATATCTACAATGGATATTATAAAATGTTAATACGTTTAATAATATTTGCCAACCAGTGAAAAGTAACATATTATCTTGCGCTTTCCACTTTATTTTGAAAGTGTACAAAATACCGGTATAACCTCAATTCAAGCCAGTTTTACGATCATTCTTCGCAATATATGAAAAAATCTCCAATTATGAGTTTGACTAACGAAATCAAAGAATTTTACTCAGCGAATTTTGAAATGTACACTAATTTATTATGCGACCCTCAACAATTAGTGTCAGAAAATGCGTGGGTTCTTATACATTCAGCTCGCAGTACTACAGATATTCGGGGAGAAGTGCAAGACGAATTCAATCAAGTACTAATTTCTTTATATATTTATTTGGTTTATGAATAAAGAATGAATGAGATTTAATTATTTTTAGCGGTTTGCAGCAATGCAATTGAATACTATGGATAAGTATTATGGAGACACTCCTTTGAGTGCAACAAGTATTGTTGAGAATTGTCATTATGCTCTTTTTGATTCCCAGTGGTTCAGAGTGAAATGTATCAAGTGTAATTATCAAACACGCATAGCTGAAGTGTATTTTATTGATAGAGGTGATTTCGATAGATATCCTTTCAACTATTTGTTTAATTTGTTCGACTTTTTTTATCTGTTCCCACCTCGTGCTGTCAAGATATCAATAAAAGATTTAGAAGATTATGCAGATTTACCAGAAGTGGCAGATATACTTTCAGAGCTATTGGTTGAGCAAAATGTGTTTATTAAAATTAAAAATCTTTCAATGCCACATGATGATATATTTACTTTAGAATCTGATGTACATATAATGAAACCAAATGGAACCATGTTAAATGTAATAAGTGTTTTGCTTGATAGGATTCATGAGTCAAATTTGAATCCAAATTACATTATTCGAACTGTGAGTTTGTAATAAATATATTCAACTTACATTATTATTTGATACCTTAGTTGAGTTAAAATATTTTTTTATTATAGTCTGATATAATACATTATCAGGCATTCATCCCACAATATGCTTCAATATCTTGCGCGAAAGAAAATGAGATTTATGTTCAACTGAATTCACTAAGTTCATGTTATTTTAATAAACTAATAAATTTAGCCAAAGAACTTCTAAATACTGTAAATGATTTAAAATCAATTGACACCTTTGACAGAGCAGTAACTTATATTGTAAAGCATCCAGTGTGTCAACAGATATATAGAGTAAAAATTATTAATATTAAAAATTATGATGAGGCTGAAGTTATGTGCATTGATTTTGGTCAAACATTTTGTGTTAAGAAAAAAGATTTGATAATATTGGAAGATATTTCGAAACCATTGGCTTGGTATCCAGAGCAGGTACGCTAAAATATCATTTTTTTAAAATTATTAAACTTCATTCACTGATATAAGATAAAAATGGAAACATAACTTTTTTAGGCAGTACAAATCAACTTGTATCAAATAAGTCCAGAAATGTTTGATACAACCATGGCTATGAAATTGATAGATTTAGTTCCAGAATCTCAGCAAGTTTTGTTAAAAGTGATAGACAATACTAAGGAAATACCAGTTGTGACATTATTTAGGACAGGAGAAGATGGTTTCATGAAATGTATCAATTCTGAATTACTGGTGAATTCTATAAAAAACGTAAATTTAATTTCTTGAATTTACAAATACATTATATTTATAAAACTAACTTTCATTTTTTTTAGTAGTCTTCAAGTAACAACTGATTTTGTATTCCTTGGATGTTTTATCAAATTCAGTAATATTTTCTCATGGACTATAAGTATATTAATATTTATAAAATATATACATAAATGTTAGTGCATTTTTTTGTAGTTGTTGCGATTGTCGCGTGAGTATATTGCTTTAATGTTTCATATGTTTTGCTTAAGATAATCGATTTTACAAATTAAGACAAAATACAAGCCATGCATCATAATAGTGTAATTTTTTTTAATTCGACAATGTCAATATTCTATGTAAATTAAAATAAATAAAATTTTTTTCAGAAAAAACGTATATTAAAATTAATCTTAGAGATATTAATGTCATAGTGCTTTACGTTAGTTGGATCGAAATCACTTTTATGATGTATGCTTTGTGCATAGCACATCTGATTATTTGCTGTAACACACGAGGGAAACCCGCAAAATGATTCAATAGTGACCTACGTCTCGCTGACATTGGTACACCTAGCGCAAGCGCCTCTATCTACTTATATATGCGACCGCAAGTTTATTTAGTGATAAAAGCATTTTTTTTCAATTCTAAAATGTGAGCTTTCACAACAATTTTTAACTTATTATTAAGAAACGAGTAATTGTGATTTGTCAAAAAAAAATTCGCAGAGCTGTTTTTTAATGTTTAAGTTTAAGTATTGTAATAAAAGTATTAAAAAATCTATTGGATTAATGTTAAAATTAAAATAAATAAGCTAGTTGTTTTTTTTTTAATTGCATGAATTTCTGTTTTCAATTTTATCTTTTTATACCAACAAGTAATAGCAGCTACACGGTTATAGTTATAATATTAATACCAAACTGAAATTCATTCACCTTTCAAAATATAAAGCGAACGAAAAATATATCGTAATTGTGATCACAATTCCGTAATAACCTAATTGTAATCAAACATTAATATAGAGAACACCATCGCTTTAGTTCATTTCATCACTGCAGACAGTGTAAACAGTATAGTCGGCATCAACTGACATTGGATAGACTGATGAAGCGCGCGCACGCGCCACCACATGAATATGTCGACAACGACGACGAGAGAGAAGAGAGACAAACTGCTAGCTTTTCTCTCTTCTGACTTGACCGCAGATCGGCAGTCGCGCGCGCGCCTCTCGAGTTGGTGTAATACATAACCGAAGATTTTGAGTGAAGTATTTTAGTGAGAAAAGTGTTCACCTACAACTGCAAGTGTGTATTTCTTTTTAGGAAAAAGCTGTAAGAGTAGATTTTTAAGTAGGTGATTTATTGTTGATTTTTTGAGTTACACAAAAAAACTGCCCAAACGAAATAGCATAATATGTCAATTAAAAATGTTGCAGTATTAAAAAAAGTCGAGGCGTTATACGCACAATAAATAAAAATTGATAATTAGTAGTTTGACTTTTTAGTGTTTTTTTTTCGTTATGATTCGAATAATTAATAGCTTTCTTCCGAACATGAGAGAGAGAGAGAGAGAGAGAGAGAGAGAGAGAGAGAGAGAGAGAGAGAGAGAGAGAGAGAGAGAGAGAGAGAGAGAAAGAAAAAGAATGAATTCCAGCCTCTTTGTATGATCGTTTTATTAATCAAAACCTGCTCTATTGAACTGACCTGCTGCTGCTCGGTGATACATCATTTGATTGCTTCTAGTTTCTTTTTTTTGTAGCTAAATTGGAATATCAAACAATGCTTGTGAAAAAATGTCTTTTATTATTTTAATTGATTATTGATTTGTGTTAATTTTCTCTTATAAAATATCGGCTCGACATTAACACTGCGTATAATAATTTTCTCTTTCGTTGCTTTATGGGCATACTAACGTTAAAAATAACTTGTCAAAGAATCTAATTTCTCACACCGCTAAACGATATATTAAAATTATGTGCAGTTTTCGAGGTAACACGCAGCTGATTTACAAACGTGAATTCCATCTACATTACTTTTTTTTGTTTCGTCGTTCTTAAAACGTTTAAACAAACGTCAGATTGGAATGCTAAGTGCCGATTAAATGCAAGTTTTTTCAACGCGTATGCACGGACTTACCGATTTAAAGTGAAGGATTTTTTACAAAATAAAAACGATATCGAGATTCAATATTATTGAGGACGTTTTCTTAGAACCGTTAACTTAAAAAGCTTATTTTCGGCAAAATAGCCGACTAAGAGCACTGCTTACAATAAAAATCTCTCAAAGATTTGTATAGTTATTAGACTACTATTCAACTGCACGAAAATAATGAAAAAATTGATAAAATTGTAGCATGAATAAAATCATACCAGCACTGTAAAAGAAATCTTAATAAATACTAGTAGTTACTTTTTTATTATTTTTTTTGTTGATTCCTTATAATTTACAGAATAACATATTAGTTAAAAAAAAATCTTAAGAAAATTGAGATTTCAATCGAAAGAAATGTACTATGAAAATTAACTTAGTTTATCTAATACTTGTTGGAAAAGTAAAATTTTAAGATGAATATCTCGTTTTCAAATACCGTTACGTATAGTAAATTTTTTATTCTGCTGTGTAGAAAATGAAAAAAGTAATTTATTTTCAAAGCTTGACGAGTCTAAAGAAAAGCGATTTTCAAGAGAACGTCTTTAAGCAAACAAAAAATTACTCAAAACGCATATTCGAGTTTTATGCAGAGCTTTACATAGATTTTTACTTTCGAATTTGAATGTAAAAATCTAATATTTTTAATATATATACATACCAAAGAAAAACATTCCAAAGATTGATGAGAAAAATAAAAGAAGAGTATTATTTATGTGTGAACCGTGTTCTACATCTAAAAAATACGACAATCAATAAAAACTCAACAACCATTCTTCCTAACAATTCTAAAAAATCGTCAACACAACACCACAACAAATTTCCAGCTGACAATATTAGACAATTAAGTCTTATCAATAATCTGGCAATGATGTGACTTTACCAGCGAAATGCGCTAAATAAAAAAAAATCATCAGAAAACAAAGAAGAGGATATAGTGTCACCCTATCGTCAATTAGCTTTGGCGTAAGGGCCTCCAACAATTAGCGAGGATGCTCGCCTCCGGATAATGATCACCGAGCAGACCTGGAGCATGATGCTGGACGGCGATGTTGCCGGCATTAACGAGTGAGTCTCTCTCTTTCTTTCTCTCTCTCTCTCTCTCTCTCTCTCTCTCTCTCTCTCAAATGACACTTTTGCCAAGAAAATCTTTACAAGGGCCAAGTTTAGAATTTCAATTTGTATCGCGTGTCATCTATGTTTCATTTTTAGGTGTGCAGTATGTTGCACGATAATTTATCATAAGCAAAAGTAAAAAGAGAGTGATGCGGATATATTTATAAGATGCATTTTCCGTCATCGCTCGTAGTACTAGTTGCGTACTGAGTTCTCGGCGTAAATCAAGAAGCGTGTAGATATGAATGTTTTGCTTTATATGTTATGCAAAATGTTTAGTTCAATGATTACGTTTTTCAATTTAAAAATAATATAACTTTATTATCGTTTGCAAATGTATTGATAATATCAATGTTTTTTTTAAACAACGAAAATATTTGCAAGAATGTTAACTACGAAAGCTTTTAAATTTCGCATACAGCACATTCGGAAAGTATTGAATATTATAAATAGTTCGAAATATTCTAAAAACTGTACAGTGGCTAGTTAAATTCATTCATGAAACAAACTTAGAACGTATTTAAATTCATCCGTTCGAGCATGGTTTTACTTTTCATAGTTAGCTCGAAGAGTAAAAGGAATGTAACTGGAGCAAATTAAGAAGCCTTTTTTTTCGTTGAATATCTGTTCTCTTACTACAAGCTATTTATTTCCAAAACCATTAAAATGGTACAGCTCTTTATTTTCGTCATTCTCAACACGGAAGGAATCACTCCATGTATATGCGCAGCAAGGAAAGTAGCTTCATATGAAACTGATTATATAGGGTGACAAGTTTAAATTAGCTTCATCGTTCTTTATTCATAGCAGTGGCTTTTTTAGTATTCGCAAAATTACAAGTAAATGGTAATTATTCATGTTCAAGGATACAGGCATGTATATTCATTGCTCAAGGCATTTTGTTAATAAAAATCTTTTCGCGCTGTTCTAGATGAATTCCATTTCGTAACTTTAGTCAAACAACAATATCAAATGCATACCTCGTATATATTCTAGTGTCCACATAACAATTCAATTCCGATTCGCGTCACACGCGACCAAGCACCCGATGGTATAGTGTGAATTCATGGACATTGTCAGATAGGTTGCACAATAATGTTTCATCGAGTGCAATACACGTGTATAATTAACTCTTTCGACTGCACTGATTTTCGCCAAGATGCGCGACACATACGTGCGTGTGCTTTCTGGACATTTCCGTCTTTTGCGTTTATAAATATAACGCGTCTTCCCCGACAGACTCAAGCTGTATTGATGATATTTCGTATATATGCGAGACGCTAAGTAAACCATCACGGTTGACGGCCCGTCACTTCAACGGCACTGTTAGCTTCCTTAAAATCCGTCTTCTTTAATCTTTTACGTCAGAAAAAGCTCCATCGCTGCGTATCAAGACTATGCATACAACGAAAGCTTGAAAATGTAGTAAATTACGTACCTAGACTAGGAAAATATTAGTACGTAAGAATTGACAGCCGAGTCGAAGCCGAGGTTATCGATTGTCACGTGTTATGGGCTTGCTAATTTTCCGGCCATGGTGCATGTACTACTTTTTTCTCCAGCGGCCCGAAAATAGAATTTTCCGGCCGCGGTTTGATAGGCAACATGCTAATTTTTGCTTCGCTGGGCAACAAATAATATACGCACTATGGCCAGTAAATTGGCAAGTCGATATCACGTATTTGACAATCTTGGCTTCGCCTCGGTTATCAATTTGCGGACTTATCAATACTTTCCTAGCTTAGGTACGTAATCTACTATTTTTGCCCAACGGCTTGAAAATAGTATTTCCCGATTACAACTCGGTCGGTAATATACTAGTTACGGCCTCGCTGGGCAAAAATATAATATACGCACCAAGGCCGGGAAATTAGTACCTGTCCGTAGTACGTGAGAATCGACAGCCGAAGTTATCAAACACATCGGCTGTAGGTTTGTCTATTTCCCGGCCCGGCAGGGGTGCATATATGTTTTTGCCCAGCGAGAGCTCGTAATGAGCATGTTACTGAGTGAGCTATGGCCAGGAAATGCTACCTTCAGGCCGCTGGACAAAATAAATAATAAAATTAGTCGTAGCTTACTATTGTGGTTGGTAAAAGATACTTCTTAAATTTATAGCATTACTATAACACTTTTTTCAATTAAGAACATTCGTATTGATATAAGAAATGCTTTATGAGGATTTATTTTACCGCGCTGAATAATGTTTAAAACAATTTTAATGTGTCGCTAACGTAGTAACATAATAGTACATTATTGCTAACATATACATAGTTTATAAATACACACACACACACACAAACCGAATTTCAGTATACACAAAATAGATATAGAAATTCATTTACTCTTCGTTATAAACTTTCAAAACGATTAAATAATACTGACAGTATTGCAAACATTTCAAATTACATCATTTGAGAGTATCAAAGTATTTTATTGATAAAGATACGAAATAAACCAATAGTATTTCTTTCGAAGGTTCATAAATTAATACTTTGATTCACAAACTCCTAGTTTGAATAGTGTCCAACATCTAAAATTATAATAATGTATTAGTTCATCTAGAGTACTATCATCATTATTTATATGCTTTTCGATGCCAGTTAACTTAATAGCAAAATATCATAAATTCTGACAATCTTCACCTGCTACACACACGTACAATCGTTAAAAGTTCATATTTTACTGAAGAAATTGTCAGTGTTTTTTTGACAAACGGCCAGTGGACAAATTTCTTACATGCCTTTCTAAATTTAGATAATTTATTTGTTTTTAATAGGTAAAATAATGAATAAAAAATTTTTTTTTACTTACAAATTTTATTTATAATCTATCTATGAAAATGAGACAATAAGTAAATATGTTTGCTATTATTTGTTAATTAACAAAGTATAGAACAATGCTCCAGTAATATTATGTTTTTATTTTTTACTTATATGTGTATTATATTTTATTAATTTTGGTTTTTTTGTATATTAATCAGTTTATGTTTCTTTAATCTGATAGTAGTGATCATTGTCATGAGAATATGCTAATAAGTTTGTTTGGGTGGTTTTTCAATCTGTTGTTGTATTTTTCATAAAACGTTTTAATGTCTTATTTTACCGATGGTAACTAGATCATTTTTGGTGATGTCTTTGGTACAAACCATGGGGCTCGTACGATATTGTATAATACTTTAGATTGGAATCTTTCTAGGATTTCAATGTTTGAGTTTAAAGCGACACCCCATAGTAGAATGCCATAAGTCCTGATTGGCTTAATTATCGTTTTGTAAAGCAGTATTTTATTTTCTATTTTAAGCTCTGATTTTTTTCTAATGAGCCAGTAAATTTTTCTCCATTTCAGTCCCAGTTATTTATGTTTTCTAAATATGTGCTCTTTCCACCTAAGCCTTTGATCTAAATGAATTTCAAAGTATTTCACATGACTGCTTTGTGGTATGTTTACCGTTGAGTTTAATAAGTGGGCTGGTGTTTTTCCTAAGTATGAAAGTTGTTTGTATTGATTAACATTCATTTAACTTTTTAGTTGATTAACTTTAATTCTCCATGAGCTTAGCCAGTTTTGTAAATAATTATTTATATAATTTTGTATTGTTTCCGTTGCTATATTTACTTCCGACTGTGATGTGACAATGACTGTGTTGTCTGCGTATGTTGCTATCATGACGTTTGGAGATTTTGGCAGATCGGAGGTGAATAACAAGTCCAATATTAGTTCTAGTACACTACCTTGCAATATTCCTGCTCTTGTTATCTGTTTTTTTGATGGTTTTATTTTATTTCGACTTGAAATTCTTTATTTTGTAGGTATCACTTAAGTAATTCATAGTGTTTTTCTAGAAAACATCTTTTTTATTTATATAGAGGATCTTTATACCATACTTAATCAAAAGCCTGTACGACGTCAAAGAATACGCAGGTGCAATATTGTTTTTTTTCTACAAATTTCCTTGCAGTTGATACTATTCTGTTTACTTGCTCTATCGTGGAGCGGTTGTATCTGAAACCATATTGATGGTCTAGGATAAGTTTTCTATTTATTATTATTGAGTGAATTCTAGCTAAAATTATTTTCTCAAAAATTTTAGGTATTAAAATAATCTCTGCCGTTTTTCATTGAGTGGAAAAATAACACAGTCGAAGGCATGTATTAAAAATAATTGTTAAATATCTTATTGCTATAGTAGGTAGCTTTTTAATCATTTTCCTGTAATATCATCAAAACCGGATGCTTTTTTGTTCTTTATATTTTTGATAATGAATAATACTTCCTTTATTTTCACTGCTGAAATTGGTGTACTATCTTGGACGTTCTGGTCTAAGGTGTCCTCTTCTTGTTTGGCGACTATTCTTTGATAAGGTTTAAATACTAAGTATAAATGATTGTCACACTTATCAATTTTTGTTCTCGTCTGATCTATAGCCTATTCGCCACAAGGTTTTCTGATAGGTGAAATAAATGATGTTGATCTATTAAGTCTCTTGGTAGCTTTCTATAATGAGTAATCTGTTGCTTCTGTAGGATTTAGTTTTCTAAGTTTCTTTTGGGTTTGTGAGTTTTTTTCTTGATGCAGTAATTTCTTTAATTTTGTGACTGTTTTATTTAGTTTTGTTTTATCTTGTCTCGACCTTGTTATGTGGTACCTTTTTCTTAATAATCTTTTTTTCTTTAATTTTTACAGCTATTTTATTTGAAGTGAATTGTTAAGATTTTTTAATATTTGCAATAGTGGAGCTTTTATCTAGAATTTTAGTTGAAAGGATCTGAAACTGAAGCTCGCGGAATTAATGAAACACATTTTTATCTTGTGGAAATTCTTCAAAAAAATTTAACATTTAAAAGATTTTGTTGTATGAACCATTGTTCAAAATAACATACATTTATATACATTTCTTCAGGCTAGCAATCTCACCACGGAAGCAGCTATGGATTCGCGCGGTAAAGAAATTGACACAGGAGCGTCTTGGCCGTGAAAGTTTAGCTGCCTGGGAAGAGGGCAAACCAAGTGTCGAGCCCGAAGACTTTGATCAGGATCTCGACGACAAGACCAAAAAGTCATCGGATGCATCGGCCGACACTGACGTCGTTTATCCTGATCAGAGTGCCACCGATAAAGAAGGTAAAAACAGTACACAATCAAGTTTAAAGTGATTGAAATATTTGAGCGATGAAAATTTTTCTTCTTGCCAGCTGTTTTCAAAAAAGGCTACAAATACAAAGGGATATTCTGCCCATCGTTGACGAATAGCTTTCACAACAAGCATCTCGAAAAATCATATCTAAAGTATTCGAAACGACAGCGACAAAAGTCGCTTATTATGCTCAATATTGTCGATTTAGGACTAAAGGTAATTTAATCCTAAAAATGAAAATTTTTGATATTCGTTTACTTGTACCTTTGGACTGTAATTGCAGATATGTCTAATCTCAATCTGGCTGTGGAGGCGAGATTATCGAAGCGATGGCACGTGGTGGTGGTCACTTGCGTGGTCAATTTGCTGTATGCTATCCAACGTGGTGGTATGCGCTCTTGGCTGGTGGCGATGTTTCTCCAACAATTATCTCTATTGGGCTTCTATATTTACTTGGCTACTTATCAATTCCCAAGGTATATCATTGCATTATTGTTTTCTTGGACATGTATTTTATTAAGATTGATTCACAGCAGATAATAAAGTTGAGTTGAAATTTTGTTTATATTCTGAATTTTTTTACCAGTGACATGATTCTCATTTTTTCTACGATGCGAGGTAATATTACGTTTTAGCTTGTTAAAAGTAGAAGAAAAAGAAGACTGTCAGAAAATTTCTCATCACTGTCGAGAACGATGAATCTAAAAATAGCCGCACATGTGTATCTCCCGTAATTGCAAACGTTCATTTTATCACGCGTAAACGAATTAATTCATCTTGAAAAACTTTTTACGAAAACTCACGATTAAGACGTTGAAACATCTCGTCTTTATTCTAAAAAGCAATGATCGTGAATCGAAAATAACCTGATATATAATTAGTTCGTATATAGAATAAGCCGGCGTGATTTTTCTTTTCTGTTACTCTTTATGTTATTGCTCTTGATGAGTGTGTGATTTTATATTTTAATATTAACAAGAATAGTTGATTTCGTAATTATTATTTTATAAATTTTTCAGTGTTGAAAATCAGCATTGAAATGTATGATTAATGTATAACGATAAAATATTGCTTACGTGATTTTACGTCAACCTCATTAGATCATAATCTTTCGACAATATACACTTCTAATTCGAACAGTTTAATCGCTCAGACATCTTAATAGATCTAATTTGTATGATAATATTCAAGACTGTCCTTAAAAAATATATACACGCCTGATGTCAAAATCAATTAATAGAATAAACGTCTATAAATGATTTAGTGAATGGAAACAGAACAAACTTTTTAATAAGGAAAAGACAGTTGAATCGATATATAAATTTTGTTGTCGTCAAAACATAAGAAAAAAACAATGAAAATACCCTAATATTTCCACAAAATTATACTTTCTTACAGGTTTTATCGTGGCGGGACTGAACTTTCTGACTCAACAACGTCTAATGTGGTACATATTATTCGTCGTGTACGCGCCCTACGCGATGTTACCACTGCCACTTAGATGGTGTGTCGTTGCGGGATTCGGAACTGCTTTTACACATCTATTGATTGCCGTTGTTACTCTTCTCACCGATACTCGTCATCATGAGGTAGTCAAAAAGGAAATTAATACGCTAATGTGAATAATTATTGTGTTTGATAAGGCACTTGAAAAAAATGTCTTTTTTTTTAAATTGATCTTGAATCTAATAGAACACACCGGGAATCATAAATGCCGTAATTATGCGAAATTTAATTTCAATTATATAAGCTTGATTACGCGTTATGCGATGAAATCGGCAAGTAATTAATAACGCTGTTATAATAGTTACATAAGATGGTAGAGTTTATAAAAAAAAATATTTTTCAGGATCTATCATGTGTATCGCGTATGGTTGCAACGAACTTGTTGCTCTATTTTGGTGTGAATCTATCCGGTATGTACACCAAGTATTTGACTGATCGTGGACAAAGACAAGCATTCCTCGAGACTCAACGTTCGATGGAAACAAGACAGAGAACGCAAAACGAGAACAATCGCCAGGAAAAGCTTTTATTATCCGGTGAGTTATATAACCTTGAACAGAAAGTTTATGCCGAGGAGAAAAATTCTTTTTTTGGATAATTGGCACAGTAGGTGAATGTCTTGTTTCTTTTTTGCAATTGTCAGTTGGGGCTTTTAATAAATTCACGGAGAAATTAAAATTCTTTGCACGAGTATGGAGTATTAACTGTTGTTCTATTCAACCTAGAAAACTAGCGACATTGATGTCTTGTACATTCAAAATACTACATGATTCGAAAACTAAAAATTTAAACACGCTGTAACATATCTTCCATCGTATAACGTAAAACTGTCCAAATGGTGATTAATCGAGCAATACACGTCATCGTCATCAAACGGCGCTAAAATTGCACAGTGTTTATAAAAAAAAGGCCAACTGCCGGATGCAATGGGTTTATTTATATAACTGTGCAAGTCGAGTTCTTTTAACACATACATTTTTTTTTCTTTTCCGACGCCACCTGACACTCAACACACTTGTCGATGGAGGCTTTTTAGCTATAGCTTAGTTCAAAATCAACACATACAAAAAACAAACAATATAATATTTCTTTACAAGAATAATATTACAAAGAAAATCATTACGATTACGAGAAATATAGAATTAACTGATATCAAAGAAAAACAGAGACAAGGGAGTGATAATAATTATATACCATACAAGCAGGGCGACATACACACAGATGCGTTTAGTGGCCCGTGCGAATCGTTCAGCCGTGCGCCAAGAGGGTCACTGGACATTCTCACTCGATTGCCCATCACCATGTTGTTTTATATGTGTGTGTTTATACTGTGTTTTTTTTTTTTTTTTTTTTGCGAAGACCTTCTCCGCTTGTTGCTGCTATCGATTTGTCTCTCGCGAAAATAGACACACGTGCATGCGATTTGCGCTGCTTGCATTTAACGACGACGGTGACGTAAGAGAGGATGATGATTTTATTGGAGTGTTGATCTATCGCTCTAATGCTTTTTTTAATTTTTCAGTGTTACCGGATTTCGTGGCGAAAGAAATGATAAGAGACATAGCTCGTGAAACTGCACGTGGAGGGACGATATCTTTCACCCCAAATCAATTTCATAGGATTTACATTCATCGATATGAGAATGTCAGTATATTATTTGCTGATATCAAAGGATTTACAGGTAATCAAGCTATTTTTTATTTACAGTTGATCATTTCAGACAAGAAATGCATCAGTTGATATAATGAAAAAAAAATTGGAATATAAAAACGTTTCTGTAGTTCTACGATCGCTACTTTAATTTTATTCTAATTTTTTACAAGTTCCGAAGTAAGTTCTAAAAATGTTTTAATGTCATAATTTTCATACTACAAATTAATTTCAACAGCGTTCATTATAAACATTCATATAAGAAGTAAATGATTCATTAACTTTTGTATGCCAATACATATTTATATTAATCTTCCTGGATTTTGAAGCTTTTTTACTTATATACATTTATACTTGTATATACATTCTTATAAAGGTGATTGTAACTAAATCATTAACACATTGAAGATTGATAAATGAATTTTCATATTATCCAATACCAAAAAAGCAAAAATATTACTTGAAAATAACGAAGTAAATTATTTTTCAGCCTTGGCAAGTCAATGCAGCGCGCAAGAATTAGTCAAAGTGTTAAACGACTTATTCGCCCGATTTGACAAACTCTCAGCCGAAAATCATTGTTTGCGAATCAAGCTGTTAGGCGACTGTTACTATTGTATTTGCGGGCTGCCTGTGGCGCGAGCTGACCACGCGCACTGCTGCGTCGAAATGGGTTTGCATATGATCAAGGCCATAAGAGACGTACGTTATACCACCAAGGTTGACCTCAATATGCGCATTGGTATACACAGCGGGTCTGTGCTATGTGGGGTTCTTGGTCTTAGGAAATGGCAATTCGATGTCTGGTCTTACGATGTCACACTGGCTAATCATCTCGAGAGCGGTGGAATTCCTGGGTTAGTATGTCCGAGAGTTTGAATGATCGAATGGTTTGAGAGCAATTTTAAAGCTTTCCTTTGCAACTTTAATTTTATTTTATTTAATAAAATTGTTACTTACAATATTTTATTTTTATATTTTGCTAATTAGGTAATTGTTAATAATAACCAATTAAAAAACAATTATAAAAATAATCTTGAAATTTCAGCCGAGTACACATTTCCGAAGACACTCTAAAATGTCTAAACGACGTGTACGAAGTAGAACCAGGCAACGGTACTGAACGTGACAACTATTTGAAAGATCGTAATGTCGTCACGTATCTAATCAAGCAGCTGGAACCGCTTCGTTCAAGACGTAGATACTCGTCGAGACCAAAAATATGGACCGACATCAACAGTAGCGAACAATCGGATAATCCACTGAATCGTACGAAAAAGAGTTTCAAGATGGGTAACTCCTTAAGTGCTGGCAACCCAGCAACCGTGCATGCAACGCACGGTACTGAGGATGATATTGGCGTCGAGTGGACGCCGGAGATTCCGTTTGAAAATGTAAGCAAGATTATTATTTTTTTTCAAAGATTTTATTTTTTATATAAATAATTTTAAATTCTTATACGTAAATTTCGATTTGACAAAAATTAATAAAAATTAATAAAAATTTGTCTAGACTTATTTTAATTTGTAACGATTAATTAAACATTTCATCTGATTCACTTTACGTAACCCTACTTTCATTGAATTAATTTTTAAGTAAGATCATTGGCATACATACAAATTTGGAATTACAGTTGAATAGCGCTACATCAGTGAGTAACTTGGAATCTGACTATCTCGAGACAGACTCAGTCTCAGCAAAAAGCGAGCAAGTAACGCGTGGCTCGGAGAAAGAAAAGTCAATAAAAATGGCCAACGGAATGGAAATGGTTAGTAACAAACGAATGCGTCTTGCCAATATAAATCCATGGACTTTGCGATATAATGACGAAGCTCTGGAGTCGAAGGTAAGAATAAATATGTTAATTCATATGAAAATAATAATTAATTTCTTGCATTAAATTTTCAGTTCCGGCAGCTTCGTGAAGATATGTTTAAATCAAATATGATTTGCTGCTATGTACTCTGGCTATTCATCGCAATTTGCCAAGCGATCATCCTTCCAGAGTAAGACACTTAATCAACTACTTATTTTCACTATAGAATCACAAAATAAAAATCAATTAATTTCCATTCAGCTGCACAGTAATACTGATAGCTCTAATACTGACAACTCTTCTCTTGGCCGTATCATCCGTTTTGGTGATGGCTGACGAGTTCAAGAGTTTACCAACCTCACTGCAACATTCTTCCTCGATGCTCGTGCATAACAAACAGTATCGTACACTCTTCATTTGCGGTGTAATAAGTCTTATGGCACTGACATCGATTGTTGGTGCAATCGCCTGTCCTGTCGTACGAGTTGAACCGATTGCTCTACAACAAATAGATAAACAAGTAACATTGCAAGCAGTATCTTCGCCAAAGATACCTTTACCTAGTAATAGCAAACTTGATAGGCTGGTGTTGCGATTTCTGGAAGCTGCATTGAAGGATGACGTTGATGACGATGTTGATGAGAAAGTTAATGATACTGATGTTGATGTGGGGAGACAGCTTGACAGGCATAGGAGGCATAGAGAGTTTGTTAGGTTTGTAAAAAAGTTATTTATCATCCCTTAAGCTTCAACTAAGAAAAAATTTGTAATGGCTTTGTTTGCAACCTAAATTTTTAAAGTTTATTGTCTATTCTAAGTTTGTAAAAGTGTCAACTAAATTTCAAAAGTCATAAAATGCCTCAGTTCTTTTTATTCTTCTTTGTAATTCATAATAAAAATCAATTTTTTGCAGGTTTTATGGTTTTGAGCACCACTACGAACCGCGTATACGTCACCACCACAGACCTCATCGTAAACGTCATCAGCGTCATTTGGAACCTCGTCGTGAATCAATTGCTGTTTCGCGAAAAATTCTGTCTACAGTCGAGTCAACGCAAGATCAAAAGAAACTTATAATAGAAGCACCAATGGATCGAAAAATTCTCGAAGAGGTGCAGTGTTTGAAGCCCGAATACATCGTTTTCACGTGGATTTTATGTCTTATAGCTTTAGCGTCGTCATTAAAGTTGTATTACTTGGTAAAAACTGCCCTAGCAACTTTTGTCGCTGCTATTTATGGAATTGTTATTATTATATTAAGAGATCAGTTTTCTAATCGAGATGAAGATCAAGACGTGTATGTGTAATTTAATTAACGTAGGTTAATTTTGTATAGTCGAACATATTTTAAATATTTTACTTTTTAGAATGTCAATACCGCTACCGGCTCAGATGCTAATTTTTTTAGTGATATTTCTCGTGGTGGTAACTTACCACGGTCGTCTGGTAGAAGTCACCTCAAGATTAGATTTTTTGTGGAAGCAGCAGGCCGAGCGTGAACTTTCTGATATGATTGAATCGAGACACAATAATATGCAGCTATTGAAAAATATTTTACCTGACCACGTAGCTCATCATTTTCTTAGCCAGGAAAAACCATCAGAGGTGAAAATTTTACTTTAAAATGTTATTCTGTCTTATATTTATCACAAATAATTTATTTTAGGAACTTTTTTCACAATCCCGTGACAAAGTTGGCGTTATGTTCGCAAGCGTGCCAAACTTTACTGAATTTTATTCTGAAGACGTTAACAAGGGTATGGAGTGTATTCGTCTCTTGAATGAAATAATAGGTAATGTAATTTTTATTAAAAATCATAACGATCAAAGATAATATTAACTACTATAAATTCTTTCAGCCGATTTTGACGAACTGCTAGATGAAAGGCGATTCCACTGTATTGAAAAAATTAAAACAGTAGGGGCAACTTACATGGCAGCATCTGGATTAAACCCCAGTAAAATTGTAAGCATTCATTATTGTCACTTGTTAACGAAAATTCTTACTCGTATACTATTAATGCCATTGCAGAGCAAGAATCTCGAAGATATGGAACATGTATGCCGATTAGTCGATTACGCCGTAGCAATGAGGCAGCGTCTTGAAGATGTAAATGTTCACTCGTTCAACAATTTCGATTTGCGTGTGGGTATAAGTTGTGGACCTCTTGTCGGTGGTGTGATTGGTGCTCGAAAACCTGTGTTTGATATCTGGGGCAACACCGTCAATGAGGCTTCGCGCATGGACTCCACTGGTGTCATGGGCAAGATACAAGTGCCATCTGAGGTCGCCAAGGTAAATAACTAATTTTTTATATTGTTATATGAAATGCTATTGTATGACGTATTTGTAAATCGAATAATACACAATGTTTATTCTGATGAATATATAACAATTTTTTAAAAAGGTGTTTCTGCTAAATGGCATGGTATAATAATGTGATTTTTTAATACTTTTGATTCAAGAAATTTCCACTATAAACAAAAAACATAATGAAATTTTATTATGCAATTTTCGTCAACTTCATTCTTATCGAAGTACAGAGTGTAATCGTTTTTATAGAAATTTGTGTAATAACAGGTAGCATTCTAAACTAAATATTATTTTTAATATATTAAATTTTATTTGGAAAGAAAAGTACGAATTAAGCTCCTATGTTTGGATAGAATTTACTTCAATTGTAACAAAACAACAGCGCGTTTCGATGTACATGCACGAAATATTCGCAATCACATACGTACGAGACGTATGGTGATTTTTTTGTTTTATAGCCGGGTCAACCGGGCTTCCATTTACGTATTGAAATACTTTCGTGATTGTATTCCGTTCTGTAAAGATAATTTAAAGTGATAAGAAAACGATATAGTTTAATAAAAAGGAAGCGTTTAATGAATATTTATGTATTTTTTCAATGAGGATTTAAAAAATCTATAAGTTTTATCTTGTCTGTGGTCCTTTCTAATTTAACCACTGAGAACTTCGACGTTCGTTTCGATGTAAACGACGAGGAATATGGTTATTACATTATAATTAACAACTCTCTATATTTTCTTCGATAACAAGAGATTCAACGATTTTAAACCCTATCTACGTGGATTTATTGTAGGAAAAATACCTAACACAATATTTTTATCATATGACGTATATAACTGTAATAAAGTCGTAAGACGTATAGGGTTTTTCATGTGATAAAGTGTGTTTTGAAGTTATATTAATTGGAATACAGTGTATGTTTTCGCAATTAAATTAGTCATTACAGGAGTTTTATATTAATAGTCATTCTACGTTCGTTTTAATTAAAATTAAACGAATTTTGTCTCTATAAACCATAAAAAGATTTTTAAATCTGTGTAAATAAATATATAGTAGTGATGGCTCTATGATATCTAAAGACTTGTAGAATTCACATTCATTTCGATCTAAAATCGTACAGATACGTTAATACAGAATGAAAATACCGACATTGGTTTATAGAATTCAAATACGGTAAATTATCAACTTTCTGGTGATAATATTGAACTATCGACTTCTCCTTCACGTTGACTTTTCAAGTTCCCAAGGCGTTCTGGGATAAAAAGGACCGTTGGACTTGAAAAACTCGCATTCCTATGGTTCTGAAACAGACAAAAATCGTTAATTGTATGAGTCAACAAAAAGTAAATTAATTACAATGAATTATCTTTAGTACCTTTATTAAAATAATCGTTCATCTTCGATACTATATGTTCATGTGTATATGTATTGACTGGACAGATAAGCTTTCTCATCCACTATCAGAGAACAGTTACGTCGATTTCTAGAACGACAACTATATTAGAGGTCATAAAGTCGTATCTTCGCTTATTATTTGCATAATATAACATTGTACAATGTTGTCTGGAACACTTTTCGATAGTAACAAGCACGCATACACGTGACTTCGTCGGGCTTCTTCGAATAGTCTATAAAGTTCAATTTAACAAGTTTTATCATATAATAATTACAAGTTGCTTAGAAGTTTGCAAGTATCGATGTTGAAACCTTTACGATATTTGTCTACGAGCTGGATATTCAATTCTCGTGTACATTCGTCGATTGCTCTATCTTCCATACCCTATCGGTATATTACATGAAAGTGGAATTGGATAGAAGCTCTATTTCAGTAGATACCATAACTACATGTATTATGTGTTACCTGATTGGCTCTATTAACTGCCACAAGACGGAAAACTGAAAACATGACGATACGCTTTATGGCGAGGAGAATGTGCGTGATCTTGACGAACTTGAAGCAAAGATCAGTTGCTAATCGCATCTTTATAATCCAAGTTCAAGTCACGTTTATCAAGTACAAGTGGTTAACAGCGGCTTGATGCGACTGCGCATTGACTGTTTTGCTATCGTTTTGAAGACGGTGAATAATAGTCAACGATGTTTTCATGTCTGAATATGACAGATGCAAAGTTCTTCGTTATCGTTTTCTAGAAAAATGTATGAATCATTTCCCGTGCTATAAGCCATTTTTTCCTTCGTTCTCTCATGCTTCGGTTTGTAAATTTTCAATATAATATTCTATCGACAGAATTTCATAAAAAAAAAATTTTTTACAGATAATTGCAGTATTTTCGATTTAGTTAATTTTTCGCGTACTCCCTATAAACTTGTTTCAGACTTATAGCTATTATTTTTATGACTATAAGTAGCTTGTTTTACAAATATAACATATCGGTAAAACCAGGCTTAATTCGTTCTTTCCGTTAAATTAATACCGTCCACACCAATGATGCATCTATGTAGATATACATTGCCACTTGATAAGCGTGACCCGAATCAGGAAGACGCAAGCGCAATTCACATACTTAGTTTTGTCTCAAAGTTTATATAATATTACACATCATGAAGCTCCTTCTTATTTTTCCAGTTTTCTGCTTTGCCACGCTTAGCAGAGTACACTGTGAAAAGGTAATATCAAAATATTATTTTGTTACAGTGCAATATGCAACAAGCAAAATGAATTTGGCAATCGGCAACTTTCATGCCAACTGCGCGCACAAGTTCATATAAACACATATACTCGTTATTATAACATATGGCAAAGCGTAAGTTCAACGGAAATATTGTCATTAATTGTTTGAGTAATGCTATTGACATTTGCCTTTCTTACATAATTTTGTAAATCATGAAATTTTCTCTAAAATAGTATTTCAAATTGATTGATACGAGTACAAAGTTCCTATACTATTAGTTAAATAATCATTTATTTCGCGACTGACTCATTCGCTTCGACGACGTTTATCTAGGATTGTTACAAAGAAATTTTTGAGCAATGTGCACGAGAATTGAATATCGCGGACCTACAAGAGCTCGTCAGCACTATCAAATGGAATGGTAATAACTGCTGACCGACTGGTGGTTAATGTTTAAATTATTTCAAATAAAAATTGATAGAAATCAAGTTTTCAGAATTTCTTGCAAATACCAATGACGATGTGCTGTGTATGTTTACTTGTATATTGAAAAAACAACACAATTACAACACGACAACGCTTCACGAAGGACTTTTGAAAGCAGTAGACATAGGCAAGACGATCCAACTGCTAATGTCTTTATTACGTAAGAGAACGATATAATTATTGCTACTTTTATTTTGTAGCATACGAAAATCACTTCAAGACCACTAAATTCACGCGTGATGATGTAGAATCCAAGATAAGTAATTGTCTTACACAAGGTATTGATAGCCTGTTTAGGCCAATCCGCATTTGATTATTTTGCAATTAATACTTTCTGAATATTTCAGAGCGAGATGAATGCAAGTTCGTCAAATGTGTCGAACCAACAAATTTGCCGTTTATTGATGTATTAACCTATATGGCACAAGTGTAATCTACACATATAACGTTTATTTTCAAGATATAATGATAAGCGTGAATTTTATTTTTTAAATCTACTATGTTTATCTTCGTATGTAATTTCATTATGCGATTATCTCACAGCAATCAAAGTAATGATTAGACACTTAAAGCGTGCAAAAATATGCTTGCGAGATGGAGTTGCGTTCGAGTGATAATAAGTCGCATGACGTGGATTGATGAATCAGTTATTTGGATGGAAATGATCAAGTTAACACGCAGTTCCTGTATGACGTATTCAAAATGCAGTTGCTGCCAATATTTTAATTAGAAGTGAGTTGAGTGAATTCTTTTATTGAAACACTCACAGTAGTAAAACATGATCATTTTTATTCGGTAATTATCTGTGTACAAAAATTCATTCATGTTTTACGATATAAGTATATGTCGATGAATGGCGGTTCAAAAATCCCAACACACTTGGAGAATTCACAATCGTCGTTTTCTAGAAATTGATAAAACAAATATAGTGTACGAGTAGAATTCATTTGTTTTAAAAGTATAAAAGCCATAAAATAAAAGTGTTGTTAATTACCTTTGATCGAACATCTCTTTACTTTCGAAGTTATATCAGTGCGAGTGAATTTCGTAACACGGAAGCCAGATTCGTAAACTACGAACCCACGTATTAATATTTCGGCATAAATTTGCAAGAACAAAGAAAAAACTAGTGATCATTTTGTCGTACCTTCATCAATCATTTTTAAAAATCCGTTATACAAGGTCAATCCTTTTTCTTCGGACCATTTTCGAAATCCACACGCGTATAAACAAGACGCATCGTTAGTAGATAATTTCCCATGATCTAAATTTATACATATGAGTGGTATGAAATAATTATATCATATTAATGAAATTCAATTTTACCTGTAACTTTAGTTTTGTCCATTTGATCACTCCTACCGTTATACTCTCTCAGACATTCTGTTATGATTAACTTCGCAATAGAGTACTAGTAAAAAACAATAAAATATTTTTTCTTGTGCTCAAGTCATCTTTTCATCGAAACTTAGTCATTTAGATGTAAATTATTTGAAAATAAAATGATGACCAAAATCATGAACAGATTTTTTTAATTTGTTAAATGTTAGTCATCAGGCTCCTATTTTATTTTTTGGTCCTATGCCGTATAGAGTAATAATATAATACAATATACCTGTAAATTCTGTTTTTGGCTACATGTTTTATGACATCCTAATAGGCAGATAATTAAAAAAATGAGAAACAGCTTCATGCTTCTATTTCAATCAAGGCAAAAGTCACGTACAGACTGAGCCGGAGATGCGCTAAAGTCTTCTTTTTATTCCCACCCATTTACATGGAAATTATATATTTAAAATCAGAAATATAAAACACGTGGGATAGATACGGCCTTCGAATTTGTAGCCGTCATGTTAGAAGTTGAATTGATGATGTGAAAACGTTGAGCCATTTTATAACTCTCTTAGCACATACCACATACAGCAACATATAGATATATAACCACCATTTCAACTTTCACTCTCGTTACATAACAATATTTCGATTATATGCAAATGTTTGAGGCGAGTTTTAGAATTTATTGTAGTAATTAATTTTTCTCATGAGTCCACTACAATTTTTTTTCTATTTAATTTGATTTGGAAGTGCCGTTACAAATAAATTGCAAAGTGATATTTTGATGTAATGAAATTTGACATTAAAATCCAAAATAAATTCATTTGGTTTTATAACTTTCAGTTTCGCGAGTTACAGTTAAACGGATATATGGTAATATTTACGCGCATCAATGCATCAATGAGTTCAATGACTTGCATCGTAAATTTTCTAATTTTGAGTTCTCTTTCACATCCATTAGAATCTGTGCAATAAATAACAAAACAATTTAATCATTAATATATTTTTTTTACTCTTTCATTCTTTTTCATCACTAATTAGCTACTAATTGATTAATTTTACAACTTTAAAATATTTTATTTGGAAATGGTTAATCACGATACAAAATATTTTATTTTGCAATTTTATGACAAACCATGTGACACTTCTTATAGTAGCATGTATCACGAAACGTTCTTTTCATCTAGGTAATTATCGGATCAAAGAAATGTTTATTTTAAAAGAAAAAACCCTTGAATGGAGGGTTGAAAATATTGACGCATTTAACAAAGTCACACTCGTTCAATCCTAAAAATAATACACGTATCCTCCATTTTATAACTTTATAATCTGCAGGTACTGAAAATATAAATAAAATTTCTTTACCTTTAGCTTGACACTCGTTGACCTTTTCTAAAAGCTTTTCATAAGAATAATGGTGACGGTCGGTACTCATTGCGAATACTACATTGAATATGATTAAATGAGAAATTAACTTAAAAATTTAATAAATTAACAAGAAGATAGTTACTATAATTAATGCTGGAAAGAATTCCATTGTACGCATTTTGCTCTTCTTTTTCACTGAACTCACGGAATGTGCAAGCCAATATACAATTTAGAGATTTCCAGTGTATTTTGTGCTTTCCATAAACGTTATCGTCATCTGAAGTGTAAATATTATTTAATTAAACGAATAATGTAGCGACGAAAGTTTTATCTAAAAGATTCACGAAACATACCTTTACTGCTTTGCAGATCTAATTTATCTGCGCATTTTAAAATATGGGGACTTATATGCATCTGTAATCGTCATTTTATAACATTAAAATATATTCTGTGTAATTTTTAAAGCATTGGTATTTGATTGATTGTTAATTATCGAGTAATGTTATTTTTTGTTTGTGTATAACTTTATAATAATTAAAAATGAAATTTATGAAAATGTATTGATCAACAATAAGGATGTTGAATAAATATTAAGTATCATATACGTTACCCCATCAACAAGGCGAAAAATAAATACGAAAATAAATATATTCATCACAACCATTTTCTCTAGAAAAATACGCCTCTGCGTACAACTACTTCTTATGAGATTTATAGTGGAACTGTCATATGAAATATTGTCGACCCAAATTTGCTTATCACTTTGATAGAAACCGTATCTTCCAATAAAATATATCTTAAATTCAGTTTCAGTTCTTTCTTTACTGATCCATTGAGACGCACCACGTGTTTATTCTAATATATATTTTATAAAATCAACAAAAATGTTCATATAAACAATATATCAATAAAATAGGTTTGAATACTATATGTACTTTGTTGCAGAACTAATAATTCAACGTTTAATGGATTCATCTAAGAAGGTTTAAATAGAAATAAGTTACTAAACAAACTTAAAACACCTAGATCGACTTGATAACTGAATATATCAGCAATTGGTAATTTGAAATGCTCAACACACTTGAAAAACTTGCATACCGCTCGTCCTGAAATATTCAATAAAACTTTTAATAATTCTCTGTACATTGTCTTATTTCGGATAAAATAAGTTAAATAGCAACTGTCATTTGGATCAGAAGAACCAGATTCAACATTTGATTCTCGTCTACATTGCCGAAGATTTTTCACCTTTACATCGTATGATATACTATTTATGTAAAAAAAGTATTAAAGATGAAACCTATATAGTTTAAGTGTTTTCATAGAAAATTAAAGTTCGCCGATATCTTCATCTATCATCTTTGAAAGTCCGTTTTACAAAGTCTGCATTGTTTGGCTTAATCACATTTTCCATTATCATTTTTTGAGCAATGTATACAGAAATCGATTAGCTGATGTAAAAAAACTAAAAATTAACTAGTTCAACAATATTAATAAAGTAATCTTCTACATCGTTATCAAATTTTTGTGTATGCATTGATGAATAACTTTCGTCGTTTATCCTATAATAAAAATTTTAATTCGATGTCTACTTGTCGCTACAGAAATTTTTACAACGAATCTATTTTAGGATATTGTGATCATAAATTTGATTTTATTACAGAATATAATTAATTTCAAACACAATTTTTTTTTTAATTAGTAACGTGTTACAAAAAGCAAAAAATGAAGAATAGTTTATATTTATATGGCCTTTTACAAACTTTATGCATTTGTTAACATATAGTGTATATATTATTGCTGATTGTTACCATTTTATTTATAAAACGCATGATTTACGTGTATTACTTTTGTTAAATAATAAAAGTCTTCATATCTGAAAGTTCGACCTTCACGAAATAAATTATTGTCTTACCAAGATTACGAATAATTGACAAAAGTAGAAAACGCTCAATACCAAACTAGCAATTAAAATTCTAACAGATTCGAAGACAACATTGTTTGAATGATAAGCATACGAAGGTTATGGGTAGAAAGCAAATATGTTACACAACGGTGTTTGCGTATCCAATATTTACTTTACCCGCGCCTAATTATCATTATGATTATTCAAGTTATTTATAGAGTGTCCTTTTACTATTGTTTCTTTCGCAAACGCAAGATATTTGACAAAATCTCTTCATTTTTTTTATCGTGAAACGCAATTTTCCATTACATTTTTTCAGTTTTACCTTTATTTTCCTCTTGAGATACTATTGACGTACTAGAACTGGAATTTAGTGATTTCTTGAAAGTATTTTTCTTGATTATGATTGTCACCTCTTTTGCAGTATTATCCTTACTGTATAATGGGAACTCTTCGGGTTGTTTCATGTCGAGAATTTCAGTGTTCTGGCTTGTAATAGTTTTAGTTGCGTTAGCGCTTTTCGAGCTTTGACAGAATCTCGCTAAGTGACCTTCTTATTAGGAGCTTTTTCATTGAAAAGTATACCCCTCTGGAAATTACTATATAAATTTTGTATATATCTTTGGACAAAGTTTGAACACAACATGTATAAAATATGCATATAATACGTATAAACGTATACATATTACGTACATATTTTGTAAATATTACTTTCATATTTTGTTCATATTTTGTTCATATTTTGTTCATATTTTGTTCATATTTTGTATATATTTTGTATATATTTTGTACATATTATGCATACAATTTATACAATATTTCCAATATTATATAAATACCGTTATCATTTTGTGTAAGAAATAACGTTATCATTTTGTAGCTAATTTATTTTGAATATTTATTTCGATCAAAATTGGAATATTCAATAAAAAGCAATCGTTATCAGAACATGACATGAATTTTATAAGCAATTGTTTCCTCGCAAAAAAATTTCATATTATAGAATTCGTATAGGGACATTATCATCATTAATCGATATTTTAGACGAATCATCTCATCAAATGTTTAATTTCGCCCATAATTATAAGTTGTAATTTTTATGAATTGATTTTTAATAGTTATTTTTATTAGAAATGAAAAGTTAAGAAATAAACAATTCTATTATTTAGAATGAATAAAAAATTAAAAGATTATTAATAGTGCAGCAACATAAATTATTATATTGTCTACAATTAATTTAAGAAAATTAATCAAATTCATCATCCATATGGACTAATGAACTAGTGATTTGATTCCATCCTTGGTTGAGTAAACATATGTTAGCAATTATTTAGTAGTGACTGTTTTTTTCTAATTATATTTCTTTTGTTAAATTTTTTTTATCTTCGAAGCGAATCCATTCATTTTTTGTCATTCAAGTGAAAGACAACGATGACAGTAATTTATCAATTTTGCCAAAATGCCAATATAACAAAATGAAGCGAAAAGAATTTTTCAAGCATAAAAATTATAATGCCAAACTTTTTCAAGAAATTCTAACGTACGCTCGTTTTTCTACCTTGCAGTTTCTGGAATCAAAGGGCTACAAAACAAAGAAGCGAGGTTTGATCGAAGTGAAAGGCAAAGGCACGATGGAGACGTATTTTGTGCTGGGCCGTGGCGATTCTCGAACCGAAGGAACATCACGCGATCGAAGTGCTTGCCGAAGTCTCGCTGCCGTCGTTTATGGAGTTGTACAAGCGAGGCGCAAGATGCACGATACCTGAGACTCGGCCAGGCCAAGTATTGTCGGCTTTTCCACGACTGGGCTGTGAGACAACTTGAGCGCGCATTGAAAATACAAATTTTCTCTGAAAGTGATCAAGTTTTTGTTTTGTGTTTTTGGGTGAAAAAAAGTTTTGTTTTCGTTATGTAACAGTGATATTTATTTGTGATTTTTTAGGTGATGTAGAATGTTTTTTATTGTCATGTTTTTCCTCTTAATAGAATGTGTCTTAGTAGACTACGTCGAATATAGTATTTATGACATGGGTTAGCAAAGAATTGATCATGAAGCAAAAATAATTTCAAACAAAACTTCTTTTTCACAATGCTTCTATTTTTATTACTAAGTTAGTTGTCAATATTAATCCCCGTTACTAATTTTCCAACAACAAAAAATTCATTACGTTCAAACCTTTAACTCACTCTACTCTTTATGTGAAGACATGACGTTTGATAATCGTGAGATTACTATTATAGTAGCGAAACGATTTGAGAGAGATCTATTCATAAATATGAACTTATCTGAGATATCTAATGATGTTGAGCTTACATATCGATTTGAATCTAGAAGTTTGTTGGAAATATAAAAATGCAAATTTATCTAGGGCGTAATGTCTAATATTACTTTCGAAACAAATGCCAAAAAAGAAGCAGCAAATTTATGCTATTGACAGAAAAAATATTTATCTTGAATAAGCTGAGTTTCACTCGATAAGAGCCAAAATATTCAAATTTTATTTTCAAATCATTTACGTAGTTAGTATAATATATTCTAGAAACGGAATCCCTTTTAAATTCACTTCAAAAATTAGGAATCTGAAAATTAATATTAACATATCAAATTGGTCAAGTGCCTGCTAGTCGAAAAAAAAAATTTTTAAAGTAATGTTCCGCAGAAAAAAATCAATCAAAGAACATTTGACATTTATTATATCAATTTACAAATGATCTTATTTTTAAATATTTTTATCGATATGAAATGAAATGTGTATTAACATTTTTATATTGTACCCTTTTTTTTCAACCAAATAGTAATCTACCAAACAAACAGTAAAAATTACCGTACTTGTAAACATATCACACAAACTTAGCAAAATAAGAATAAATGCAATCTAAGTATTAAAGTTAATGTTACATGCAAAATACGTATAACATATACCATGTAGTAGAAAAAATGCTGCAGGCAGCCCATACAATTTAAATTGTATATTTTTCTCTTCTTCTGTTGAGATAATAAAAAAGAAGTTGTTATATCCTCCAGATTATTCGTTGTTCTCTTGAATGATACGATATCATATTCTTTGGATAAATGTCAAAATATTAATAAATCATGAGTATTAATTACAAGATTTTTTGATGGCTAGCTAAACTAGTGCCAAAGCGAAAATCGTCTCGCTCGTGCGAATCATTATACACACGAAGAAATATATTGCTAAGAAAAGTTAGGATTAATTAGAGCATAACAGTAGCATGTCTTTAAATTTCTTTATTTTTACATTTCTCGTATAATTTTTATGTATCGATTATATATTTTCTTATTAAAATATAATTATAATTTACTAACAATCAAGATACGTCGCTCGCAGATTGCAGTCGCATTGATTACATTTACACATTCCATCAGATCCAGACCACCCTCCATTAGAGCAACACTCGGCAGTGAAGGCTATATAATATATTAAACATAGTTTTACTCTATCTAAATGTTAATAAATACACGAAAACTCGTGTCGAGTTTTCCCCTTGATCAACGTGTTTATCACTTTATACATAGCGGCCTTAGAAGAACAACACCGTGTGTATCGATTATTGACTAATCAGCAGTGGTAAGTAAAATAGAATCGTAGCTGCTACAGTTCTTTCTTTGCGTTTACCAGATATGCATAAATAAATCAAGGTAAACTACATTGAACTGTAGTAAGGAGACCAGTGAATCTCGATCATATGGAAAACTTACAATGCGCATGCGGTATGTTTTTTTACATGTTAACGCGACTTAGATGCTGGATTCATTGAGCCTTATCGCGACAAGAAACAACGAGAAAGAGTGAGCGAGTAGGAATAAAAGCAACATAATGAATCAGAGATAAGGGACACATACGAGAAGGGTGTAGATGGAGAACAAAAAAACGTATAAACCACAAGTCTAATGCACGTTGTTATCCTCGTTACTTTCCTCACTACTTTCCTCACTTTCGTTTTTCTTCAGCTTAGATCCCAAGACAAGTTTGTAATTAATTCCGCTACCGTCAGGACTTATGAATTTGACGTTAACAAAATTTTGATCCACGCCGCCATCAGCGATTGACGGAATAACTGGACTTCCATTCGGTACCAAATCTTTCATTTGAATTAAATACAGAACGTAATCTTTCAAAAAATTGTGGACGTAAAAGAAAACTATCTCTTTGCCTGTAGGATCAGGAGCGCGCACGATGATCTTTTCCTCGATCATTGTCGTTTCAACTGGTTCAGTCGTTGATGATGATCCAACGTCTGAGCTTAATTCTTTATTCAAATGAGCAAAACACAACGAACTAATTATAACTATTAATATAGTATTTAATAAAAATGAGTACTTTGTCAGAGACATTTTCTTGAATGTTCATTCGTACTGGTAAATTCGTTCTGACACTTGGTTCATGTTATCACATAGATATAGACGCAACTAATTATTAATCGAATATTTATCTTATCAAAACTTATCTCTAATATCAGTCATTGAGATTTATTATCTTGCTTACACATAAAACATATGAATTTTTCGATTCATTTAAAAAGTTGATTCATTATTCACAAACGATATTACATTTCAAAAATTATCACTTTGTAAACTGAAGAATCGTAGTGTTAATCTGCTGTATTATTTAAAATACAAATTTAATGAATACAAATTTACTTGATTTCGCTAATTTATTCAAGAATTACTACTTAATTCCATTAACGAGCAGAATCCCTTTTTTATGTACAACATTTATAGAGTACAATTTTAATATTAAAAGATAGATTTTTTCCAAAATCCTATATAGAACTCTACGATCTTTCATAATCTGATATTAATTTTACATGAAAATGTAAAATTAATATCAGATATTATTATTTTACGTCAATAACTCTATTATTTTTATATTAAAACACTGATGGTTTCACGTTTGTTTCAAATTTGTTCAAATTTATTCAGAACATTTTTAAATTTTTTATTTTTGACTATTGTGGATAAATTTGCTAGAACAATTCTTAAAAAATTCACATAAGTTCTTTCATAAATTTCAAGCATTTATTGAAGTATACAAGTCTTTTTCAAAGTTGATACTTTTAGAATTAACACAATGAAATAAAAAATTAGAACATTTTTTGTGACAGATATCTTTTCAATAGTACATATAAACGTACGAGAAAGCAATCTTTTCGACGAAAACTATTAACAGATGATAAAAATGAGGAAGATAGATTTCATAATCCTAATATAATATTGTTTCCAAGTAACGTTAATACTGAAAATATAACACAGTGTCAATGAAGAAAAGACGGGCGATATATTGATAAAGCATTACAATTTAAAAAAAAAACATAATTTCTAGCAAAATTACATCAATTTTAATTAGTATTTTATACTCAATGAATAATATCAAATGTTTTCAATGAATAAATGTTTTCTTATTATTTTTAGTTAAAAAGTTACAGTGTTTTAAACATTTGATTTGTTTCTGATAAATAATCCGGCTGACGGATTGTAAGCCACGTTAAAAATTTGTATGCAACGGATCAATACACATTAAAAAGAATTTGTCCGGATCCACCTAACTTGAAGTCGCTTCGGCAAGTACCTCGAACAGCGCGAAAAAAACAATTGTTGATTTCAAGCTAACTGAATGCTGATAATCATTGTTGTTGCTCATGAGAAAATAGATCCGATAATAAACGATATTAGACATATTCGAAGGTGTGACGTGTAAAAGAGCTGCAGCACTTTGTTTTCCTATCTCATATTGACAGTTACCTCGAATAATTAAATGTCTTTGTAAAATTGCTACTATACTGTACTATATTGTAACCTACGCGCCCTGTAAATCTATAAATTTGGTCTATTCATTTGAGCCTCCTCTTATGTGTCTATGTAAAGTACAGTACAATAGTTTATCGTCTTCAGAACACCTCGCATCAACTCCAGTTCTTTTATAACGAGCTGGATTATTTATTCACTTGAACACTTGAGTTCTATCTTGTAATTTGTGTTTTTAACTATGCCAAGAATTCGTTCATTATTCAACTTTCTTTTATTTTAGAAAATATAATAGGATTCATCTTTAAAAAATACAATATCACATGCATTAATATTTATGGAAAAATTATATTTCGATCCTAAGGTTGAGCGTTAATAACACTAACATTTTATTGATTTTATTATATTACATAAAAGAACTTTCAAGTAATTGAGCAACCGATCTGAATCTATTAATTTTTCAGCTAGTATCTATTATGTGGTAGAACCTCGGAACATTATAAACCAATTTTTAAATATTGTAAACTTACGTGAATTAAATAAGTCATAACTTTTTATGAATAATAATATTTTCGTAGTTTTCAACTATAAAGTAAAGTCTTTTAGTTATTTTATTTGAAACACATCAAGTCACTCTTTGATTATATAATCGATAAAAAAATCTGAACTAATTTAAAATATAAATTCAGATTTGCTCATCATTTTTGCTATAAACTTACCTATAAAAAATATAAAATAAAGTATTTAATTTTTCAAGAATGATCCAGAGGCAAAAACGTATCTATCTCTCTTCACAGGTATCAGAATATCAGAAAACTCAGTCAACATTCACGTATTAAGTGAGGTCAGATGAAACGTAGATTTAAATATGTCGAGATAGCATTGCAAAAATTGTTATTGATCACGTATTCCTTATTTGCCTTACACAATTAAAAAACTTTTTTTACAAGTCTTTAACCGGCGATATATTCTGAAAAAATATATTTGTATATGTTTTTGTTAAGCGCACGTTTATTGCTTATCAATTGCGCTTAGTTGAAATTACTACCTTATCAAAAAATTTAATTCATTGCATTTAGAAGATTATTTCAATTATTTATTAAACTTTTAAACGATCAATTTATTGAACTAATTACATTTTCTAGTAATTACATTACTTTTATGATAAATCATCCAATTAAATAATTAATTATTTATTCTAAGTAACGACCAATTGGAATTTGATCTTATATTTTTATTTGAATTATTTTAATTTAATTCATTATATAAAAACACCAGTGTCTCAAGATATAAAACCCATTAGTTTTTGTTTTTTTCAAAGTTCCTAATAACCTTTAATCGATTCTTATGAAATCTTATTTCTCCTCCGCCCGCGGCAATTCGCAAATTCAAGTACATCTTTGAAATCTGCTAACGCAACAAAATAAATTTTACCAAAAATTTATGCTCATTGCTGCTTATTTTATAGTTACATGAATATCGTTATTTTTAATTTTAATCATAAATAAGAACTATTACTTCTGCTCTTACTTCACGCTCTTCCATCATCGCAATCTGGTACAGAACATCATATAGCTGCATTGCCAAAATCGCATAACAAAACGTAGTGAGTTTCGTACGTCTTGTAACATAACAATAATAATATTTTTTTCTGGTACAACGAAGTAACAAACTATCATTGCGCAATACGCTCAAGGCTATGTAAGACTTACGACAGTACACAGAATTTTTCTAATTCAATATGCTTATTTTGGAACAAAACAATAAACTTTTATGCATCAAAGTAATGCCATAGTTCATCCGAATCAAATATAGTATCTTTGACTTTATATATGGCATTGTACAAGATCAAGTCCAAAATAACGTAAAATGGGCATTGAAGTATAAAATTAGCTAAGCAATCATATTTTATAATCATTGATTTTTAGTATTTGAGGTGACTTTTTTATATATGACCGTTTTTTCCAATGCAACATTTAGAAATTCAATGAAAATATATTTTTATTTGTTTGCAATTAACTTATTTTGAAAATAAAGATAATTAACAATCCAGGAAACATAAAAATCCTGACTGAAGAAGAGTTAATTTCAAGGAAGAGACAAATATTTAAATAAATACGATATTGAGATAAGATAACAAATAGATCCCATAAAAGAGAAATTTAAGCAAGAATTTTTTTCTATTCTATACAGATTTTTAAGAATTTTTCTATTCTATACAGACATTTGAGAGTTTTTTTTCTATTCTATATAGATAAATTTAATGAAAAGGATTAACCTTATACATAGTTTTAGTCGTATATCTCTGCAGGCAGATGTAGTAAAAAACCAATGAAGAACTAGATCATTTCAGGTAACGATCATACCAGCTAAAAGACGAATTATACATCTTTCAAACTTAACATACATTACCCAAACTCAATTAAAAAAAATCAAACAAGGAGTTAAAGATCAATCCAGGAAAGTACGAAAACCTCGACTCAGGGATAGATAGTTTTAGAGGAGAGAGAAATAAATCAATAAATACAACGTTATCATGTAGAATTTCAATCAGATTTGTTTAAAAAAAGTTCAAACGACAAAAGGCATTCAAGGAAATGATAATACCAGCTGAGAAAATATATTCCCATATTTAAAGAATCTAAGAACATAGATTATCTTATGATGTTACGATCGTTACCTGAAATGATACATGATATGATGTTCGAAGTCGGTCCTTTACTGCATCTACGTGCAATACTTTAAAATTCATCCTGTTTACCGAATTCACTTGTATCGGAATTGAAAACAGCTATGAAATCAGAGTTAATCTACTTTTCTGAACTCTTAAATGGAAGTATACTTTCTCACCTAGTATTATCATTTCCTTGAATGATCTGTAGTCTGAACTTTTGTCAAAATATCTGCCTGAAATCCGGTCTACCTCAATCAAATTGTATTCATACATTTATTTGTCTCTTTCTTGAAATGAACTTTCTTTCAATCAGGTTTTTCATACCTTTCCTTGATTGATCTTTAACTCCTTGTTTGATCTTTTTCCATGAGTTTGGCAAAGCAAGCGTGGTTGGAAAGATATGGAAAGTCTTTTTACTTTGTATGATGTTATCTGAAATTATCTGTCTTCTGAATTCAGAGATCAAATGATTAAAATTTCAAAAACAATTGCTTTCGCTCTAGTTTCACGAAAATATAATTTTTTTACACAATAAATTAGGAACTTCTTAGTTCCAATACATTCTATGCTATTTGTGGAATCAATTGAGGTAGCTTTTTATCAGTCTATGGTGTGTACATAACATAGAATGAAATTCAATGCAATATCAATTACTTATTGTCCATTTTTTTACCAATTAAAGGCAATTGAATTATTTCTAAAACATTACGAATATAAAACACTTAAATGCGCTTGCCGTCTAGTAATAAAATAAATTCTAAGCTAATATTTACAATTGCGTGATCTCAACTTTACTTTCTACCACTAGATGTAGCTGCTCTCCACATCATTTCTAAATTATCTTGAGTTGTAGCCTTTTCTCTTTGCAGTTTTTGAATAATATCGTCCTTTTGCAATAGCAATTGTTTCAGTCGTTGCATTTCTCTTTGATACTCGCTTTTCAATTGATCTGCTCCTTGTTCTTGATTTTTTATATGTTTTTCAACTGTAGCTAGTTGTTCTTTGGCACCTTCTTGAACGATCTGAGGTAAAATAAATTTTTTGATCTATCCAATGTGAACGTAAAAAAATATCTCAATTTTAACTCACTTTCAGTTGGCTTTTTAGATTACTCATTCTCCACGCAATGTTACTTCCTAAATATTGAATATTTTCATTCTCCTTCTCTTTTTCGCGAAGAAGCTCCGCCAATTTATTCTTCTCCAAAACAATTTTCTTCTGCTCCTCCAACAGTTTCTTACAACGTATGTTACACTTTGTAAGCTTTTGCTCGTAAAAGTCTCGTGATTTCTCAATCGAGTGACTGACTTTCTGCAAATCTTTTAATTGATGCTGTGCCTCTCTGAAAAATCGAATTCAACGATTAAACAATTGCGCGTTTATTACACTTCAAATCAACTTACTTTGAATGCAGCTCAGAATTGGTTAATTGATTTTTAAGTTGATCCCGCTCTGCTGTAAGTATCGCTATTTGCTTCTCATTCTCCGGTACTATTTCCTCCAAATACTTTATCCGATTATTCAATTTCTTCTTTTCTGAGTCGTATTGCTGCTTCAATTCCTCGAACAATCTTCGACATTCTTCGACGGCTTTATTATGCACTGATACTGGCATCGTCTTCTCAATGTTAGCGTTGAATTTTTCGTACTCCTGGCTCATAATTTCATACTTGCCTTTCAAGTTGCTCAACTCGGTCTTGCATTGCGTGTAGTCTTTATGTAGTTTGCCGTTGTCTTCCGACATTGACTCAACTTTTCGCTCGTAGACGGCGTGAACCTCTTGCAGTTTTTGCCTTTGCAGTGCAATTTGTCTTGATAGCAGATCGTTGTGTTCCTTTATTATAGCGGCGTCTTTTTCAACGGTTTTCATCTCCTCGGTGCATTTATGAACCTTAAAAACAAGTGCAGTCAGTGCACACATAATTAACTAAAACAATTAAAATATAAGCTGACATACCTGCACTCTAAAGTTCTCAATTTGGATGTGAAGATCCTCGTTCTCCGTAATGACATTCTTCAGTTTACCAGTGAAATGGTCCAATTCTTTCTTGAACTTTTGTACCAAATCATTTTTCTCGTTAATATTCTCATCGTAGGCATTCAACAAAGGACTCAAAGCATGAAAATTGACTTTACCCCAAGTTTCCAATACGTGCTTATTTTCGTAATTTACCTCGGTTTCATCTATAACAACTGTTTTATTATCCTCAGACCTAAATTTATCTTGGTACTTTTCGATTTCAACGTTCAAGCGGTAGACCAAATTTTTCAACAGATTGACATCTTCGTGTAACTGCGAATTGTCAGTTTTGAATTTTTGTACAAGGCTGATAGACTTGTTGCGCTCTTGTTCTAAATTTCTTATAACCAGCGTCGATTCTTCCCGGTTCATGTTTAACTGTCTTAATTCATTCTCTCGCTTCGCTAACAACAAACTTATTCTGTCATGGTCCGCTTGCATCTCGTAGTAATTCTGCTCCAACTGCAGGTACTTCTTCTTCAAATTCAATAGTAGCTCGTCTCGTTCTTTTATGGCTGACGAGCTAACTGCAAAAAACAAATTTTTCGTCTCTATACGAAATCTCCCTTTTGTTGATCTGCGAAATTGGAAAAGTTATGCTTGTTATTTACCTGATCTGGGATTCGTACCTTCCAGCTTCGTCGTCAGTACATTGTTTTGTTCGACCAATCTGGCGATTTCTTTGTGTAAGCAGCGTTTGCTTTTGCCCTTCGATGATACATCGCTTAAATCAAACCTGACCGATGAGTCCTTAAACGACTTGGGTTTTAATATGGACTTGCCCGACGAGCTATGTTTTTTGCGATGCTTCGATCCATGAATTGAGGCGACGTCACTATCGTTGGATGTGCTCCTATGCCTCGCATGCTGTGAATTGTCACGCAAAGATGTGACGATTAGACGTCTTCAACAGTTTAAATTCGTAGATTTCAAGTTACCTTAGCGAATAAATTACAAACCTTTCTTCTTCCTCGGTTTATGAAACCATTTGTGCTTGTTGATCCGAAAAAGTACGACATTATAACTTCACTATTACGCACGTCATCAAATCTTTATTACAGCAACAAAATACAACAAAAACTTATTAAACTTGGAATTTATTAGCACACGCCATATAAATTTATAGTCTATGAGATTGTTTAATCGTGTCAAAAATGTTGTCTACAGATTATTAGAAGATATAAATACGTTTACGCTATGTGTGTTTATATATAAAGAGGTTGCCATAGAAACCGTAATACGTTTGTGATTCCTGCTCCCATGAAAAAGCAGCACCTGTTTGCTTTTATATGTAAAATAAAATATTAATGTAAAAGCCTATATTAAAAACCGACATTGTCAAAATTAGGTAGTCAAATTATCAAATGAGAGAGAAACGTTAGAATAATAATTTAGACGTTTTGGTTTTGTTTCTAGCTATTCTAGGAATCTTGTCATTGTTTGAGTTATTTTATTTTACTTTTAAGTATATTGGAGTTGCTGATTATTTGTTTTTATTGTCATGTATAATTTTTGTTTTACTCAAACACAAATTGTGACATGGAAGCCCATTCTTTATATTACTTAGATGAATTGCCATGTTTATGGATATTATTATTAAAAATCATTATGAATCGCACTTACTGTTAAAATAATATTTTATGTATTCAAATAAAAACAGTAATTATAAAGCATAAGAAACATGAATCAACAATTTATAATTTTTAATGTTAGTATGTACATGTGTATTATATTTAGATTTATTTTCACATATCAGTTACAAAGGTAGATCAACATAGAAAATACAAAAAAACACCTTTATGTTATATTCTGAATTTTACTGCTTACAAATGTTGTTGATAATGGTATATCTGTGGCTCTCAAGCAAGAGATGCAATGCAAATGAATAGTTTTTCTAACATTATTTTTTTAATAATAACTCTTTCATTTCATCATTCAGTGCTATTGCTAACTTATCATAAAAAGAATCTTTGGACCACTGTGTTCGATAAAAATATCTAATTGTCTTGCTTCAATTTTTTGATAAAATTTTATAATTTTATCTTGCAATGTAAGTGCACAACTACCTGTTGATTCAGATGGAAGCAAGATATTGTTAAATTCAAATTGTGAAAATAAGTGATTAACGCCATTCGATATTTTAACAGATTTTTCTGCAAGCAGATTTTGATCAGGATGATTGGATATATCAAGACTTTTACTATTAATATTTGAACTACCATCAAGACCGTCTGGAGAACTCTATCTGATTTGGATGTAATCAAATTGAAAATGTTAAAATTATTCTGGATATTTTCATCTGTTTCTTCATCATCATCAAAATCATGATAATTAACCAATAACGAAACAAGTGAATTTTGTGGATACATATGGTAAATAGATTTTGCTTGTGAATCTTGAATATATAAAAATTTGTAACGTTTTTAAATAGTGTCCAATCTTATCTAAAACAAATAGTAATATATTCATTGATATACGATAAATGCATTAGTTTCTTCTCATAAATTATAAGCCAATGAAAATTAAATAAAAATAAATGATTACATAAACGTTTTAAATCAGCTCTGGAAAATGCGCACATTATTCAAGGTTAGATTTACAAAAAGTTATGTACTTTCTAGAAAAATTAACATTTTGTCACGATTGAAATTGTAAAAGCCAACTTACTATATCATGAAATAAAACTACTAAAAGTTTAACTTGAATATATTTAACAACTAAACTGAAGCAACATGTGCGTATGAATAACTGTCATTGCAAGTTCACACAAATAATTAGGTTGTATCCCATGCTGCCGGCCTTGGTATTCTTTTATTTTCCCATTGACTGATATCCTTCTTTTGAAGATCTTCGTACTGAGCTTCCAAAGTCATTTCCTCCGGCTTCTTAACTTTCATTCCCATTTTTATAGCCTCTTCTCTTGGATTAACTGATTCTATGGGTCTGTATTTGTATTTTAATGTAGTAAACTCTCTTAAACCAAAAGAACCTCCGATGATAAATATGAAAAATGGTATTGCTAATTTCACGTTTTTGTTACCAAAAAATGAATTTTGGCTCATGTTTACGCAAGACAGAATTTCTTGATGGCATTACGTAAAAACTGTTATTTTGTAAATTGTACCGGAAAAAGTTCAATTTCAGTTTACTAGATGGCGGTGGGTCTCTTAGTTGAGACTACGGTATGCCAAAACGCATGCGTTGACTACACCAGATAAAGACTCATGCGCACGCGCTGTGTGGAGAAAAAATGAATTGTCGGATGAGTTGAATCTAAAATACAACGATCAAGTAATCGGATGTTTTTTTATAATGATTATATGGTGATGTTATTATCATAATATTGTAATTTATAGCGCTGTCTAACAAAATTTAGTTGAATCTTTATTTTATAATCTGAATGAATGTATTTTGAGCAGTTCCTAGATTTTTTTATTTAGTAGTGAAAAAGCTATTTTTCCAAGAGACATCTATGATTATAGATTTTTCAATGTTTTCATATCGTTAATAATTCACATTACTAATCTTTCCGTATTTATCGAACAAATAAATTATAAACTTATTTATAAGAAACATTCATTTATTGATTAACATTTTCAAAACTTTTTAAAAAATAACATTTTACCAATAATCATGTTTTCATGGTACAAAGTGAATAAAATTGGCTAGTGAAATGTTATGTAACATGGAACATGTGTTTCCCAAATTTTAACTTGAATTCGAAGCTTCTGTAATTAAAAATCTTATGCATTTTTTGAACTTGAAAAATCAATTTGTATTAAATTACATATTTTATTGACTTACATAAAATCCATTTTCCCAACTGATATTTTCACGTTGTCTTCCAATATTTCAATATAATAAAGGTATTTGCAAATTTAAATTGAAATTGAAAGAAAATAGGATACCAATTTTTATAGCAAAAGAAACCAATAGAAATGTAAAGAACTTCATGATTTTCCTTTGAGCAGTCGACTCTTCTCTAAGCAAGCTTCTCTAAGCAATCAGTATCAACACTACGTAGAGTGCGATAAAACTGTGACCTACGATTCGATAAATGCACAAAAATGAACATGCGCTGAATAGTCAAGAATATTTTATGAGAAATAACAGACATAACATCAAACTTTTTTAGATCGTGATCTAGGATAAGGTATTGTAAAGTAAAAAATAGATGTAATTCAGTGATTTCAGCGTAACTGTATATTACATTAATATGGTAAACACAATATTATCAATCAATCGCAGTGATGATCGCTAAATGATGATAATAATAGAGCTAGCTAAAGGGTCGCGATAACGCGACTTTTTGCCGTACTGTACAGGTTTTACAATGATAATCATAATAATCATAATAATCGATAATAATAATCCCTAAATTATACTACATAGTTCCTAGATAATGTCGTTACAAAGTTTTAAACGCACGATAGAGGCGTCGCACACACTCCCGGGGGGATAAAAGATGATTTTCGATTTTCTTTGGTGAACGCCGCCGACCCGAGAGTTTTCATTTTTTTTTATTTATCTTTTATTATTCGCCGATCGTGTTTAAGTTACAAAGGCACTGTACACGTAAACATTAGTACATACACATAGATGAGCGCACCCAAGCATTGCTTTTATATTTCTTTCTCTACTTCACTCTCTTTCTCGAAAGGTGGACTTACGGTATCACATTTTGGCAGTGAACGTTCCCCAAAGTGTTTTATTTATTTATTTATTTTTTTAAATCTCGATTTCCTTATTTGCTGCGGAGTTTTTATTTTTGTTTTATAAAAATATCGACTTTATGCAACCGATCTCCGAAAATATGTTTCTTTTAGACTCTAGTCGCGTGACAGCAGATGTTTCGCGAGCGTTGCAATTGAGATTATTACATGAAATGAAAATTCTGTTTTTTTTTTTGTTTGTTCACACCAATAGAAGTTTTTCTTTTACCAAAATAAGATTACATTTTTAAAATTCTATCTTACTTCTAATCGCGAATTAAAACTTTACTTTAATATATCTTTACTAATATATACATATTGCTACGTTATTGGTTGCGCAATTATTAATTGAAATGAATTTACGTATATTTACTAAAAAATCTAGTATATTTATTAAAAATTATTTATTCGAATAAACTCATAATTCTGTTTGCACAAATTTCTTGCAATGTACAATTGAAAGTTTTATTCATACTTTAAGTACTCGAACAAACGAAAAAAAAAGTCAATCATTTTTCAGTTCTATTATATTAACTAAAATGTAGAAATAAATCCAGAAGAAAGATTAATTTTGTTATCATGTTGATAAGTAAAAAGACAGTTACTCCGCTGATTTAAATGAATGTTCAACGCTGCGCGAAACGTGCGAGATTGTTTTTTCTTATTAATTTTCTTTGCTTGCGCTCAGAAAGGGACGTGGTATGATACAGAGAATTTGTAAGTACATTACGGTTATAAATAATTCTATGTATTACAAATGTTTTGTTTATTCACATTTGTTCGCAAAAGAGTAGAAAAAAACAGACAAATCGAAAAGAAAAAATCATTGTCTATATATACATATACAATTGAATCCGCAAAATAAATCTAGTTTCCCTCATCATCATTTCTAGTACTTATACAAACAATTATTCGGACCGGATTTTCAAGAATTTAGATTTTATTCATTTATTGCCTTAGAATAAGTCAGAAGTGCCATGTTTACCGACAAAAAATTTATGTAAGCACAGTTAAAATCAATCGAAGAAAATTGTCAATATAAAAAATATGAACACAGAACGATACAAATACATTCAATGACTTTTAAATTAATAAACATTTCTTGTGTGAAAAATTTGATTAATACAGAATATAACAACGTCAATTATTCTAAATACAAATCCGAGTTTCATTTGTCTGTTGAAGTTGGAATGATTGCGATAGAAATTGACTTGTTAAAAAGGCGGCTCTAAATATAATATATTTCCTATATATATACCTAACGAACTTCATTCATTTCAATTTTCTAACGAACTGAGCCTACAAATAGAGTCATCGCGTACACAGCGAAAATGACCATAATAAGAAAGTGAACCATAGTGAAATTGATTATTGCTAAATCAAACTAAATCATTACATGATTATTAAAAATAATTGTTTTTAATAACTGAAACTTTTATTTCGAATTCAAAATAGCACATATATCAAAAGTATAGTCACATTTCTTCAAATTTCTTACTAAATTTCGTTATATTCTAAAGTTTCGCCCAATTTCACTATAATTACTTCCATTCGCGCTAACTAAGTTTCGTCAACGTTTTTCCGGTGTTTCCTTATTAATAAACTACTTATATAGATAATGTAAACAAATTTACTTTTAACACTAGATTGTAATAAGAAAAAAAAGGTAGAAGTCTGAACAAAAAAAAATCAAAAAGATTGGCAGAGTTCATTTACGTTGCCGACGTCTACCAATGTTGACGCTATTTGAGATCATTGAACATATCGGTATGTTTTTGTTTTCTTTTACTGAATAACTCATAATTATTTTTACTAGTATTTGCTTTACAAACTTTTCGAAGTCATTCGACACATTTATCATTGTACGGTAAAATGCTGTGTTGTCTTGTCATTAAATATATAACTTTGATAAGCTTTCAAAAATACGCGTTTTGTCAGCTAGATAATTTTTTTTCATCTAAGCAAATTGACACGTTTACAAGACAGTATATTTTTCACGTTTTTAAAGAGTAATTAAATTTATTACACAAAAACATTGATTGCAAATTCAGAAAAATTTCATCTGTAAGCTTCTTGCTTTTTACGCGCTGAAATTTCATTGAATTGTGAGTCGCACAAAACCATCCTATTTCATACTGGACTCGAATTGGTTTATAGAAAAAATAATGAATTATACGCGAAGGAAAATTATCTTTGTAGAAAAAATCACAGTTGTAATTTTTATTTTTATAATAACACCTACGAAATTTCAATGTTATACTAAAATAAAATCTTTGTATTTCCTTCAAAGATAAATTTCCTTTTGTATGTATATGCTTTGTCAGTATTTTTTCAGTGTTACATTATACTTGTTTACATGTGTACCTGTTAGCACATCACAGCATATTTGCGTATATTATGTAAATTGTTTGTTTTTTATCGAGAAAAATACAAATACATTCGCGTTTATATATTTTTGATTACGTTATTTTTTTCCGCGTTATCTAAATTGAAAATTTATTTTTATTTTCTGAGTAGTGTTTTGAACTGCTGTTACATGATTTTTTTTCTCTTGTATACTTGTGATGCTTGATTGCACGAGTTTCTAAATATTATATTTACAAGAAGCGCGAATTTTCCAATTTGGCAGTGACACGATGAATAGTTTTTTGCATTATTATTAATATAACTTCAAAGAGCATCTTAGCTAAAGCCTAAAACAGATCAATAGCTCGTATAACAATGTACAATCTCGAAAAATTTATTTCATATGACATGATCGAACTTCGATGTTTGTTCAGGAAAAAAGAAACAAAAAACATAGAATCGCTTTACACGAAACAAAAAAAAAGGAAAAGAAAAAATATATAGAAAAAAAATAAATCTGCACTCATGATTCCACATAATCGATATCTCATAAATCACTTTTAAAATGTACAATTCAAAAACTAACAAAAAAATATTAATTATCACACGCCATGAAAGAACTATAAACGTTGTTATAGAAAACAAACGAAAAATAGTTCTTTTTGAAGAGAACTTCAATGATGGGAAAGAGGGGAAACGAACAATTAAACTAGCGTATTGAGAGTCCTTTGTACACAGAAACGACGAAGAAATTTCGAGATTCATCGTCGTGTCGCGGGGGAAGGGGGGTAACTTGCACTTGTCGCACTTCTCATAGACTTGACACTTACACTTTTACTCTGCAATATATCACATTATAGATTTTTCAATTTTTTTGCTGTTTCAGTGTACACGCACAGACACTCTGAACTATCGTGTTCAGTCCGAGCCGAAGTAGTCCATGTATCTGTGCTCGTCGTCGTCTCAGGAAATCTGAGAACTAGACTGTGATGGTGTTTGTTGCTGTTGTTGTTGCTGTATAAGTTGCTGCTGTTGCTGTTGCTGAAGATGATGATGTAATTGTTGGTTGTGATGTTGTTGCTGTTGCTGAGGCGTGCAAAGGGTGAAGTTATCATAGACGTCCATAAGATCACGCATCCTGTACTCCTCGAGGCAGACGAAACCTTCGAGAGATGGTGATTGTTTTCGCGCACAGTCTAGGCAGTGTACTACATGACGCTTTTCTTGCTCACGGATAAATAATATGTTAAACACCTCAATCTAGGAAAAAATTTATTATTGCAAAGACTGTCAATTACACGAATAATAAAAATTCACGTTTTTTTATCTCTTACCTCGCACTGACCACAATAATGCGACGCTTCGTTCTTGCCTCTACCATGGAATCGCACTTCCACATTCTTGAACTTGACGTATTCGAGGATCAAGCAACATTGTCGCATAGTCCTTAGTAAACAATTTTTAATGAGCTCGAATAATCGTTTGTCCGAAACCTTAATATTCCTTGCGAGATTCCACGATAAATGAATCATTGGAACAATCGACTTAAACGCTTGAAGTTTATTCCACTCGTAGCGTTCAATTGCCAATTGGTATTGACGTGCTGTTAATGGACCCACATTCCATGCTATATTATTACACCAACCAACCGCTTGTACCCAGTGAACGCAACCTGACAGTAAAAATTTCATGAGCAGTATGATCGAAAAAATCTTTAATTAAGCAATGAAAAATTGTACTCACCAGCATTAACCCACACAAGATCACCCGGTCTCTGTACGAACCTGTACACAGGAACATTTTCCTCATATAAATCTTCCATCGATGGCCACCAGCTGCCATGCAGATAATTGATATTATTTCTTTCGCAAAGCGACTGAATAACACCCCAGTAGGCATCAGGCACACCGAACCACTCACAATCACCAGGTCCAATGTTAATGTTTATTGAACAGAAGTTATTATTCTCCTGATGTCCCGGAGTCCGACTACCGGGAACTTTCATATATAGCTGCACAGTGTTCATACCAAGAATCACATGACCAACATGGCTCAACATATTACCAGCCGATACGACTCTAGCAAAAGCCGGCAACTTCATAAGCTCCTGTAATTGAGCTTTCCATTTTCTCTCGTCCGACAAATCCACGTTCGTACCGAATCGCAACATTTTCGCACCCGACTTTCCTGGTAATCCGTAGATATTTTTCTTCCTCTTAACATTAATTCCAGTGCTGTCTTTCGAATCACTGTCCGAAAGATTCGATGTGGACGTGGTGTGAATACCGGCAGCTTTGTCCCGCTCTTCCTTCAGACTTTCCTGGAAACTCGACGCCTGGTATTGTGCGTATTTGGCAATCGTAGTGTGACTCCGATGACTAATGCAACCCCATACTTTTTTCGCAAGGACTGGATCCCAATTCTCATCACTTGTCTGCTGAAGCTGAGTACGTACTTCAATCGTGTGATCGGGATTCGCTTCAACCAACGTTTTTGTTGAGAATAATCCCAAATCGAGTTTCAAGGCAGCAGCCAATCCGCGTACCACAGCGATTGGATGCTTCAAACAAAATTCTTGAAGAATCGGACTGAACACATCTTTCTTATTCTCCAGATAAACACTTGGGGTGGCAGGTAAAAGTTGCTCTTTGGTCAGCTTTTGTGCTGGTGGATCAGGTGGTGTCGGTGGTGGTGATTTATCGCTGAGTATCGACCAACAACTAGGTACACCTTTGAGAGGTCGATTTCGGCATAGATCGACAATTTGCTTAGATGTCATTTCTATGTTAACCTCCGGTTCAGTTTGCGTCTCGCATAGACGTTCGAGTCGTAATACCGGCTCACAACGTAGAAGAGATGAGTCTACTTTGTTTGTACTTGACGTTGCCTCTGCTTTGATTGTCTCTACTGCGGATTTTAGTTCTGTTTTAACTACTGGGGTGGGTGCTGGTTCATCTGGTTTCTCAATCTAGAATACAGAATTGTTTTATTATTATTCACTTGCAAAAATAAAATAAATAAAATACTAAACAATAAAAATAAAATAAAAAATTTTAATAAATGATGAAAAGTTTAAATTACTTACCTTCACTCTCTTAGTCTTATCAACTTCGCCATTAAGATTTGACGGTGAAAAGGGTCCCGAGCTCAGTGTGCCATTATTCAAAGGCTGCTGATTGTCATCTTTCACATCATAATCTTCCGAACCAAAATGTTTCAACAAATCTTCAGCAAGTGAGGTAGCGATATCTTTTTGCGACAGCAGTGCCTGTAGCTCCTGATCCGTGACACCGAGACCAGCGTCTTTATTCGCAGCGGTATTGTTAACAGACGAGCCTTCGGGATAAGAATTCGTCGTCGATGAAATTTGCGTGTAACCTTGCGCATCGAATTGTCCCTGTTGATTTTGGAACTGTTGTTGTTGTTGTTGTTGTTGTTGTTGTTGTTGTTGTTGTTGTTGTTGTTGTTGTTGTTGTTGTTGTTGTTGTTGTTGTTGCTGCTGCTGTTGCTGCTGGTTGAATTGTTGGCCGGTTGCCGGCTGCTGTGGTCGAAAATTCGGATCCGCCGCAGATTTATAAGGCATGCCTGGTGTCTGGCAATTGACCGTCGCTGTTGCTGCGTTGTAAGCTGCGTTTGAATCTGAGAAACCAGTCTGTAGAGCTACTGATCCACTTTGCTATAAATATAAAATTTGTTAATTAATAGAACTAAAGAGCGTTACATAAGAACATACAATTCGAAAACTAACTGGTTGCTGTGGCATTCCATAGTTCTTAATGACACCTGCTTGTTGCACAGGTGGCTGGACAGCATAACCAATAGGATAGCCAGGCTGTCCAGGTCTCAGACCTTTTTGAGCAGCTTGTTGCTGCTGAAGCCTGAGCTGTTGTTGATGCTGTTGCATAGCTCGATATTGATGTTGCAATTGCGCCAAAAGTCCTTGCTGCTGTGCAGTCAGACTACCGTGATTCTGCTGCAGGAACTGTAGCATTTGCAGCTGCTGGGAGGTCAGGTAGAATGACGGTGGTCGTTGTTGTTGTTGCTGTTGTTGTGCTTGTTGCTGACCTGCTGCGCCTTCTTCTCCTGGCTGACATGAACAATGAAAATTAGTTAGCTTGAATGGAAGACGATAGATATACTATGATTTAAGATTGTGTTGACCCTATTGAGTTTTCTGAATGATCAGTGAGCGTTAGACGAGAAATAGCTCAATAGGCTCTGTTTTGTTTATGTAGGTATGTAAGGTGATGTAAAATATTGAACTGAAAAATTAATCGTGTATATAGATGTGTAGATGTAATATATACTTACACATGCTATTCAAATTAATATAAAAGTTAGTTAAAGAGCATAATATCGACATATGAGAAGCCAAAATAATGATTTTCATAGCTTTACAAAAACAAAATTATCAAAAATGAAAAAATACATTTTTCATTTTACAAATAGAAACTCAAAGATACAGGTAAAAGTATCAGTAACGAAAATGAATCAATGTATTTTCGCTTTTCATAACTTCATTTTATACTACCGACCAGAGTTTGTGCCGCCATGTGCTCATACCATCATTTATTCAAACTCTTTTAATTTTGTCAATGAGAAACCTGTGAGCTTGTCTGTAATGAAAGAATAAGGACATTTAATTTGAATATGCTACGAACAAGTCGCGTTTCGTCAACATCCAAATTATCCTTCCTTGCTTTTTTGCCCATTACACTTTTAGCAGCAAGCCACTAGATAGATGACCTAAGGTGGAAATTTCATTGTGGTAAAATATTTCTCAAACTGTCATGAATAATAACTTATGAGAAATAATTATGTGGAATTTTATTTCTGAATTATGATAGAGTCGAAATAAAATTGAGAAAAATGCTTTATGGAGTGAGACTATAAATTGAATTGCCAATTGGATCAGATGATTACCAGCAAACTCAAGTCTATCCGCGTGACTTTTATGAGAATGTACCTTAAAGCGTTTATTAGCAACATTCTGATTTTGTCCTTGTGGGTACGGTGGCGGTGGTCCAGGTGGTCCTCCTGGATACTTATACCCCGGCCCACCTGCTGCTTGCTGTTGCTGCTGTTGCTGTTGACGACTCGACAATTCCGCACTAATTGGCATATTCCAAGCTTCTTCTATTGATGGCAATTGACGTCTTCTGCAAAAAAACGTAATGTTCAGTTCTGAATCATTTGATTTTTTCAATTCATCAGATTTCTTTATATCAATTGAAGTCAGCATATCACGCGAATAAAAATAAACCGTAATGATTTCTAAAACAAAAATTATTGACACTTATTTAGCTGAAGTATTTATAATTTATTAAGAACACTGTTTGACCAATATTCAATGAGAAATATTTAAATAATAATAAAAAAACTGATAAATTTATACATCAAAAACAATACCATCTTTGAGAAATCTATAAAGAATCTTAAGAAAACAAAAAAAGCAAATTTATAAAAAAAAATTAAGAAGAAATGTCCTTAGACTTACTTGGTAGCCACTGAAGGCATGGGTGCTTGGCTGAGATGGTTTTGTAGAAAGCTGATGCGTTGTTGTAGAGAGGGGTTCATTGGACCAGTACCCCCACTCGACTTACTAGCGCCACTCAACTGGCTACTAAGAGAGCTGTTGCCACAGTTCGGTGTATTGTTGTTGCCCCTAAACAAAATCACATTCCAAAATTAATAAGAACGCTATCCCTATTCGAAGTAGACGTTATTCTTTGGTCAGGTGAGCTTTTGGAAGTCAAATGCAGACCTTGACCTTGATGATTAACTTACGGTACAACAAGGACCATCAACGGTAATGTGCGTGTTTTTTATATTTTACCTTTGTTTTTGTTTATTATATGCTTATAGGTGCGTTCTACTATGGATTATACAAGAGAGCGAAATGATTAAGATATATATGAGGGAGGGTTCTATCGACGATAAACTAAGAAATAAATTCTATAATCATTGATATAAAGGGACTAAACTGAGTAAATCTCAGTTTCAAAGAAAATTGTTAAAATGATAAGTACGGAATGATTTGTTTATCAGTTGGTGAAAATTCTAAAATTTTGATTTCGTAAAATTTGAATAAGGAACAGTCAAGTCAGATATATATGATGAAGACTCATAATGAAAAGACGAATCGCCTTTATTTTCGTTTGTTTACGTTGAAAAGACCTTTCGCTGTTGAAAGTTTGTATAGATAGCATAGATTTACAAATATACAATTGATTAATATTTCCAAATCAATTGGTTGATTGTAATGACATCTAAACGCACACTAGCATTTAAATAACATTTTAAGCAAAAATCTTTCTATGGAATTTAATCATAGGTAAAGTCATGCAAAATAACTACAAACTTTTAACAAGAAAAATCTAAAGTATTATAAAGTAACTTTCTACTCTTTCTTGAGTATCCTGTCAGAGAGATTAGTTCTGAATTCTGTAGATTTTGTCTTAAGCTCTATGTACTTCAAGTGGATAAATGCTGGCAAGATCTGTATAATTCTTATGCAGATATTGAGAATATTCACTACATCATGAATGTTCAAAGTTATTTAAATACTTTCGTATATCAAATGAAAGTGAGCCCAAGTATATGAAAAAGAAGCTAGTTCCAAAAACATTTGATGATATAGTAAAAACATCAACGTGTACTTTTTTATGTCGATGACACGAACAGTCGGAATAGAGAATTATTAAGGCGAAAAATACTTAGAAACTTAGCGACCCCCAAGAAAAAAGAGTAGAAAACAACCAATCGACAACGCAATCAAACGAAACGAAGTCCACGTCCATATTATAGCAGCACCAAAAGCTAAGTAGGTAAAAGCCAAACATCTCGAATGTTTGGACATTTTAGCCAAAACAAACAATCTTTTTCTGGAGAACGAGTAAATATCGATGTAATACCTTGAGGCGTTAACGTAGCAAACAAGGGCGTCTTTCGGTTGGCTGTGGCTCTCGTAAAGTATACCAAGATTCGTCCAAGCAGCCGAGTGCGACTTGTCGAGTTGAACAGCACACACGTAGGCTTGTAAAGCGTCCAACGGTTGATTCTGCTGCTGATAAAGTATTCCTATGCTGCACCAGGTGTCGGCGTTGCCTTCGCTCTTCTCCACCGAATTGCTGCAACCGGGATTCTCCATTTCAATAAGATTTCGCTCGCTCGCTCGCTCGCTCGCTCGTTCGCTCGCACGTTCGCTCGCGATGAGAGGAGTTTACTGACTCACCGGTAAGCGAGGAAAGCATCGTGGACTTGTCCCGATGCCGCATGGCAGCGGCCGAGTAAGTAGAGACTTTGCCCACTTTTGGGATCAGCCTTGATGGACTTTTGCAAGCAGCAGATCGCCAATGCCTGCTTCTGCTGGTGCGTAACCCCAAGGATGCTCACCTCAACCACGTGGTACATCCATCCTGCAACAAGACAAGGCGCGCTTCCGTTACCAAAATCCAATGCACTCGGGTACACAACCTCGCCATTCCGTTTCTTTTTTTAACGAAAATGCAATTGAAGAATATCGTGTCTCAGAAAGAAAATGGCCTCTCTTCGTTTAAAGGCACAGAGTAGAGCTCTCTTCCGGCCTCGAGAGTATTCAAGCAGCTGAGTCTTCTCTCTCTCTCTCTCGCAAACATCTGCCGCTTTTCTCTCTCTCTCTCTCTCTCTCTCTCTCTCTCTCTCTCTTTCTCTCTCTCTCTCGCTTCCAGACGGTTTTGTAACCGCCCGTGAGATGTGTTTTAACAAAACGTAGACCCTACCTCACGACTTGGATAACCAGACTGATGGCAAATGAGAAAACGAAAGGCGATTGATAAGTCTAGCAAACATACTGACCCGGAAGACGAGGACGAGGAGCCTTGGCGCACGAAAAAACGGAGCGTCTCAGCGCCCGCTCACCCCAAAACCAACTGAATAGATTTTTCGCAGGTACCCCCGAAACATATAGGGCCTTTACTTTACCCCCCTCCTCCACCCCACCACCGTCGCTCTTTCGTCTATTCAGTTTCTCTATTCTCTCTCCCCCTCGATACTGTTGCCCGTTGCACTTTTCGATCTTTCAGTTTAATGCTATGGTACTCCCACCATTGCTTGGCTGCGGCGAGGCACGTAGCACGTTTAGTTTGTTCCGATGGATCTGGCTGTGCCTCCAGTTACAGTCGTACGTTTCCTCGTTGTCGCGCTACGAAAACACGTTTTTCGATTCTTACGTTCCCACGAGCTTCTCAATTTCTTTATCTAAAAGCGCAGTTCCTCATTTTCACAAAAATTATCACAATGGAGCAACGGTTCAATTCGCATCCGTTAGCAAACAAGATGGATATCTATTGATTGCATAAATTATGCAATAAAACAAGAAGAAATAGAATATCCAAAAGTCATTGTAAAACTCGACGTTACTCCGCGTGTCTCACACGCGCGAAAATATAATTGGCGACGCGTGTAATAAAAATCTCGAGTTACGCGAAAAAGCAGGCCGCTCCCCAATAGAACAATAAAAAAGCGCTCACGTGTTGACGAGTGCAGAGAGAATGCTGGAGGGGGAGCGCGGGAGAAAAATCGGGATTAGCCATGGGTGGAACTGGGGGAGAAGGAGGGAGACGACGGGGGGTGAAGATTTGCAGCGCGCGTCAAGTGAAGAGAACGAGATAATTCTTGAAGGTTTAGGCCGAGCAAGATTTTTCCGCGCTCGAGAGAGGAAGAGGAGCGCGGGCATTCGTTGAAACCCGCTCTGAAATATCGCGCAGGACCGCACACGGAGACGCGGCAATAAAACCGTACCCGAGCGGCGGTGCGTGGAATAGACGCCAATGTATGCACGCGGGCTCAAGTGGGCTGGGGGGAGAGGGACACAATTCACGCGCATTAGCTTTAATCGAGCGAATCAGACGTCGCTCGGACCGCGCACGTCGCGCGGCGGCGCTGACTCTCGCCGGCCGAAAGTTACGGCATTCTGCCGAGTCGTTCGCGCTAATTACGTCGAGCACGAGTTTGGATTATCGACGACAAGAGTATTGCTATATTTTGCACCCAACTTTTCTGTCCTCCTTCCGCATTCGCTTGGCCCGCTCCGCGGGAGTAAATATGAGCGTTAAACAGCTGGTACCTAAAAATTTTCGCACGGCGTAGAGCACCCCGAGGCACTTGTGCGCGCTTAGAAAGAAACTTTTATAAAGAGGCTGCTTTAGGGCGGATAATAAAAGTAAAGTATAGTTTTGAAGATTTTATAATGGTTCGACTGCGTGTACGGTCTGGGAGTGTCTATATTTTAATGCATAAAAGTGGATGGATTTCGTTGGCTCGATTGCAGTCCAATAATTCTAATTTACGAAAAATTCCGGAAAATAATTCATGAATGCTGATTTCGCACAAGCAACTTTTAAAAAAGAAGAATCGTCCGATTACTTATATCATCCGCAGCATCGCGTTAGTGCAGTCTGGAGTAACAGAAGTTGAGAAGAAGCAGCACAAACACAGAAGCGGGAACAGCAGACGAACTTCCCCTCTGTCAGCGTAAACTTTTTGAAATAGGACAGAGAGGAAGTCGAGTCTATACAATCAAATATCGCAAATAACTTGACAGCTTCTCCCAGAGAGATAACTTTTTTGAAGACTGCATTTTGCAAAGGATATTCGAGAGAACCTTGTGATTTATTGTCGACGGGCGCGACAGATTTTAGTGGCGCTTCAAATCTTGCGTTAAAGGTGTGAGAGCGCTGGCTTGAGAAATTCCATATGGATAGTACAAGCGATGCCGTAATCGTCGTTTTGTTGAAAACGCAAGTTATAACTATTCAACGTTATTTTGTCCTACACGACTGTTATCGCGATGGGACAAATATAAAATGCCAATAACCTAATTTAATGAATAAAATGCAATATTAACGGATAAATACGCGTCTCGCACGTACAAATTATTAGACATCAAGCGATCGTTGAAATCCCAGCACGCAAACGAAATCTTGGAGGTCCTGCATCCAATCAACGAAAATCTGCAGCACAGACAAAGCACGAGAGTATAAGCTTAGAAATGCGGTTTTATTCGAAGCCTCTCTCTTGCGGACGACAAGGCAAGTTTAAGTACCGTTGGCTCTTAAAATAGAAGTCTTAAGAACGCGAGCGAGAGAGAGAGAGAGAGAGAATCTCCCCTCCCCATCACCTGAGGCCTTAGCAAACGGTGCACGAGTCTCTGACTTTGAAATCACTCTCGCGTGGCTATTCCAAAAGGGCTTTCGCGTGATATCAAACGCGCCATGTGAAAGACAGAAAAAAAAAATCTAAAAATAATCTTCGTCGGTATAGTACAAAGCGCGTGTATCGTCGAGCTAATGACTCACCGAGAGGAGAGGAAAGGGCATAATATCGCGCAGACACATGAGCAAACAACGTCATGCAGCGGCATCATCGCGGAATATGTAGGTCGCGTGCAATGCCTATCTCTCGTCGCGTCTATACTGTTATGGCGCACGCTTGGCTTGTAACACGTGCTTCTTTGTACTTAACTTTTCTTTTAGATGAAAAAGTTCGCTTCGACAACGTTCTTTTTCTTTTTCTCCGAAAAGAAAGAAACACTCGTAAAAAATTGCAATCGCGCAACTTTCCCAATCGCGATAAAACAAACACGAAGTTTCTTTAGGAACTGTCGGACAAAGCTACTAAATGATCATTTTTCTTTTTTCACGTGCGTGACTAGTCGTCCTGCGATGTAGTACCCTCAGAAGTAATCGATATTCGTCTTTTAAAATATTTGACTACGGTCTAATTCTAAATTTACGTTCACGTAATTTTTTCGTCGTTAGAGGGAGCAGGGGGTACTTACAATTTCATAACACAATCATCACTTAAACTCGCGAAATGCTCAGGACGATAAAAAAAGAGGGAAGAAAAGCATTTCCCAAGACGCGCGGCTATATACATAACACAATATAGGTACACGCAACCCTCTACGCCATAAAGCGAATGAAGGCAACAATGGCTGAAGGCTTCTTTTTAAAGCGAGAACGTGCCATCTGCCGTCACAAGCAGCGGCGGCAGCAGCCGGACAACGACAGACGGCCGAATCGGGGTTAAAGGGGACTGCCGACGACGACGTTGCGTGCGTATGTTTGCACAAGTGCGTTTTATACGAGAGTGCGTATGGTCTCGTTCGCGAATCAGGCCTGAAATTGATTTCATTCTATCTTTGGACGGCAAAATTTCGTCGGTTTTATACCTGAAAGCAAAATGTTTTCGCGAAAATTGAATTTGCCAAGTCTTTGCTATTCGATTTATCGAATAGTGGATGCCAGGAAGAACACGAACATAATAAATCTTTAAACGAACGTTGAGGTTTGTTGCAAGCCTAGATGTGGCAGGCGGAACGAGACGAGTGCAGTGAAATTGGTTGAAAAGGTGATGCGCGTAGGCAGCCGACCGTTGGCAAGAATTGATAATCCATGGTCGAATTGACAGCCCGAGCCAGCCAATAAAATGCCAGGCAAAAGCGAGAACAAGCAGAGAGGCACGCGTCGTGAAAGTTGAGCCTTAACGGAAGGGTCGTTCTCCTTCTTCTCGTGTCTATATATACAGGAGACATTGAGAATCTCTCACGATTTCCGTCGGCGACGAAACGCTGCTCCCTTGTACACGGTCGAGGCTTTCCGTCTGCCCCACCCGCGCGTTTTACTGTTCGCCTGAATAAATCAATACAACGTGTCTGCTGTGGCGTGCTCGTGGTGCAACCGTAGGCGCGGGAGGTTGTAGCACGCGCGCAACAGTGTTTGGTTTTCGCAGGGGCGTTTAAAGGGACGACCATTGTCGCTGGGCATTTTTCGGCAGGCGGCCCACTTTACCGGCGCATGACCCACATAATATTCGGCTCTATTTGGCTTTCACATCCAAAGCGCGACGAATCCTACTCGGCCCCGCAGACAAATGGTGCATTTTGCGAGTTAACGGTGGTGTAATACTGACCCAGCTGTCGGCAGATATCGGCCGTAAGGTGGGCCGGCAATGTCTTCTCGTTGAGTAATGCTTCGTAATGCTCCTTGGCGAGGCGGTACTTGCCCTGTACCTCGTGCAGGTGCGCTATGTGGAACTTGACTGTAACACAAAAAGTGGATATCGATTGGCTTTTATTATCTGTTTTTCTTTCGAAAGCACACGCAACGTCCAAATGATCCGTCTTTTTATTTGCCCAAAATTTCATGCTTTCATTTGGTTTTTACGGGCTATTTTCAAGCGAATTCCTTAAAAATTTTCCTACATGCTTTTCATACAACGACACATTTCTTCTTATTTCACGAAGAAAATTCCTTAAATACTTTTCATCCGGAGCATTGCTCCTCGTTATAAGAAAAAATAATATTTCCCTCTGTTGATATACAATTCTTTTTATAAAGACTGTTCGGATTGAACTCGTTGCTGTTTCCGAACGACGCAATGTAAGTCTCGACGAACTAGAATAGACAAAAAAAGACACGGAGCGATATCTAATCAAAGCTTAATTGAGTGAGAGTCAGCCAAATTGCGATAAGAGCGACAAACAACCCCTGGAATTATGTCAGCGTAAATTCACGATTAGCAGCTTAGTATAGTTAGACAAAAAAAGTTTGATAAAAAAGAAGAGTAAAGGTCACGGATTTTCCGTTGAATGCAGAGCTATTTTTAGCTTTTAAATGCCGAACGTCAGAAATCCTGCACGCGAAGTGAAATCATTGCTGATTCACGAACGTACATACGCGCTGCTTCAGTGAATTGGCAGTTTGCGCAAGATGAGTACGCGCTTTGATTATGACTGACAATTTGTATAGACTTAGTTCCGCTTCTTGAGTGTTTTCCGGGAATGATTTTCGGGGAATAACGGATTTTATTAGGTTTTTTCGACATTTCAATTATAGCTATTTCGTAATATAACCTCAGGAATTATCCAAAGATTTATGTCGGATTTTTTAAAAGTGAAGTTTCATTCAGTTGTTTCGAATTATTTTAATTTTTTTAATTAAACCACTTACGAATATTTCAATATAGCAATAAATTATTCACATGTATATTAAGAAAGACTTTTGGCTTTTTATTCAATTAAACTGAATATAATCTCGAGTTATCGATAAAAAGAGTATGACAATCATTTGTTACATTCCTAAAAGAATTTCCTCAATAGTAAGCAATTTATTGTTGTAAGTTTCTGTTAAATAAATAAATAGCAATAAATAAAAAGCAAGAACATTTTTTACATTGTCAGTTTCAGCAGACTTTGATCCATCAATGTAATTCATCTACCCATATCGAATCGAATAAATGGACGATATTTACCGTGCCCCTTGCCAAAAAAGAAGTAGTTCCAAGCAAACCGATCAATGTCAAAAGAAACGTTGGCGAGGAAGCCACAGACACCCGAAGCCTTGGTGGAAAATTAAGACAGACGTCGGGTCTTCGTTAATCACACACGCGTCTTTTTAATCTTCCAATGCAACGAAACGGCGTCATAACTTTTTTCCTTTCCGAAAGTTGTCTTCTCGGCAACGCGCGTGAAAGTTACGCAGGAAATAGTTCCGAGTTTGGCTTCGTTCCAAAAACCGTCGAGTAGGAGTTTTGTCAAATGAGAACACGTACTTTCAAGCTTGGAGAACGAGGCAGGTGTGGTAACGTCAATGAGGGCGAGCGTCAGATGCTTGAGTGCTGCCTCGTAGTCACCATGGACCTTCAGCATCAAGCCAAGCCTAAGGTGTACCTCGCAGGCCCGTGGAAATCCTGGCTCCACCCATAGCACCTGCTGAAATGCTTTCACTGCCCTGCAATATGACAAAACAAGCATTTTTAATGACATTTCTCAGAGCACTTTTAAAAAATCTGTGCTGTCGTTGCATTCTTTACAAAAGTTTACTCGAATGTTATACATTTTTGTTGATTAAAAAAAAAAAATTTTTTTTTCATCATTCACGAGATTAAACGAGCGACAAGAAAGTTTTCCTTAAAATCTGAAATTTGTTTCTAAAATTGCAAACCTTACATGAAGCAAGGTGTACTTTTAGGAAAAAATTTCCTGCATTGTTCATATCGAATCCCATTCTCCAATCAATCAACGCAACGCAAAAAAGAGTTCATGACCCAGTAACATCACTCCAACATCGTTAAATGTGCATCGTTGTATCTAAAAAGTAACGATTGCGAAACTAGAACCTTCACCGTATATATAAAATAAACAGTAGTAGTAGTGCATACACACGAATTCAGGAATAATGAGCGCATCATTGCAAAATTAGTTTCTCACCGTAGCGACGGCAACGACGACCCAGATTTCACGAGAAAAAGTCGTTCGGAATTTTTTGTTTCGCTTCGCGATGGAGACTTTGATAAAACTAATGACGTGAATGGTTATTATTAGGCGAAAATGTAACGTAAATAATTGATAAAAGCCTCGATTTTCAGGCGTGAACGAATCGATTATGCACACTGGAGTTTTGACAGGTGCATTGGCAATCGTTAGCGAAATCGCGAAAGAAAACAAGGCGAAAGTGTAATTTGCTTTGGTGCGCAGCTAAACGCCCGAAAGAAAGGAACGAAAAATGATCGCGAGCCGAGCAACAAAAGGCAATTGCGCAAGAGAAGAGCGCGTCCTTGCGCGAACGCGAATATGCAATCGGCACGTGCTAGAACAACGCTTTTTCTTGCATTTTCCGGCGGCGAGAGAGCGAGAGAAATAACTAACGGCTAGCCCTGAGTTTTTTCCCCAAGGACGTTTTTCTCGCTCTCGCTGTATTATCAGCTTCACGTACTCGTGCGCCAATTGTTCGTTTGCACGATTGTAACGAATGGATGATGATTGCCGAGTGTGTAAATGAAGTTGTGTGCGCAATCATTGTACAAAGAAAGGCATTTTACATACGACGGTAATTCACCGTTAAATTTCAAAGCGCTTCGTCCGTCAGCGCACGTCACGACAATAAAAAGGAGGAAAGATTATCAGCATTAAAATAATTAGTGATCGTCACGCCGAGAGCACGCGTGCAATGTCCATTCAAGTGTTGTGTGCACGAAAACACGCGTTACTTGAAAGATCAATAAAAGACGAGCGGTAGGCGCAAGGAGGAAGCACATTTAAAACAGGTTTAAATTGTCGACTGTGTCGACGCGGCACAGCAATGGGAGGCAAGAAAACGAACAAGACGACACAGACTCATTCACGGATAAGCTTCCATTCGTCCGTCCATTGACTCTGCGCACTCATAAATATGATGCGTGACATTCTCTCGAAATAGCTCAATAGCTCTTTTAATCGATGACGAATTCACATAGCGTCTGCTGAACCCAACGATCTAGCGACAATTCTATTGTTACATTAAAAGCCGATCTATCGTAGAAAACTTTCCTGTTGCGATCGGCGTGCGCCACGAGGAAACTCTCGCGCTTGTATTCGTTAAACGATAAGGCATACGCACACTCGCGCGCATCTTCGCTGAAAAACAAAAGAAAATTCTAAAGCTGAATCAACAAAGAGCAATTATCATCGATACTCCGACTCCTCGGTCTCTTTGTCCTAAGGGGTTATGTAGTTCAATTGTCACACGCACAAGCTAAGATTGCGCAACTGAGCGACTGAACAAGACACGTCGAACGCCCATCTAGGGGTGTGTTGCGCTTGTGCGCGAAAAGGAAGACAAACGATTTCCTTCGTGACCTACATTTACTTTAAAAGCCCTCGGCTTTGCTTCGTGTATATATATATATATATATATATATATATATATATATATATATGTATATCTTTTAGCGATCTGCCTAACTATATAATCGCCTCGCGGCTTTAGAAGCTGTAAACAACGCGTTTGCACAACGGCACGAAACCCGTGGGCTTCATCCACTTTCAGGGACTAGGGAAACATCGAAAAAGTGCATTGACGTAAGTCATGGATCATTCTGATTTTACGATTACTGAAAAATTTCGAGCGACACGCGTCCGTATTACTCAACACACTCTGCCGCTATCGCGCCGCATAAATTAACATAATTTACGATGCTAGCGAGTCCCACGGACTATATATGTATACACATACTACGTACCCCGCGTTCTCTCGTTGCATTTGCCAATTCTAAGACAAATCTCGCGTACAGTAGTTACTTCTACTACCGTTCGCGCGTGTCGATGATTAAAATATTCTAACAATGCTGCACGCATGCTGCGCTCGTCTGGTCTCTAACAATGGACAAAGAGGGACGTGTTTAGTAGTGTGTGCATACGCACGTGTGGCGCCTTTTCGATTATGCAATTTTATTATCTCTCGACTTGCTCGAGGGTTATTTATCGTGCACAAGGAAGCTGGAGCCGATCTCATTTTGGCGCGTACGCCGTTCGAATGTTGTCTGCGTTGCGCAAAATGGAGATTTCAGATTTTTCTAAGGGGCTAATGCACGAGCTTGTTATCGCCCAGATAAGTTATGAATTCAATTTTAATTTCACGTTATCTCAAAGTTTATTTATGCAGTTCTTGAACAGGTCGATAACAACGGGACGTGAGTCAAATTAAGGTAATGCCTTGACCAACAACATAGGATGACTTTGCAAACGGGGTGAAAGTGCGCTGTTTCAATTGTTCTTGCGACCTGAAAAGTCATTGTTATATGTTTCGCGGCAGTGGTTAATCCATTTGCGCAACTTTACCGAGTTATCGACGACCATTGACGACTCAATTCACTCGCATTTAACATTCTTCATTTTATGTAAATGGAAATTTTGGCTTTATTAAGGGATTCTTTTCTTCTTTCATCGATATTTACTTATGTTTTACGTCTATTATTGCATTTAAGAGAATAATAACACCATTAAATTCTTTCGTCTGATCATAAACTAAAAGCTGTCGAACGTTACTCAATTTGCCCAAAGAAGATAACTACCCACAACACAACACAATAAGTTACCAATTTTTATATGAAACGAAAAAATTATATCTTTTCTTTCCCCATGCCTTTCATGCCACATCCTACAAAGACGATTATATAGCATGTTCATAGCAGTAGCAGCACGAGTCACGATTGCCACATCCTGCAATGCAGCAGAGCATCAACAATGCAATCGAGAAGTTTGCGAAAGTCTGTCTTTCTCTCTTTCGTGTCGTAACGACTAAACCTACTGCTGCAGTTGGCGAAAAAGAGAAACGACGGAGAAGTGAGACAACAATTTTTGACGGAAGTGATCGCTTTCTTTACCGTTGCGCGTCCGAACGCACAACGCTTTATTGCGTTATGTGCAAAGGGTGATGACGCTTTGGACAGAATGCAACAGCTCTTAATGATGATAGTACGTTGATTGCGGGATCTTTACTTTATGTGCCAATTCTAACAGACTCAACCGGTTGCGCTTACATATTTCTACATTCTGGTTTTCTAGCTCATTTTTAGCAATGTATGCCTTTATTATTATTCAATCGAGATAAAAACTTTAAATGTTTAAGATTGTTGAAAACTTTAATGCGAAAACTGAACGGGAATATTTTCTAATTAATAAGTAATAATAATAAATTAACGACTAATAATAATTAAGAAAAATAATTTTATATCTGATAAAAAATCCACTGAATTAAAACAAACTGTTACAAGTGAATCACTTTTCTGCCACCATGGTGAACTGCTATAAATATATAAGGAAAAAGATTTAAAAAATCAATAAGAAACGCTTACAAATTTCGAAAAAATACAAAAACATGAACATTAAAAACAGCTATATAAGGGCCTTCGTGTACTACAACAAACTGCCAAATTAAGTGAAGATACTAACGAACAAGAATCATAAAAAAGCAAACGTTAAAAAATAGATCAAGAAAACATATAATAAGAGAAAATCTTATATAAGATACGACAAATAAAATTGATTGCGAATAAATCACATGATTACTTCTGACAGGACACAAAATAGTAACAGTAATAAAAAATCGAAATAGTAACGGTAATGCAAATTCTACATTGGAAGTCGATGATGATATTACGTTTCCAAATAAAATGATACCAAACATTAGAACGTACGTGCACAAGGAAATTGTAAGTTGCCCTACAACAGACCCCTAAAAAAAATCAGGGTACAACTTTTCAAAAATGCAAAAACTTCCCACTGAAATCAAATCAGCAGTCACGCACATAGCCGACGAACTGACTAATTTGTTACGGTAAAAGAAAGGAAGTAGACAACAAATAAGAAAACCAACAGCAATTTCGAAATATATACTGTATAAATCCTAAATATACGGGTATTAAACATGTAAAATAGTTTTTAATAGGATAGAAGATAGCAGATGATAAATACAAAATAACAGCAGCTAATGCAAGGGTTTCCCTGGAAACCCAATGCTTCAAACACATAGTATTCGTATAACGTACGGGGACATGAACTATCCAGGTAACAACAAAGCAATACTCTATTTCGATGGAGGAGTTAGAGCTTGAGAAATTTTCATCAACTCAATGTATTTATTAAAACGACAACTGGAGTACAAAGACCCGATGGTTGTGGATGACATAGTCTTCACAGACCCTTGCAAATGCGACCTAAGGTTACAACATCAAACAATGCTTCGTCACTACGGACGTTACATGTGCAATGGGATTCATATGTTCAGCCAGACTGAACGCAATAGAGAAAATAATTTTGGCAATAGACAGGAAAACACCTGTGAGACGGTATGATGATCGATGCTAATCAGATACTGGTAGAGAAAAGTACAGACGGGCAAAAATATTCATAATAATTAAATTTTCATCATAATTTTTATGAAGTTAAATGCCAGAGCAGCGAACAGCCAAA